TTACAATTAGTGTAATCAAACACAGTCACATTACTTCCATAATTTGTGCATGTCTTATCAATACAAGCTGAGGCACCAGCATTAACTGTGCATGTACTCAGCCAAATACTGCAATTATCATGAGTAAATTCTTTGATATAAGATCCATAATTAGAACATGTACGTTCGCTAATGCATCCATCATTTGTTGAATTAACATTGCAACCATATAGCCAATTCGAGCAAGTAGCTGTTGTAAATGTAGTTATATAATCTCCATAATTATAACATGTTCTATATTAACATCCAGAACCATCTGAGTTAGCTGTGCATTCCAAATACCATTCAGTACATTTTTAATGATTAAATATTGTGATACCCTAAGATGCTAATTAGCAAGTTCTAACTATACATTTTGTGGTTCCAGAATTTGTGCATGTACTTAAATAACCTGTACAATTTGCATGAGTAATAGATCCTGAAAAAGCTCCACATAATGTATTTGTAGAATCCCTGCAAGTAGATCCTCCTCCAACACAACCACTCTTCCAAATATTACAATTTGTATTGTCTATTACTGTTACTTAAGTTCCATGATTGTAACAGCTTTTGGTTTCACAGGCAGTACCTGCAACATTACTAGTACAAGTTGATAACCAACCATTGCATGTTGTATGATTTATTGAGGTTAATTAATCCTTATAGTTTGTGCAAGTTCTACTGGTACAAGTAGAACTTGTAGCATCAGTTGTGCAAGTACTGAGCCATTCTGAACAAATAGCATGGGTGAATGTTGAAAATACTAAACTAGCTTTCGAACAAGTCTTTGTCATACAAGTTGTAGATGTATTCTTGGTACAACTTAAGGAATAAGCCTCACAATTACTATGATCATATTGATAACCTGTCGGAGCACTTGTACAAGTTCTACTTTCTTAACATGTTGTGGAGGCTCCATTACAGGAGGGGTGCCATTTATTGCAATCTGCATTTGTAAATGATGTGACACGACTACCATAATTAGTGCATGTCTTTACTGTACATCCTGTATTTGTACTATTGACTGTGCATTAAAATAACCAATTTTCACAGGATTCATGAGTAAAATAAGAGATAAATCCTTTGTGATTATAGCAATTTCTCCACTCACAAGCACTAGATGCTGAATTACTAGTACACAATTTATAGAAGTTGGCGCATGTTTTATGATTGTAAATTGTTATTCCTGAAGGGGATGCACAATTCTTATTTGTGCAATATGATCCACTTACATATGTACACAATTCGAGATAACTGCTACAATTGGCAGCAGTAGTATATGCTCCAGAAGTACAAGTATTGGTTGACTCACAAGCAGTTCCATTTACATTGGATTGACATTCAGGTAACCATGCTGAACAATTAGAATTATTAAAAGAAGTAATTTATTGACCATAATTAGTACATGTTTTAGTTTCACAACTTTATTAATCCCAACTGACAGTGCATGAGGATAACCAAGTATTACAAGTATTATGAGTGAAGAATAGAATGTTCTAACCATAATTAGTACAAGTTCTAGCTGTACAAGCTGTATTTGTATTCGTACATGAGGATAGCCAATTTGTACAATTTGTATGATTAAATATAGTAATTTTGCTTCCGTAATTGGTACATGTTCTAGCACTCTTACACGCAATTGATCCATCATTTGTACACTCATTAAACCAAGTTGAGCATGTTGAATTATTAAATGTAGTCACATTTGACCCATAATTAGTACAAGTTTTATATACACATTATGATCCATTTGTAGTGCAATCAGTTAGCCAAGTATTACAATCAGAATGTGTGAATGTAGATCCTGTATAATTGGCACATGTTCTAGTAGTTTCACAAGCAGAGTTACCTGGATTAACAGAACAGGAAGATAACCAATTGTTACAATTAGTCTAATTAAACACTGTGACAGCATAGCCATGATTAGTACATGTCTTTTCAATACAGGCATCATTATACCAAGTACAAGGATAATCTGAATAATTCTTATAACATTAGTCATAATTAACATAGTCAGCACAATTTGTTGGTTTCTAAATGCAACTTGTAGGAGGACCAACTGTGCATGAAGACAACCAAGTATTACAAGTGGAATGATTAAAGTCAGTGATATTCTAAGTTGTCGAACAAGTTCTGGTAGAGCAGGATGAACCATCCCAGGTACAGTATCCGTTAATATTAGAATATTCACAATTATCTTAATTGCCATATTGATAACAGTAATTTCTCTAAGTTATACAACTTGTATGAGGTGAGTTATTATCAACAACACAGCCAGATATCCAATTTTTACAATTTTGCTATGTAAAATCATACCCAATCATAAAAGAGCAGGATCTAGTCTTACAATTAGGTGTAGCTAGAGTTGTATCCCAAGTACATAAATTATCATAACTATCAGTGATGCATTACTGCTATGTGAGGTCTTGACAAGAACCTAATCTAGGAGTACAACCTAAATTAGTAATTCTTTTGACCACAGTGCAAGAATTAAGGAAAGCACTGCATTCAGCATCCGAATCGAATTCATTTGTATCTGGAGCATATGAACATATTCGATTATAACAATAGTTATATTACCAAGCACATTTCTAGCCATTTGATGCCAATTAACATGATCGAAATGTCGTATATTAGTTACAACTGCTCAATTATGTCATACAACCTCCAAGACCTGTGGGAACTACAGTACATGTAGCTAAGAAGGCATAACATTCTTAATGAGTATCATAATTAGTCGAAACTGGAGCATTAGCACAAGTTCTATTAACACAAGTTCCAACCCAAACACAAGGTCCTCCGAGGGAGTTGGTTGAGGTTTCTGTACATTAAAGACTTGTACTCATCAATCCACAACTATTAGGTTTTTAAACACATCCCTATCCACTTGGAGCTACGATGCATCCAACTAAATAGGCCTCACATTTCTCATTTGTATCATGATCACCATCTTAAGGAGCTGTTGTACAGGATTTATCATAACAAGCATTGCCAGTCCATTCACAAAGTTAATTGTAATTATTAAATCGACAACTTCTTTATGCTGTGTAAGTAGTGCATGCATCCAGAAGAACACAACCTCCATTGCCTTCACTTGCAACTGTACACCCAGCCAAATAAGTCTCGCATTCTTCATAGGTGTCATAGTCAGATGTATAAGGTGCTGTAAAACAGGCTTTGTCATAACATGCTCCTTCGAACCATCCACAAATTTAGCCACTTGAAGTTATATAACACTAATCTTCCAGGACTAACAGATTGCATAGGGCTGGCCTAGTTATGCATCCACGACCACTATTTGCTATTGTGCATGAGCTTAGATAGGTCTTGCACTTTAAATCTGTATCATATTCAAATGGAGCATTAGCACAAGTCTTTTAGTAGCAAAGGCCAGTCCAAAAACAACGATTACCACTTGAATCAGCTTTACAAGTATTTTGAGATGTGAGTACTTAACATGTCATTTTGACACATCCAACTAAGGTTCTTGCTACTGTGCATTCCTTATTGAATTCTTAGCATTATTCATGAGTATTAAAAGACAAGGGAGCATTTTCGCAAGTTCTTAGAGCACATTCATTTTTATAAAAAAAACAATTTCTTCCATATTTATCTACCACACAAGCAATTTCAACATCTATATCACTGCATTCGTTTATTTATTTACATCCTCCTCCAAGTTTAGTGATGCAACCTTCTTTGAATTTATTACAATCATAATTAGTTTACAAAAAGGTTGTTGAAGTGGTGGGAGCATTATCACATGTTCTCTCTGAACACCCTTTAAATGTTGTATTATTAACAGTGCAATCTTCTTTGTAAGCAGCACATTGTTCATGGGTAACATAATCTAAAGGAGCATTTTGACATGTATATTAGATGCAATAACTGCCTGTCCAAAAACATTTATTATTTTAAGTATCTATTACACAACTCTCCTTTAAATTATATTTTGAGCATTCAGAGATTCTCATACATCCTCCTAAAGATTTTGGAACACATTTTTCTAAGAACTCAGAGCATATGATATTTTAAGGAGCATTTTCACAGTTCTTGTCATAACATTTACCTTCATTCCAAAAACATATTGATCCGTTTGCATTGTATGTACATGATTCCTTTAATGTTACATCATTACATTGTGTTCTTTATCTACAACCTCCCTCAGCCTCTAATGTACAACTCTGGAAATATTCTTAACATGCTGTATCTGTTCTAATAGATTTTGGTGCAGTTTCACATGAGCGATCCTTGCATTTTCCATCAACCCATGCACATTATCCCAATTTCTAGTTAAAATAGCATTACATCTCGAATTCTTGATCTTCGCAATTGTATCCACTCACTTGACATCCCCCTCTTGGATTTACAGTGCAATAGGATAGTTATTCTCGACATTCCGCGTCTGTCTTGAATGAAACCGGCAGTTTGTTACAATCTGTTGCATCTATGCATGACTGATCCCAAAAACAATATTTTCCCTTTGAATTTTTTACACAAGATATAGGGGTTTAATATTAGTAACAATCTCCAAGTTCTACACATTTTTCGCCATCAGTGATACACTTACTCGAAACCATTTGGCAAAGTGCTTGAACGCTAAAAGGATAACTAGAACATGATGTGAATTAGACACATTCATTAAAAACGTAGGCACATCCGTCTGTTTCCCAACATTTGTCGGATCCGAACTTAGTACAATATGAATAATGTTTAGTGTTAGTATTGGTGCTTGATTCTTCAGTCGTTGATTTGATTTCACATCTTAGTTACAATTTATTCCAAACACAAATTTAATTCTTATAGCAATCTTATTCAAATAACTGTGTGCACTAACAGGGTGAACCTAAACTAATGTTTGAAGTGTCACTCTATACCAAATAAATACACATTAACAAAAATAGCATTACTAACTTCATGTATATTATAATATTTTATATTTGTATGAAGTAATTTATAATTTAATTAACAAACAAGCTAAAATGGATAATTAGAGTAATTTTCAAACAGTGAATTAATATAAAACTTCGTCTTCTAAGTGTTTTATTAATCAATCAGTCAACTAAGTTGATAAACCTCCAAAGCAATCTGATCTTGTTCTTTACCAAGCAGCCAAAGAGAAATGCGCCAACAAATAAAATGAAAGATAATCGACTCCCCTTTTTTAAGTCACTAGCTTAATAACCAATGCCCCTACTCTTCACAAACCCACTGTAAAAACAACTTAATTCAGCAACCAAGCCACAAGTGTCTTCGATGTATTAAATTTCTTCTACTAAAAATTAGTTCTCAGAAAATCGAAAAGAATAAGTCTTCAAACCTCATTGTATCAAAGTTGCTGAACCTGGTAACAATTCAGATTGTGTTTACAAGCAATAGTTAAAAACTTCGGATCTCCCATCCAGAGATAATTTATCTCGAAATCCCATAACCACTGGAGATTCAAAAAGTGAATATCTGAGAACTACAAAAACCCCACTACCAAAAGATTAATTTAGTTTTAATTGAAATTATAATACAACCAATAATGATCATCACAGAACCATCACATAACCAAATATTTATTAGTTCTAGCAACATATTAAGCATAAGTGTCAGCTCTTTTCTTTTTCATATGCGCTTCAGTTAACGGAGTTGTGAGAAATTCCATTACACAAAACAGAGCAATTGGACCTATCAGAGCACACAAACTTATTGCATCATTAATTGCTGCTAAGGCAAAACAGAACCAAGTAACCAAATCAAAAAATAAATTAGGATGACGACTCCTTCTCCAAAGTCCAGTTTCCATTAAATCTTCTCTTGGTATCAATCCCTATTGTTTCTACTTCTTGAACTTCTCCAATTGTATATCTAAAAATATGAATGCAATTTACCAGCGGTTGCTTCTAAGCAAATACTGAAAGGAATTATCGATAAAGCAATATAATTCATCACATTCAAACCATTGAAATCTTCTGGTTTCCAAGTGAGATCATTGAGAAACAAAAAATATAATGGTATGCTAGTTACGAATACTATCAATCCTTAGAACATAAATTACACAAGGACCATTACCTCCTTCTTAAATTTATCTGCATTGTATTCTCTAAAGATATTATCATATCTCTCATCCTTAAAACCAGCCAAAACTCTAGTTACACACAAGAACCCACCAAGCCTTAATGACCAAAATGCAACAAGAAGGATATTAATCTTAAAATTTTTGTATTATTGTTACTATCTTTCCTGGAGTTGATATTGTTGAGAATATAAAATAGACCATCCCTGCAACTAAATGACTTATGGAGTAGGCTACATCCACTATACATTCATGATTTCCACCAATCTTATAAATCATGTAGAAGATCAATTTATTAATCAGGATTGCTGGCAGTGCCCATATTAAAGCAACTTCTACAAAATGAATCATAAGGTTTTTTATATGATTTTATTATTATTTAGAACTTCCTAAACAAATTAGATAATTCATAATTCCTTTTTAATTTTTAGACTGAAAAATAAAATAATCTGAATTTTATAATAAAATATTTTATGGCTGATCATTTAAACTGTCCATTTTCATCAATATGTCCCATTTCAGATAACATCAATGTACAAAAATCCTCAAAATCTTTATCATTTTGCATGCAAGTGTTTAATTCTTTAAATCTGTACTTACTATTATCAATATGAATCAATAATTTTTAAAGACGCTTATTGGAAACAAACTTTCTTATCTTTTAACTTCTTTCTATATAATTAGATGCGACATTTACTAAGGATATCTAATTTCTCTTTGGATAATTTATATTCCTCATCAATATAATCACTTTTAAAAGGTTCTTGATCTTATACTTATGGTTTCTTTTGGATGGGTTTGCAACTATGAAGCTTGAAACATGCAGCACTGCAATAGGGCATTTCACATTTAGGACATTTATATTTTTTGGGCTCATTACAACAAATACATAATTAATTAATCATTTAGCAGAAGACAATTAACGATGACGCTCTTGAAGCTTCTTCTTTTCCTCCTCTTAAGCCAATTACTATCCCACTTTCTAGATCATATTACTGACCTTCTCAATCCTCACCAACCTTTCAGAATTTCTACTTCGACACCGCTCAACCATGCTGGTGTCATCCTTGATTAAGAGTGGAATAAAAGTTTTTTCCTTCTCCAACAAGAACTATTCAGGATGTAGCATTTCTTTAGTCAAAATGGCCTGTTTGGAATTTTATTTTGAGAGTCTATGCGACATTGAAGAAGCTTGATAACTTTTGAAAGAGGAATTAAAATCAACCTATTAATCTGAATGATTAGATTTATGCAATGAATTAATGAGAGAGACAGGACCTCCCTTGATACTTGATGGGGCTGCAGGAGGCAATTTACCACTTTTGTGAGAACCATGTTATGATCTTATAGTTATTAATAGGCATACCCAATTCTTTATTAGCTTCCTCTTTGTTAACTAGGTCTATGTTCTTATCCAGGGATTTTCAATTAATTATTGCCATTTCCTTAAAGATTGGGAATATCGAATTATGGATTTTGTAATTCACTGTTAGGTATTTTTTCGAATAGGTTCATGACTTTATCTTTTTCAATTCCCTTCCTATAAATATTAGCTAATCCTGGAAACAAATTAACTAAATTGTCAAATATCTTGAAAATTTGTAAAGTAGTATATTAATTGGCTTGCAAGACATCAGCGGAGATTAAAATTTCATTTTTATAACAGGCCACCAATGCCTTATCTTAAACCCATTATCTCAACTTATCATCCATCACTTATTAAGGAGAGAGTTTCCCTATTTTTTCACCATGCCAGACATCATAAATTCTCACTTCTTATTGTGCATCCAAAGCAGCTGCCACTCCAGTATGACTGACACTCATCCCAATAATCCTCCACAATCCTTGCTTTTGTTCTTCCATTTTGACTTTACTTCCCTTCCTAAATTGATGAGTTCGTTTACACAACAACTTCCCTTCCTTTATATCATATATGTTAACACCTCCATCATATGAAGATGAAACCAATCTGCTATCATCACAAAATTGAATCTGAGTGCAAGCGTACATATGCTTATCTAAATAAAACCTCTCTTATTCCAAGATCAAATCATACACAAACACACTACCTTATTATAATCCAGCAGCCAAATAAACCGATGATTTGGATATGGCCATACAACTCAAAGGGTAAAGAATTTAGACCTCAGTAATTGATGCTTATTGCTTTAACAGCTATTAAGTTGGCAATCCAAATGAGGCACTTAAGTACTCTGGAAGTGCAGATCTCTTAGCACTAGTAAAACGATGCAATTCAAGTCTTGTTGTATTAGTCCAACCTACAACTATGCCTGTGACACATTCATGCTACTTATATGAATTAAATGTTTTATTTCCATTTTGAACACTAAACCTTTCAATTATAAATTCAACCATTGCTCGATACTTTTGAGTTGGATAAGCATCATCGTTTGGTACTGCTCCATTTTCATTTTCATCATATAGTATTTCCTCTACAACTGGTACAGGTGCTACTTCGACTGGTTTTTTTGCAGGAACAGGAGCCTTCTTCTTAGGATCAACTTTTTCTTCAGGAGGAGGCTCTTTTGGAGTAGTCAAATCTTATTTGATTTTAGCTATTATTCCATTATAATCTAATGTTTTCTTTATTCCATTGAACTTCACCTAATACACCAAATCGGTTAATTCAGAGCATGTAATATCCATTGGAGATGTTTAAATTTGCTGTTATTATTGCACTGGAACAACTATTGGCTATTCTTTCCCTTTTATTGGTGATGGTTTGAATTGACTTTATAAGTGTCTTGGACTTTGTGCTCCAACGCTGTTGCTTGATATTTGGCTTGAATTTGATTATAGATCTATTTTTAAATCTGGAATTCTAAACACTTTAACACTTCCATTATATTATGTAACAGTTATATATTAAGAATATTAACTTATGTCTACATCGACTGGATATTCACCAATTGCATTCTTGTCCTTTGACATTGTAATCGTATGATGAAGCAATAATTTATTTTCTAATGGCTTGAATCGATAAATGTACACAACTGGATCATTATGTTAAACAACTCCAATCCTAAATTAGTAATGACTTTCTACACACAAACATTCTTATAATCATCAGGCGCTTGATCTCTACTGCTCAAACATACTTTAAGTATTCTTTTCCCATTTGTTTCTTTCTTGGCAATTCTTAGTTTCTTGCTTAAGTCTAATATCATTAAATTTCCCTAAGTGTCTCCAGCTGCTACTAAATTGCTTGAACTATCTCGACTAACACAACTCAATTAAGGAATGTCAAAAACACCTTAAGGAGGCAACATTCTTAATTGTCCTTCATAGTTTGGATCAGAACGATATTTTTCAATTTCGAAAACTTTGTTGTAGACTTCATTAAGTATCATAGTATTTAAGAGTTTGTTTATGTATCTAAAGTAGTGAACAATCAAAGTACTTATATGGTTTTGGAAGTTTATCTTCCCAATTAGTTGGATTACAATAACCCCATGAATTCAATTAATCCATTATTATTTTAATTTACAATATTTAGAATTGTCAAAATTTTGACTTCTTGGTTGTTCATAGTAAATTCCTTAAACAGAAATCTGATTATAAAAACAGATCTTAATTTTAAGATTCATTTATTATTCCAATAATTATTTGAAAAATTGATTTATCTTATTAAAATTGTGTGATATTTTTATTTTTCTATCTTATCATGTTTATCAAAACAATAGAATTTTATAAAAAATGGAACATATTAAAAATCATATAGATAATCAGCAATGTTGAGTTTGAGATCTTTTAATTTTTTCATTCAATTTATTTTATTAGGATTTTTTAAGTGCAGGAAGTTTCCCTTGTTCATTTGCAAAAGAGACCAATTGTTATGTGTTTTATTTCTGGTATTATTCTTTTTTTTTCAATTTTTTAACCCTCTCGATATCACTTTGTAAATTTATTTCTCTATCATCATCTGGCTCCGTCAAGAGGAATTAATAGTTTTATTATTGATACTTTATCTCTCCATCTCTTTGAGAGGAAACCTTAAATTTAATATTATTAGCGATAGGACTTTTAGTTTCAGGAAATTAACTTTCAATATTGGTATGTTATTTATGGAGATTTACAAAGGATTCTGTATATACAATCTCTGATGTTTCTTCATATTACTTTTTTGTCATTCTTAATGAAGAATCATTTTTTAATAAGTCCAATTTCTCTACTTTACTGAAACCATTCATATTTCTCACCAACCCAGGTTCAAACTTATTAATTTAGCTTTATCTTAAATCTTCCTCAAATTTTTGCTAACTCATCTAATGAACATCAATTTTGGTTTGATTCCTGATATAAATATTTTCAACTCTAGTCTTATTATCCTATTTCTTCTTATCTTATTTTTTCTTTAATATTTTAGATTACAGATGATAAAGTTTCGCTTACATGAAAGGTTTATTGTAAGGTAAAATTGATCCATCATAATCGTATCCACAATTAGCATAGTTTTATTTTTTTTTCAATTATTCTAATTGATTTTTCTATTTCGCCCTATCTTCCTCTAATCTTTTTTCATTTCTTAAAATATTCCTAATATAATTACCTAGCTATTTATTCAAGCATTTTGCACTTTAATTCATGCTGATATCTAAAATATTGTTCCTTTTCATCAATTTATTGATTCGGTTCATCAAGTTTAACAACTTCAATACTTTATTTTTTCGAAGTTTGTTTTTTATAAGTGGATCTATTCATGGTTACAACAACACTCACTGAATTTGATTTCATTCGAGATGATTATCTTAAAAATTTAGTTGATCTTGTAAGATCTTTTTCACAAATAATTTCTATATCTTTTTTTTACGGATCTACTTGTATTAAACCTGAATAGGAATCTTTCTAAGAAGGAAGTGGTTCTTCATCCTAAGTGACATTCATTTCAAATGGAACATCAATGTAATGCTTAATGAGATTGTTCAAAAGCATAATAGTTGCGAATTCTGTATATTTAGGGGTTGAGTTTATTATAAAATGTTCCTATAGTAAAATAGTGCACGAGCCTATGATTTGATCCAGAATGTAATGAGATATCAAGTGGACATCAACAATAGAGGAACTGTTATTATTGATTTTCTAAAATTTATTTTATTACATATTTAAATAACTTATAGACTACATTAATTTGTTAAAATACTCTTCGTTTAATTGTTTGATCATATAAAAAAGCATCTAGACTCTTCATTGAACATCATTACAACGAATACATTTTAAAATATTAATAAATTCTATAAATTATCATTTTCAAATTAAATGGATTAAATAAATTCTTGGAGTAATTGCACACTTTCAATTGGAGAAGAAGTCTAACAAAAAGAGAAGATTGAATTGCATGATGCAATCAACAATTATCAAAAGTTAGAAGTGAAAGGCAAGGGAAGCTATGGAGCAGCTTATTTGGCCATATAATTGAATACGAAACTATAATGCATCATCAAGGTTTGATAGCATTTAATTTATATAGGTTATTGATATCTCAAATATGAATAATAAATAAAAGGAAAATGCTATATGCGAGGCCAAGATTATGAAAGATCTAAAGCATCCTAGCGTTATTAAATATTATGAGTCATTTTTTGAAAATGTGTATATTGAAATTTATAAAATAGTACAAATTTATGCATAGTTATGGAATATGCTGAAAAGGGCAATTTGGAATAAATGTTGCTAGAATATAAACAGAATAATGAATATTTAAATGAAACTGTAATAATTGATTGGTTTACTCAATTGTGTTTGGCTGTTAAATACTTGCATGATCAAAATATTATTCACAGGGATATTAAAACATAAAATATTTTCATAACCAAGGATAACTTTATTAAATTGGGCGATTTTGGAATTGCTAAGGAAATGGAATGCAAAGAATAGTTATGTAAAACTTCAATTGGAACTCCATATTACATAAGTCCAGAGGCCTTTCAATCTAAACCTTATTCTCAAAAATCTGATATGTGGAGTTTAGGGTGTGTTTTGTATGAAATGATATCACTCAGACATGCATTTGATGCTAAAAGTATTTGAAACAAGATTTTACTCATAGCCATTGAAGGTTTAGGCATTAAGATTCTAAGGGGATAATATCCGCCCATTCCCAAGCACTATTCAGATGAACTCAAAAATTTAGTTACTAAATTATTAGTAGTAGATCCAAATAAAAGATTCAATATTAATGACTTGTTAAAATAGGAAATCCTACTTATTGGTGCTAAAAAATATTTGGAAAAATATACTTTACACTTATAAAAAGCAAAAATTAATACACCAAATAACTTCAATGCTTGTAAACTTGAGGAACTGAGAATGAGTCTAGAGAGCCAGTTAGGATTAAAAAAGTTGTAGGATTACATTTAATAAATTGTAAATAATTCATTTATTCGCTTAGGAAAGTGACACTTTAGACTTTAATAATGATTTAAGTGAAAAGACTATAAGAGATATTGAGTTGCTCATACAACTAGAAAAATAAATATTTTGAATTTATTATTATTATAAAATTTACAGATATTCATTCAAACTCATCAATTTAAATTTCTTATTTTTGTTACATCTCTTATTTTTTAAACGCCAAAGGATATTAGTATAATTAGTCAAAGTATTTAAAAATATTGTCCTATTCATAATTTTTCACATTATATGTTTTTGTTAATTCAACTATTTGATTATAAAACTACATATAATATTTAGAACACATTTTAAACAATTATTCTTAATAATAAAGATCCTTCTACTTCACCTTTATTAGATAACTAAATATTAGATATATTCTTATACTATTACAAACTCAGCAATATATAAGTATTCATTTCAATCGCTCTAGTTATATCTCTGTCATCATATTAGTTCAAATCGTTTGCTTCTTATTAGTAAGCATCAGCATAACTCAATTGAGTTTCTTAACATTACTTAGTTAATGTGGTCAATTTTGATCTAAATAATTTATGCTATTCATCTCACTTATATTTATCAAATACATTCTATAGTTTTTATTTTGCTAATCGCCAAACATTCAAATTCATTAAACAAATACAAAACCACTCCCTCGCCAGATATCGACAAAGGACTTTGTTTGATATTGTCATAAATTCTTTATAAATGTTTATCCAAAATTATATTGTTATTTGCTTGCATATATTTGGTTTTAACAAATTGGAGATTATGTTTATTGGCTAGATGTTCTGCTTGGATAGTATGACAACAGAAGTTTCTTTGCTAAAAAAATTAGTGACAATTACATGATTATTTATTAATGCAAAAAACTTAAGGGCAGGTTGTTGATATTCGATAATATGTACAAAATAAGGGTTATTAACGAATTCTCCAACTAATGTGAAATCAGTTAAATCCTTTTGCAATTATTCTACATTCCTTTCACTCATTTCAGAAAACCAAATTTCAGCAATCTACCAAGGTAATCTTTCTGGACAATCAATATCTTTATTAGGACAATTAACCAAGTACTCATCATTGTTTTTACAAAATATAGAGACATTTTTTGATGAAATAACCCAAGTTTATAAAATAGAAGAAAAGGATATTTGGAAATTTTCTCCATTTTCTTATTGTTATTAAACAATAGTTACAGGAATACTTAGTTTCAATGATTAATAAGCATTACGTAATTAGTTGGTAAATAAAAACTAATTTTATTATTATTACTCCTTAGCTTTCCAAAAGTCACCTCTAAATTAATAAAATTATTTACAAATCGTAAAACTTTGGCAATCCTTTTCTCAAAATTGTGTAACTATTATTAAGATTTAAAATCGTGAGTCCTCTTCTTAATATAAATAATAAGTCTGGATTTGTTTCAAAGAACTTTTGTTCATCTTTCCCCTTTAATTTAATTCGTACAATGTAATAGAGAGCTTTAGCTTAATTCAAGGGGTATTCTTTTATAAACAGAGTATTGTTTGCTTTTTTTGCTTGCATGATTAAATTTTCTAAATCAATTTCCTCCTACAACAAATCATAGAAATGTATACCTATTGAAACTATTTGGGATTAAAATTTGGTAATGAATGCTATTTTTGAAAGGCAAGATCGTTTTTCTTATTTTGCATTTTTCGTTTCTATTGAAAAATTTATACTAATTATTAAATTTTAAAATCATCTTACTCAAGTATTAATTCAGGGAACAGGAAAATTATAAAATTTCTCCACATTAACAAAGAAAACATATTTATTCGATTTAAAATGTTAAATGCCTCAAAATTTCAATATGAATACCATTTAAATAATTAAAGATATAAAATTACTTAACTTATATGTGATTATCAAAAAGATGAACGGATAATTGAAAGAAAAAAAAGTAAGAATTTTAAGTAGAAACATTTTTGTATTAATATTAATTTGCTATTAATAAAAATAATTTTATGAAAACTCAAAAAACGGAACTTGTTCTCTTATTGTTAATTTGCACAATCAATTGTGTAAGTATTAGTAAACAAGATGGCGTAGAAGAACTGAAAGTAAATAGATAATGATGAAATAGACAAGAAAACAAGTTGGGGTAAGATTGCGTGGAATTTAAGTTAATTGGCATTTTCAGGTGACTCAGCATTGAAAGAACTAGCAGATGTTCTAACATCAGTGGTATAGAAAAAGTTATCATAATCCCTTAGACTGAATAAGTAAAGGATTTGAGGCATGATCATGAATTTGCTAGTGATAAAGCTATTAATGTTTATGATAGCAAAAGGGAATAATTAGATTTAGAAATAGATGAGACAGTTACTTTTATAGCTAGGAATACAGACTATTTAGATACATAAATGCACGATTATATAGTGAATATAAACAAGAGATTAGAAAATTTAGATAAAAATGTCTAAGAAAATAGAAAATAATTAGAATATCTAACATTCACTAGATAAAAGCAGAATGAAAAGTTCTTAGATACTTGTAATAAATATATTCATTCTAGTATCACAATATGAACATATGGTTGCACAAGTTGATATGTGTATTGCTTTACTCTAGGGGATATTTGCAAATGAAGAGTTCATTCAAGTTGATAGAGTTAAAATTATTACAAGAAAGATTTTTGCAGCTACAATGTTAATTGGAGGGATCGACATGAAAGAGTTACTAGAAACTACTGAATCAGCTAAATATACTGATACAAGAGTTTAAAAATATGTATTATATCAATTTATCATTATCTTTTAGATTTTAGAAGCCTTTAATAATTTAAGAAAATAATTTATTGATCATAAGAACTCAGATATTGCCTATGACGCAGAATAATAAAAAGAATATGAAGATTAAAAACATTAATTAGATGGAGAGCTTTTAATTTTCAAAAAAGATATTGCCGAATTGATTTACAATTTATCAGTTACAGAGGAAAAAATAAGATAAATTAAAGATGATATTGAATCAAATAGGAAAGATTAAGAGTTTTATTCAAAGGAGAAAGAATTTATTAATAATGGTAGATAAATTGAAGAAAAATGGAAGTCAAAAATAATTTAAGGAATACAATAATCAATTATTATCCATCGAGAAAGCCATGAATTTAATAAGCCAACCTGAGTTTTGGGCAAGGAATGAATAAATCAAGTTAAATTATTGAAAATTGATATAGATATAGAAGATAAGTATGTCATTTTTCACTAATAATATGGTTTTAATTTTTTTAGATAAAATTATTTTGTTTTAGATCCTTGATGCTCACAAGGTAAAGTTTTTATGTGTGTTATTGATGTATTTTGAGATAGTTTTTTAAACTCAAAATTTTGTATTTATTGGATTTTTGTTTAATGCAATTGTAAGTCATCTATTTCTTTGATACCATTAGATCTTGAAGTATGAATTGAAATTTAAGATTTCAATTGGCTATGTTATGTATATTACGATTATTTTGAAGTATTTTCAGTATTTCTCTTTGTTGACAGAAAATATAAATTTAATTCTTTTAGTGTTGGCGATTTAATTTTGGGTACTTATTGGTTTTGTGGAGATAAACAAAATTTATTTCTGACTTACTTTTCTTAAAGGTATTTATTAATAATGTTAAAAGAGGTTTTTCGATGAAAAATGGAATATTCATTATTATTTATATACCTTGGAGTTAATTATGGTTTTTCAAGAATCTATGGTTTTGATTTTAAATTGATGGTTTGTTTGAATTATAATGATTTATTTGGCATAGGCGAAGATTCGCCTGAGGTTTCAAATGCATCTTCATGTTATTTAAATTGTTTTTAAAGAGTTTCTTAAAAATTTAATAGTTTCTCTTTGGGCACAAGTAATGTTTTACGATCTTATATACAGGTCTTTCTTCTAAACATCAATAATGTATTCCTCCGTTTTTAAAAGCATAAGAGAGCTATTTTTCTTTATAGTTCAAAATCAATAGGAAGAATAGGTCCTTAATATATTTACTCTGCAATGGATTTGGCTCTCTTGTGAGTTATTTTAGGTAATCTTTTGAGGGGGCAACTCTTACTTTTTTGTTCTCCATAGGTTTTGCGTTGTCTCGATCTCTATAAAAATTCTTATTGTAATATATAATACTGTATTGATTCTTTAATCTGTTGATTTTCTTCTTCTTAACAATAATAGCTTCATGAGAATGTTGATAAACTTGAGTGTGAGGCACCAAATTATTCAATCGTTTTAATTTTTGTCCCTAAAATTCATGAAAGGTCACCCTTCTAATTTTACCTTGTGGCTAAATTTTTTAATCTTAGATATCAAGACTTCGTTATGAAAGAATTTCTAAAATATCTGCTCTTTCCACTTTGGAAGCTCTTCTAATTGGAATCCCGAATTGTGTCAGGATTGTAGGAGATCTGATTATTTTTCTTAGTCTTTATATGGATGTATTTTTAACATCATCAATTAACATACTTTATGAGGCGATTTCAAATGATCTCGCCTTAATCCTTTTCTAAGGAGATATACAATTTATAATGGGTTAAACATTTCTTTGTAGTTCTCTATAGATTTTCCAAAATGAGGTAGTTTATATTGTATTATTAATGTACATTTAATAATTTATCATTTCTTTCCTTTTGGTTTTCCAGCTCCCTTAGCAGCTGCTTTTTGAGCTGCTTTTGTTTCAGCCTTTTAGGCAGCCTTTTGAGTGGTAGTTACACCCTTCTTTTGTTATTTTTAGGTTTCAATTTATTTCTGCTTTCTGTCCTTGATTTCTCTTGCAGCCTATTCAGCCTGAGCCTTTCTAGTTTCTATTTAAAAGTATATTAAAATCAAACTTACTTTCATCTTCCTTTCTTCTTCTTCTGATTTCCTCAAGTGATATACCTACAATAGCTCTTTGGACTTTAAGGTTTCTGATTCTTCTTTTCTTTGCCCCCTCATCAGTCTTAATTTTCTTGTTCAATCTTCTCCAAGCAACAGTCCATTGAATTTCTTGGCTTTTAATCTTGAATGTAAAATTCGTATTATACTTTTCTGGCAGAAAATGCCCTACTCTTTTGATTCAAGTAGTAAAATAATCTACCATCCTTAGCCACAAATCTACGACCGTGTCCAGGGTAAATACGCCATTCACTAAAAGAGCACAAATCTGTCTTGATAACCATTTTAAATTAAAATAAAAATCTTTTTTTAATGAATTTAATCGCTAGTGTACAAGATAAACTCAAGTAATAAGTGCCAACAGATAAATAACTTTAAATGAGTCATTTTGCAAGATTGGTTGAGATGTTGAATGAGATTGCAAAAAATTAATAAAATTAAGAATTAATCTAATTAGTCTAGCTACTCATTTAATTTTAGTTTCCTCAACATACACAATAGATGATTTGCAATTCCTTCTCTCTATTAATTGCTAAAACAGGAAATGAATAAATCAAATAAGTTGTGGAGAATATATTGCAATACATCAACAAAAAGGGATCATTAAAAAGTATTGCTTTGACTTTGCTTGTTACATTAATTCAACTAACCAAACACGAAATCCAATCATTTTCATATACTCTAACATAAGATATTACCACCACATTGATGAAGTTGTTAAAGAGCTCTGATTATCGATTGTAACTATGCAATGTGTTAAATTTCTTGATTGAATCATAAAAAATTGAAATTCTTAAAATAGCCTTGAAATTTGCGTAAAATGAAAAACTCGAGGTTCTCTAATAAGCAGGAATGTAAACACTAATACACTTAATGTAAGAGGAAGTGATATCAGAACAAATGTATATAATAGCCTATAAATCAGATGACTCCCCCTTATTTTATAAATATTTTTCTAGATACCTCTTCTAATAATAAAATATCGTGGCTCTAACAAAAAAAGATAAATTGAAATCTTAGGTGTAACTTTAACCAAGAGAATAGGCCCAAAAAATATTTCAGCTTTTTGATGAAAATTTATCTAAATTCCCTTCAAATATTGTTGGAAGCATATTCATAGCATATAAAAAGTAGCACTTTCTTAATTATTTAGATATTTGACTCATGAATTTAAAAAATTAGGACTTTCTATAGTGAGAGGATCATTTGAGATCTCTTGTTCATATTTAGGAAGTATGCCATTAGAAGATCCTCATCTCCACACAGTTTATCAAAAGTATCTAATTATTTGAATAACATAGAGCAGTCAATCTATGCCTCTTCATGGTTTAACAGGTTCAGTTGAATGAAAGAAAGGATTTGTTAGAATATTTTTTTGATAAGATTACTAAAGCAAAAACTTAGAAATGGAATGTGTATATCTATAAATTACTCTTAAAAGGAATAAATTTCTTATTTGATACATTAGGTTCAAATGTTTTTGATGATAAAAGATCGAAACCCTCAGAATTTATAGATATCCTAACTCCTATTTTCAAAATCAGTGATATTCTATAGCATCCAATGAGCATTGATAAACCAATCTGTATTAGTGTGAGTAGAAATTTGTTTCAACACTTTTGAATCTTTATTTTTAAGAGAATAAAAAATGGTAATAGAGCATTTTGTCAGCATTACTTAACTATGCTAAAATCACATTAGCAGAAATTAATGTAAAAGAAACTAATTAACTGTTAAATTAACTGAGAGTTTAATGTGCATTGTTATCGAAATTATTCTCTTTGTTAGATTTATAATTGCATTCAATATCAAGTGAATTAATCAATCATTTATGGGAAACTGCAAAATCATTTTTAGATAAATCTTCATCATTAAGAAGAACCGGTTGGATCATAATTGCTGAGTTAATGATGGTTCCATATTTTGGAACAACTAATAAAGTGAAGGAAATTGGAATATTAATAGAAAAAAATCTAACTTCTAAAGAGGAGATTAAGGATGAATAACAATTATTGAGTTATTGTAGTGTTGGTCTAGTCATTATTTCAATACTAAATAGTAGCACATTATCAAAATAAATTAAGGATACAACTAGAAAGTTTTTAGCTTAACAAACTATTTTGATGTTTGCTAAGTTATCATAATGCAAATTCGATAAGTAATCACCATTTGTGATATCTTCGAAATATGTATTTTATTAGGCAATCAGATAAATTCAACCAAAATATTATTCAAATGAATTAAATTCACTTGTATAATTTTGTCTTGAAGATATAATAAATGGAAATTCACTATGGAATTAAGTAAATGTTCATAAAAATAATCATTATGTTGATGAACTTATGGGAATTCCTAGATCAGAATTTTAGTTAGTATTAGCAGCTAGCAAATTTTTAGGTCATATCATTTCTTCACAATCTTTTACCCTCAAAAATAAAATCAATTTCATTAGATATGTAAATGGCACTCTACAAACATAAGTTGTTAATATTAAAGATATCTAATAGAAGTAATCTAAACAATAATGTTATTTATTTTGTCTATATTAAATTGCACTTAAAATTTATTAGGCAAATTCACTTGTATCTCAAGAATTCAATGAACAAATATTTCAAATTATTAATTTGTGTTAATGTGTTGATAATTAAATCCAATAATTGTGTGCCCACCTTTATTGTTCAATGTTATAAATTAAGGATGTTGACCAAGCAGAATAATTAAACCAATTGTTATCTTAAAAGTCATAAGCTAATTTCACCTATTTAGTTTTAGAGATTCTGAAAAAGAAACTTACTGGGAGTTTAATTACAAGTGCAAAATCTTCTGATGAAAGTATTATCATAAATGACAACTGATGTTGCCAAAGTTATTCAACTATTTTAGTAGATTGACCCAAGTTTACTCAAAAATGTGTGGGTGTTCCTTGTATTTGCAATAAGTTAAAGTGATAAACCTATCTAAATATGCTAGTTTAAAATTCTTGCTGAAATTATTTTGAATTATGTTAGAAATGGTGGTATTAAGGACAATTACTTTAATATCATCTATCAGGAATGTAGATGCAGACTATAGTCAAAACAATTCTAAATTTTATAATTAGACTTTGCATTAGAATAAGACAATGAATAGACTGTTACAAAAGCTATTAATTTATTATTAAAAAAGCCATCACTTAAAATTGCAATCTTTATAGATTAACTAACTGATAAATATACTATGCCTTCTTTAGTGTAACCTATTTTATTTGTTTTGAATAATTTATTTTCTAATTAGAGAGTTCATTCAACCTAAGAATAAATGGAACTTCGGAATTTGATGAAAAATATTTTCATAAAAGTTTATAACCAACCTATTGCAGAGTTACTTCAACTTCTATAGCCTTATGTCTTAGATGAAGTGATACCTGAGCAATAAGAAAGAATACCAATCCACATTAAAACAAGAATCTTTCTTCTAAAAAGATTGTAAAAGCTATTTAAATAATGTGATACATCAGATCAGGTATTTGATTTTCTATTCAAAATTACAACTTCCATCTATGAAGAAGCAAAGGAAATATCATTTGATATGTTCCAACACTTTTTTTACAAGGAGAAGGACCTATTAAGTTTTGCAGCTCAAATAGATTCAATATTATGTGATACAATTAGAAGAGAAAATTAAAATCCTCCTTCTGTAAACCTAACGAACATGAAACTTATTAGTAAATTTGCTAAAATTGTAAAAGATGAATTTTTGGCTACAAAATTAATTTAATTATTATCTAAACCATTGTTAGATGAAGGCAGAAAGAAACTAGTACCTAGCTAATTTTTTAGCGAAAAGTCCTAACTCAATATCCTAATATAGAGAATTGTTTCATTAGGAAGTATCTACAGAAAAATACCAAAATACTTTGATCAAGCTCTAATAGAGTAGTTGAACTGCTATGTCGAAGAATTACTGGAGGATATATTTGTGATTCTATGTACTCCAAGATCTCATGTAAGGGAATGTCAGTCTTATAATTTTGTCTACAATGGAAAGAAATATAGCTTTGACCAAGGCTTTCTCCATCAATCCTTGCCAAAACTACTGCGAATCTCAAACCTTGATAAGCCTATCCACTTTACTTTAATTGGCTACATTATTACATAATATGTAAGATTATTTATCATATTTAGGGAGCATTTGAACAAAATGAGAATATGTTCAAAAAAACCATAGAAAATCTTACTAAATAAAGAATTCTATAATGTAGATCTTATAGAATAAAGGGAATCTAATTACTCACTGAAGTTATCAATAAAAATCCTCAAAATTAATTACTGATTAGCGGAGTTCAAAACTTATTACCTATAATCTCTGCAGAGGCACCTTATTCTTTAGTTATTTGTTAGCAATTTTATCAAACCCTTATTCATCATTAAATTGATTTATAACTAATCCTTGAACCTTTGATTCAAATATATTAATTGACAGTAGATTAGAACTTAAAATTAAATTGTTTAGCATCTTTATTAAAAATATCCTAACAAAATCCCTAGGCTTTAGATTAAATAAATACTATATTTTGGGATTTTTTACTCACCTAAGAATATGAATTCATGAGATGCACGCAACTAATTTAATTTTATAAAGATAAAATATATAGTTTAAAATATAATGGCTATATTTCAACAATTTTATAAGCGATATCTAGTGCCTAAAAAAAGAGACAAGAAGATTATTACATATTATTAAATTTGGATGGTTTAATCAACAATCATAATGATAATTAGGAATATTATTAATTAATAGATTGTAATATTATTTCTTATTATTAAAATAGTGCATTTTACAAATCTATTATAGATTGCTTTGGCGTTAATAAAACAAATTAAATAGAATGTATAGTCTATATTAAACTGTATGCTCCCTGCAATATATCGGAAAATTTCAAATAAGGAATCGGATTCATATATATTGATAGGGAAGTTTTTATTGCTCAGTTATTTATTGAGCAATCAAAAATAGCAATTATTCCAGAGTGCCTTCAGAATCATGGATCTTTTCACAGAGGAAAACTTGGATTCGTCTATCGTTGAAGCTTCAAAATAAAATCTGAAAATCATATTGATGAATACTTAGATGAATTAATTGAATTTACCAGATGACTTATCTGAAAAAGTTTAACTAATATAAGATGATATTTAAAGAGAAATGTATTTAAAACAATTAAATTTATAGTTAAGAAAAATAATAGAGAGAGGCTAAACAAAGACAGCCTTAGCAATCAGGTTAAATAGTACTAAAAATGTTTGGGTGATGTATTAAATAATTAAATTAAATAATGTCTCATATTTCTGATCGTTGTAAGACAGATCCTGATGAAGATAACGAGATCTAACGCAAACGAAAATAAGTTCAACAATTTATCTAAAATTCAAAAGAAGAATAAAAAAAGATAACATAACTTTTTAAAAAGGACTTGGATTTATAAAGTGAGAAAATAAAAGAAAGAATTCAAAAAAGAATTTTCAACAAAGCAATAGCAAAATCTTCGAGTTGTGGAGTATATATGTCAAGCAACACTAACAGCAAGAATTAGTCATTGGCTGACACCGAGGATTATTAGGAGTCACTATATGAAAATGTTTTATTGGAGTTAGATAACTAGAGAGATGAAAAAATCTATAGAATAGTTAAGCATTATAACAATCAAATTAATTAACTTAGAGAGAAAGAATACACAACAGAAATATTATAACAAATGCTACTTTTTGAAAAATAAAAATGGGAAGAAATTCAAAATATTCAATAATAATATGAAGTAATAAAGAGTAATTAAATAAAGCTATGACAATACATCATTTCAAAATGTGACCTATATTTAATTGTGTGTAATCACTATTTATTTATATAAATTATAATAATGTTTTAGAATGTAATTTTACTCACTTTATTTCAGCATCGATTATTATTAAATTTGTATTCAATGTAATTGAATAAAAATTTAAAATGTCTATATTTATTTATCTTAAATATAAAATTAATATAGTGAATAATAAAAAAAAAGGAATATTTAAGATTAGAAAATAGTGAGATATTTACATTTACTACTCTAGAGATTTGATCTATTAAAAATCTACACCAATAAATAATTGATTTGAAATAAATATTGGTTTTAATTAAAATGTTGTAATCCCAATTAGTTAGCTACCTAACTATTAGTACATAATGTAGTATATATTTCAATAATTTATGATATGTTAAAACAATATTAGAAACATTTTGACGATCAATATATACATTAATTAAATTCTCTTAAGATGAAAAATTTTAGTGGATTTTTAAAATAATTATCAATTGTTATAATAAATTTATTATAAAATTAATATCATATTTAATGAAGATTTGCTAATTATTACGAAATAGAGTGCTCTTTTTTAATTGTGATATATAAACTGTCTTTAACAATCCTAAACACATGTATAACCCAGGTTAAACAATATAATGTGCCCAATTAATGAATGAAGTATGTTGTCAATGATAACAATATAGGCAGCAGGCATATTAAATATCCCAGTTGTTTATACCGAATAAAATGTCAAGGCTTTTGGATCAACAATTCCAGAAGTCAAGGCTACAATTCCATCAAATAGTCATTATTACGAAAAACACACATTTTCAATGTATAATGAGGACGGAAAGAAGGTTCTATCTTAATATCCTGACAAGAATTAAGTTGTCATATATGGTTGGGAAGCACATGTCTGTGTTTAACAAACCTGTCTGGATTTAGTTAGAAATGGTAGCAAAATTAAGATATACTCTAGGTTGTTAGGTTCATATCTTAACCGATGGAACATCGAGCAATCGACCGCTTTATAGATCAACATGCTATTAAAGATTAGCTTAACAGGGAGTAGTAATAGATAATTCACAGTCAGTTTTATATGAATTGTTATAGTCCTACAAAGACGAAAAGTTCAAACCAATTTTAAGTTTATTTAAGAAATATAAATATGAAGAGGTTTTTACAACATTATGAATAATTATTAAGATTAAAATAAATAAAACAATAACATCAAACTAAATTGGCTTTTTCCATATATTCTTCTTTTAATTTTAATTTTCCCAATTTATAATATTTATGTTGGAATATTGAATATTTCTTGAGCATTTCTAGATGTAAATATCTCATTTATGCTGGTCTAGTTTTATCAATGAATTATGGATCTGCATATTTGTCAATAATAGCCATAGTTTCTGGGAAGAAATAATCTTATTATTCAATGTCAATTTCTTCTTCTACGTCACCATAAAACATCACATCTAATATAGCATGTCTTTCTACTAAATCTTCGCAAGTTAAGTCTTTGAAAAGTGTTTTCTTTATTTTAGGAATTTCCAATTCATATTTTAAATGAGATGCAGACTTATTGTCTAATAAATTTACAATAGCGTCAGATTGCATGTTGCCAAATAGACCAAAAATTCTTTTGTATTATTTCTTTGCTGCCAAATACTCTATTAAGGTAGTCATGAATTCATCTGATCTTTTTAAGAATATATGCGGTAATATTTAATATGCAACATTCATAGGAGTGTTTGGATAGATGTCTGGATTTTAAGGTGTTGCCAGACATGCAATTTTAAAATATTATTACAATTAAGGAAGTGTTAATTAGTTGCAGAGGGTCTCCCTAAAGATGAGTGCTGGAATATCAGCTAACATAATTTTTGCATTAAACTTTTTGGCATAATATGAGATGGTGGCTATTTTATCATAATCGATTCTTTCCTTATTTATATATGGTTCATAATCTAAAAAGTCCAATTTCTCATATTATAAGGCTTCTGCTATTTTTTCATGATATCCAACAGGCATAATCTCATCAGGTTCTCTGACAATCTAATTGATATAATCCTTTGATGATTTAAATTTATATTCAAAGCCTTTAAGTATTTGATCAGGTTTCATTTAGAGCATAATCAATGAAGGTCTGGAAAATAGCAATAGCTTGTATAGATTTTTGATTGGAACGTGTTCCCATTATGATCCTGCCAATGTAAAGTTCACATTTTAGTAATTAAAAATATGGACTTTGCCATGAGGATTTTTGTATGCAAATTCCTTATATTGGTCCTAATTCAAAAAGTAATCTTTTTATCTCCCAATTTTGTTTGGTTGATACTGATATTGAAAATCCAAACCGGTTTAATCTTTCAATTCTTAAGGATTGATATCTTTCTGCTCTTTTAAGATAGGTGATAACAAATATTTTGAAGGCAATCTCCCAATACGTTCTAAAGTTTTGTTTATTCTAATTGGTTTGACTGCGACGATGAAAAATTGTTTCAATTTCATTTGTGGTGAATTATATAATGAATATTAATATCAATTTTATGTTTATGGTTATTAAGGATTGGGATCTGTATGAGGTCTAGAACCTGCACTGAACAACAATACTATAATCACAACTATTAATGTGATGATGCCACAAAAGAAGAGCCTAAACTCACTCAAATACAAATATTACATTCTTCCATTATTCCCTTATTAAACTTAGGATGCTTTTTTCACTTCTACACATGCACCATCCACTTTTTCTTTGGCACTTTTCACATTTGAACTTATGATATCAATTTTAAGTCCTTGGTTTTTTATCATTTCAGCTCCCTCTGCCATCATTTGATTTAGTTAGTATACAACTCTAACATACGTTATTATAATACTATGCTATTTCGTTTATCTATTTATTTCGTCTTTATATAAATTCCTCGTCATATTGCAATTCATCTAACAATTATACATTTATTTAAGCATCGTTCTAACGTTCCTTGATCGATTGTTTTGCAGATTATAAACTTGTTTACTATCTTGATAATAACTAATCGGTTAATTTTTTTAATTTTTCATTTGAATCTGAGAATACTTGAATCAATTTCTATACGGTTTGCTATCTTTGTGACTAATAGTCAATTATAAAGTTATTTACATTCTCAGTCTTTCTAAATAGTTGAATAGATTGCATCTCTTAAATTATTTTTAGCATTTCGTCTAAATCATTTTTTGCTTCTTTGACTAACACCGGTCTAAATAAAAATACTTTTCAATTATATACATATCATCCATTCCCTTTAAAGATCTACTATTAATAATCTATTTATAATCATATAATTACTTCTTCGTTCATATAATGATAAACCTTTTCAAAATTGCGTATTCTTGCATGTGCCATCTAAGTCAACTTAGCGACTTATGCTTCTCCATCTTTTTAATGTAGATCCTAAAGCTCTAAAATATCTTGTTATTTCTGAATTTACTATATTTTATACTTTCACTTTGTTAAAGTCTTAGAAAAATGACATAAAAATATATAATATTTTATAATTTACTTTTTGTATTCATTTAAATGAAGAAAGATGAATCAAATGAGTAGGACTAGATTCCGCTTAATATTGAAAAACGATCCTCTTCCTAACCGATTGGCATTATCAAAATTGAAAATGAGAAGGTTTGGCTCTCTTTCAAAAAAATCCATCATTACAAACCAGATTCTGCCATACTACCTTATCAAATCGTCAAATAAAATTACCCAGATTTAGTAATGTTATCGTTGTTATGAGGTTGCAGAGAGATTACTGTATGAAAAATTGCAATTTGTTGGGTTCACCTAAAACACAGAAAATTAAGAATAAGCATGCATTTTCGATTTTAATGGTAAGGAGTGTTTGGTTAAATGGCTTCCATCTTAACTATTTTCTTGGATACCAGTTGCACAAGCAGATCCATTAAATCTACTTGATTTTTTTGAAACATAAAAGATTTATAAAGTATATTGAATTAGGTCTAAACTTATTAAAATCATTTTATCTTTACTAATTTACAACAATTTAGAGATTAAATTATTAAATCATCAAATCCCTTCATTTCATATCCAAAAATCAATATATAATTTTTTTATAAAATTAAACAAAAATGCAACAGACAAACATCTTTAGCTAGAGCTCTCTCTATATTCCTGAATTATCGGAACCAATCACATTTTTAGACTTTTCTAAAGAGCCATGTTTAGATCAATCAAATATCGCTACTTATAGAAAATAAGGGGAGCTTGGAAGATTTAATTAGGGCTAGAAAAGTTATACTATATATATATTTTAGATAGAGAATCCATATCGATCAAGTTGGGCTAATACAATATTACACAAACACTATAATATTGATATACTTGAAAAGGGGAGTAAAATTATAATAAAAAAATTACCTGGCACAGAAAGTAACTCTCAAACTTTAATAAATCATTTACCAGCAATAAAAACGCCACAATAGAGAGTCAAAAAAGAATTAATTTCTAGTATCGCTCAATATGCTAAAAACAATTTAGAAAAATTCTTTAAAGAAAAAAGAAAATATCATATATCTACATCAACAGAGAACAATAGTTATAATATGCACAATTCATCATGTAAGTAAACAGAAATGAATGATGCAGTCTTGGTAATTCAAGTAAATAGTTAAGATAGGTTAATGCCAATTTTTGATGTAAATTTTAAAAAAAATCTATTATAATACAATATGTGAATTCAATGTTTGTATTTTTATGTACAATCTTTATTTATCTGTTTGTTTGTATATACTTTATAATATAAGTAAGATAATTATTCATCCATTACTAATCTAAACAATAAATAATAACATAACTCAATTTGATAATCTAAATAACAATGATTAATGTAACTTACATCTTGGTGTAAATATCTCACTTAATCTTTTATTAAACGAATTAATTTTGTTACAACGTTTATATATGGAAAAGTATTTTAAATTCTTAATTTATTAAATAATACATAGATACCAATTTTGTAATATTCTTAAGAATTAAAGTACATGATATATTGTTGTCAACCTATATAATCTATTTATTTTATATAAAAATTTATTAACTAAAATGCCATATAAAATTAATATTAATATTAAAACACTTTAGTATAATTTTATAAATGAAAATTAAGAGAAATGATATTGGAGTAGATTAGAATAAAAGGACTAAATTCTTTTTAGGAGATCGTTATTGATTTGAAAATATATTATATGATGGATTTTTGACTTATAATTTAAATTATGATTATAGATATTAGAAGAAAAAAGTTATTCATTGAATAATTATATCATCCTACTATAGCTTTTCAACAACTTAAGTCTCTAATTTTAGTATATTATTTAACGCCGTTTAGTATTTATTCTTAACTTCTTCCAACTCTTATAATTTTTAAGGTATTTCTCTATTCTCTTATTATGAAGATATAAATTAAACTGATGGATAAGGAATTCTTTAAATTGGAGAATTATGTTCCTTAAATGATGAAAACTATTATGGTATATTAGATGGCCTGAGATAATCCCGAGGATATCTATCCTACGAATATTTATTTTGGCTAGGCCTCATAGATTAGAAAGGTGATTTCTAAGAGTCTCTTTCTCGAGTTCTTTCTCTTTTCATCTCTGATATTGCCTCCAACACTTCAAGTCGTTATTTTTTTCTATTATCAGATTGAAGTTGGTATTTTTATAGATTGTCTCTAAGCATCTCAATTTCTTCGTTTAGTTCTTAAATGTGTTGATTTAAATGCTATTTTTGATTTGATATGAATGATATCTGATCCTCTAGACCTTGTATTACTTTTCTTTAATACTCAATAGTATCAAAAAGTTCTTGTTGATCATCATACTAAATTCTACTTTTGAGTTCATTAATTGTATTCTCATAGACTCTTCTCTCAGCATAAAATTCGATATCTTGAGTTTGAATTTGTGATCTTTATAAAATCTGTAATTATTATTTCAATTCGTAAAGTTCATTTTAACGTTATTTCTCATATTTCAGAATAAGTTCTTTCCAATTTTCTCCTTCTGGATATTTTTATACATTGCTAATTAATAATTAATCAATTCTTCTTAAAAACTCTTATATTAATTGTTATTTCTCATTTTCATGTTATTCTTTTAACTTTTGTAATAAATTGGATTCATTTAGTGTTTGTTCTGGTATCTTCTATTTTTCTTGGGATCTGATCTTTGTTAACTCTTCTTTTAATTCGTCCTTAAGCATTGATTAAAAGGATTGCATATTCTATTCTAATTGTTTTTCTTTTTCAGCAATTTTTTATATTAATTCTTATCTGTTCTATTCTGCTTGATCATATTTTTATCTCCAATAACTTGCAGAGTTTTAAACATCTCCTTGTTAACCAATTTCTTTGTCAATATTTTATTAAACAACATCATTATACTTTTATTACCAAAACTCTTAATTTTGAATTGCTTTTTATAAATCTCTCTCCATTTATGTAATTTAATACTACCTTGATTATATAGTATCGTATTAACTTGGTTGAATCTTCTATTGCTATTACTCAAGTTCTAATACTCTCTTCTTATAGAATTTAATTTCATCCTAAGACTTTTAGTTTTCCATTCTTAATCTATCAATTAATTCTAGATTCATATTGATTTAAGCTAAATCCTATTCAACAATTAAATTTTGAGCTTCCTTTTCAGCTTATTTTAAAATAGTTTAAACCTTTTCAGGATTTTCATGAACACTTTTTAAATTATTTTCATATTTATCTTTCCAGAAGTTAATCTATTTTTCATTTACCTATTACTATTATATCTTTTGTTGACTTAACTATTAGCAAATATTTTATTCACTTATTAATTGTTTTTATAATTAATCAATCTAATCCTTGATTATTTCAATTTCTCTTTAAAGTGAATTAATCTGGTTTTCATTCTATAACTTAACTTTATCTGTGGTCTATTAGAGTACAAAAAGTGCTTCTTCTTATTGATGAATTTAAGAAACTTAATCTATTAACTATTTCTACAAACTGGTAGGTGAATGTTATTGACTGAAATCATTTAAAACTGTTTGATATTTTTATTTCCAAAAATCTATTTATTATCCTGCTAATTCGATTTAATTTTATAAATCAGCAATTCTCTATTTATCATCAGTCATATCACTTCTATCTAAATTCTTTATCATTTCACTTGATTGTTATTATTACTAACCCTATCTAAACAATTCCTTTTGATTTGCTTCCAAATCAATTAGAAGTTTAGAGTTTGCTAAATTCAAGAGAGTATTCTTCTAAAGCAATTCTGATATTAATTACGACTTATCATCTCCACTAAGAGCCTTATTCATTTATTAAAGAATACTAGTATATAATAAAATAATAATACTCTTAATTTATTCTTTTCAATTCCTCCACTTATTTAGCCAAAGCCTAATTCTATAATCCAAGACTTTATTTCTCTTAATCCTAAGAGTATTCTTCCTAAAATTGCTCTTTTTATTCTTAGGTTTTTAATTTACTTTGTGTATTGATTATTAATTATTAAAGATAGATATTTTATTTTTTCAAATCTTCAATCTCTTTAAGAAATGCTTAACTATTTTAATCTTAAGGTTATTTAAACTATTATACTATTTCGCCTTCTTTTTATTTTATAATTTCATTTAAATCTCCTTAAGGTTCCTTTTATTTAATCATCTCAGTATACTGCTATTTCCAGAATTACGATTTCTATTTCTCATTTTCAAGTTGATCCATTATTTATTAATTAGAGGGTGTTTGGTTCTACTAAGAGAGCTATTCTTTATAAAATGAAATCTAGGAATCTTAAATTTAATTAACTTTTTCTTGCATTTCAAGTTTTTGTTTATACTCTTAGAGTTCATCTAAGATTTGATTCGATTAGTTAACATTTATAAGCTAGCTTTAATATTAATTTTTCAAATCTTCAGCTGCTTATAATTTCTCTTCTAAATCAATAATTTATTAAAATGCTTTTAGAAGTTTGGCTTTTGCTGATGATGGAGATAATTAACTTATCTATTCTTAAAATAATTGATCAAATTTTAGTTTTTATTATTCAATTTTTTCATCCTTTTCAGCTATCTGCAATTGTAGTTTTTATAATTAGTTTTCAGATCTTTCTTATTAAATTTGTATTACTTCGTTATATTTATTATTCCATAATTAAGCATCTGTTATAGCATCTTTTAACTTTAATTTCAATTCTACTATTTCTCCAGAAAGCTAAGGAATTTGAGTTTCAACTTAATGCTATAGACTTTAAACCTATTCCTCTAAATCATGAATGTATTAAGTTTACTATAATATCTTCTCTTATAAGCCATTTGGTGTTAAATTTTCAGATTATAATTATAGTAATTCTTGATATTATTCTTTAATTTTATGCAATTATTTCTTTAGAAGATCATTTTCATTCTATAGTTATAATTATACATTTTTAGCTTCATCTAATTAAATCTAATCATGAATATCAATTAATTATTTTGTTTTCTAAGTCAATTAACTTTGCAAAATTAACTATTCTTATTAAAGGTTATCAACTTTATTCTTTGAAACTCTTAATTCTGATTGCAATTCTTGTTTTTCCTTTTGTAAGCTTAAAATTTAATTTTCATTGATTCCATTCTCAATCATGTCTTGGAACTTTTGAAGATCTTTCTTTCTAATTTATTCTAATTCTTCAATTTATTTATTTAAAGACTAATTTTATTATTTTAATTAACTTAATTATAAGGCTTTCTAAGGATCATTTTAAAATTGAATGGATTCTTATGATTAAGTAGGCTAAGGAATTTAATTGTTTAATAAATCATTTATTTATCTTTGAGCCTAAAGCAGTTATTCTTAAAATTTAATCTTTGTGAGTTTTAGTTCTTCGATTTAATCAATTAATTATTACTGTAATAAATCATTTTAATTTTTAAGTTCATTAATACTCTCTACTTAGATATTTTCATCTATTTAATTTATTAGATCCTCTTAGTTTGGAGACTTATTTGATACATCTTCTCCATACTTTAGAGCTAATTTTTAGTATTCATTTTTCCAATATTATTCCTATCTTTATTAATTCTTCAAATCAATCATTTCTTAAGATTATGCTTGATTAGATTTACTTAATCTTTCAATTTAACTGTTTTAAGTTTCTGTTAATTTATTTAGGATGGCGTTTTCTTTTATGATATCTGAATTTTATGAATGTTATGCTTCTATTTAATTTTCATATTAATTAATTAATTTCTTTTATTCATTTATTAGAATTTTAGCTTGTTACTCTTACTCATTAGCTTTTTAGTAATTCTTAACTAATGTTTATATATAATCTTAGGATTCTTCTAAATTCATCTATTTTATAATATTATCATCAATTTATATTTTAGGGATTTCCTATTTAATCTCTAATAAATTCAAATATTTTTCTTTCCAATTTCGAGCTTCCTCTAGTGCTTTTTTTTAATTTTAATCTGCTACTTGTAATTATTGTGTAACCTCGGGTATATCAGTTTAAATTTGATTCTGTAATGCTAATATTTGTTCTTGTTGCTAATGAATAATTTAGGTATTTTGCAAAAGTTTTTCTTATAAGCCATTAGGAGTTAAATTAGCTTATAATTATTCTTAAAGTTATTGATATTGTTCCTTTGATTGCTATAACTATTTCGATAAGAGTTAATTTTAATTCTCTAACTCTAATATTTGATTGGCTAAATTTTATATCATCTTGCTATCTTAAAGATCTTTTTGATCTTTTAATTACTACAATAGATCATCTATTTAATTTTACATCTATCTCTTAGATTATTGAAGTTGTTGATTTTCAGAAAATAATTAAACAACCGAATTATCCTTAGTACCATCATTCTCTAAAATCTTTTGAAACTTTCTTAAATCTTCTTATCTTTCGGCTTCAATCTCAGCGATTTAATTAATTAATTTCTAACTTTGTTATTGGAGATCAACAATCAAGTATTATTCTGGAGAATCTTAAATTTAGGTTTTAATGCTTCCCTTATTTTGGGTTGCTAACTTTGTATACTCTTCTTTCCAAAACTCAGTGTTCCCTTCAGCAAGTTTGTTTTTAAGGATCAAAATTTCCTAATCTTTTAAACTTATCTATTTATGTAAATCCTCTAATTCTGATGAGAATTTTTCTTATTATTTATGCATTAATGCAATTTCTTATTCTTGTAAAATATTTTTCCGATTTATGTCATCTTAAAAATCAGATATATTGGTTTAATCATTCTTATCATCATATTTTTAAGCAGATAAATTTGTATCTTATAAATTATTATTTTTTGTTGAAAAACTTTTATCATTACTTTAATCTTATTTGGATCTTTGATTTAATAGGTTTTGATATCTTTCCATTAGTAAATGGATTTCTGTTTATGAATCATTATATTTTTATTTATATTCTGCTAAAGCTCCTTGCAATTTTGGAACTTCATTATCCAATTACTGATGCATCAATTAAATTTCCTATTATTATTCATGTATTTAGTTAGCTTATTATAATAACTTTTCTTTTTGTCCATTAGGAGTTAAATTTTAAGAGGTTAACTCCAAAAGTTCTTGGTATTATTACTTGGATTATAAGAGCTTCTCTTATTGTTCTTAAATTATTTAGTTTAAATTTTCCAATTATTTTTTGAAATCTTCCTCATTATAATTTGAGCAAAATTCAGAGAATTACTTATTTTTTTATATTAATTACCCTTAAATCAAAATCTATTCTTATAATGCATTATCTAACTAATTTTATAGATTTCTCAATTATTATTCTAAATTTTATTTAGATTAGAAGAGTTCAATTATATGTTATTGATCTGCTCCATTCTCATTTATTTCTTTGAATTTTTATAAATCCTCAGCGCGTTAATTTTAAATCTCTTACAATTGATTTCTCAATTATTAAATTTGCTATTGTAATTAACTTATAGCTAATGTTTTTTCTGGGTCAGTCTCAAAAGTTAATTATTGATCATTATCCTGTTATTTTGATGGTTTAAAAGATTCTAAATTGTGAATTTAATTTTATAATTGAACAATCTGATAATATAATTAGGTTTATTGTGCTCTCAATTCTTCATTTTCAGGTTTTAATTTCTATAGAACTTGGCATTCATTGTTTTTCAAAACATTCTCATTAATCACTTTATTTAATTCCTCTTATAACTATTTAATTTTAAGAGCAGAATCATCTTCTTATATTTAAATGATATCATCTTTATTATTTTAATTATCTTGTTTTGTATTGTCAACATTTATATCTCTTTGTTGATTAATCTTACTTGATAAATTTGCTATTTCTTACATTAATTATTGTTCTTTGTCTATCATTTTATTAATTTTTTATTACTAATCCTTTATCTAATCCTATTGAATTTGTTGTATTTATTATGCCAAGTTATATTCTCTATCTTTTTCACTAATCTCTTCTTTCAACTTTTCTTCTATATCTAATTGAACTTCCAATTTTCTATTATTTTATTACAATTATAGATTAAGTTCTTAATTTTTCTCAGTAAGCTTTTTCAAATCATCACTAGGAATTTATGTATCTGGATTCTAAAGATATTACTTATTATTTAATAATTCATTATATCTCTTTTCCTAATTAAGAATATCATTCTCAGCAACCTATATCTACTAATTTGCAGTGGCTAATTGTCCTTCCAAAATAGGAATTTCCTACTCTATTTTATTGGATAAGTTATTAATTTAATTTTCGTAATCATGAATCAAGGCCTATTATTATAATATTTTTTCTTTCAATCCATTTGGACTTGAGTTTTGTTATGAAGTTTCTAATAGCTCTTAATATTATTTTTTAGCCAAAATTAATTAGGCTTCCAAATTATTAATTTAATCATTTAAATTTATTTAACCTTATATATAAGGTTGATTTTATTCACCCTAAAATTGTTCTAATTCTTTTAATTCTTTATTCTTACTCTATAATTCACTTTATAACCTAATTTAATTTTATTATAATGCATCGACCTTGTTCTACAAAACTCTAAAATGCTCTTGAAGTTTCTACTTTTCTGCAATAAGATCTACAACCTTTTATTACGTGATCCCATTTCCTATCATCTCTTAGAATTCTTTAAGATCATCCTTTCTCTATAATTCTTTTTCTTTTATTTATGCCTACAATTTTTAATTTTCTTATTCTAACTAACTAATTCTAATGGCTTTTTCTGGATCAACAATCTCTTTTTATGTAAAATTTCTTCTTGTTTTAGTTGATTCTGAATAAATTTTATTCAATTCATCTTAGAGTTCGATAATTTTTTCTTGAAGTTCCAAATTTTTATCTTTTAATTAATCTTCACTTTCTAATTACTTCTTATTTTTTTCAATTAAAAGAGGTTCACAAAGTTAAATTTAATAATTATCCTATTGCTAAGGTTTTAAATTTGATTAGTTTATTGTATTTTTTAATCTCTACATTTCCTTATCATTTTATTGTAATTTAATTAATAGGTCCTATTTAACTTTTTCATTTTCTAAATTTTTCTATTAAAGATCTTTAATTTAGAAATTTAAGAATGATTATTATTGTTCCTATTAATCCTACATTTCCATCAACTTATTATTCTCAGCCTATTTCTTTTTTAATTCCATTTCATTATATAATTCTTATTAAAGGAAATCATTTTTCATTAAGTTAATTTGAGATAACAGTTCTTAATTTTCTTTAATTTATTCCAATAACTAATATTCTGCACTGTCTAATGAATACCCTCTTTTTTATTTCTCAATTTCTTCCTCATATTTTTATTTCCAAAATTATTCCTCCTAATTGATTTATTTTTCATTTTCTAATCTATTAGTGTTCTCTTGTACTTTTCTAACTTTACTTAAAATATTTTTTAAATCATCTCTCTTTGTTTCAATAAACCCTTACCTATGTAAATTATGACTTGAATCCTATTTGCTAGAGTGAATTATTGATATCTTTTAAGGAATGCCAACTGTTGTATGAAATGTATGGCTTCTAATTGGAGAAATTCTTATTGGACTGACATACTTTACCGGAGTCAACACTCTCACACTAGCATTTAATCTTTCAGCAGAGTATCTGATAGGTGAAGATCTCAATTTATTATTAGTTCCAATTAGTTTTAAATCTTGATTCTTCAACCTTACTAAAGAATTTAATAAAGAAATTTATTTTATGATGGCAGGAATATTATTACCATCTAATTACAGATGCTCTATGTGACTCATTATTTTTGCAAAAACTTCCCCTGCACTCATTGAAGGAGACAAAGACCTTCCTTTTGTGGGGCTTTCATTATTTAATATTCTTCTCACAGCTTTTGGTGTTTCATATTATTTTAGTGCTTCTACATCCTAATTTAATGAGGTTAAATAAATTTAAATTTATTGTATTTCAACTTCATTGTTATCATCGTTATTCTCATATTTTTTAATCAATCTATGATGAGAACTCATTAATTCAGACAACATCGTTAAGGCATTTGCATATTTATTTTGTAACAAATTGCCCTTTCTAAACTACATAATGTTATTTTGCAAATTCTCAAATCCAGTTTGTAAACTATATGGTAGTACATTCTCTTTTCCTTTTAACTATCCTCCTGATTTTTAAAATAACACGTTATCATTTTTAATTTGTTATTGATTAACCTCTAGTAGGTAGGATAGTTTTTATTCTAGCAATATATTTTCTTCTTGTAATTTTTTTATCTCATCGCTCATTAACTGATCCTGAAAATTAATGCAAAATTTACTCTTATTTGATTTTCTTATTTGCTGAAAGTTCTTTAAAGTTAATTTAATTAATCCCTGCTATTTTTTTCTTTTTGTTATATATCGTTTATTTATTATTTCTGATTTTATATCTCAAGTAGCAGAATTTGCTCTCTCTCTTGCAGTTTTTAACTTAAATCTCATATTTTTAATATACTTCTAGTTTTTCATTGCAATTCTTTTTTTTTCTATATCTAATAAAACAGAATTTAATCTTTGTATTTCAAAACTCATTAAGACTTTTTCCATTTTCAGGTTTATAATATTATCCAAATTCATTGATTAAGGGACTGATGGAACAATTTGTATAACAGGGGATATAGCCCTTTGTGGAGACCTCATCTAAAAAGGCTGTGAATTATGAATAGATCTTCCTCTCATTTTAAATTTCAAATTTATTTTAATATTATTAAATGATCGTTACGATAAAGGCTTTTATTGTTTTTTTCATTATTTTGACCAATACTCCAAGTATTATCTCCAAATTTACTAAAATCATTGATTTCATCATTATTACTAATTGTAGATTAATTACTCTATATTATTTTTGGTATTTATTAAATATCAAAAAAAACCTAAAGTAAATTGGGGCATCTCCAGCTACAACATTAATTAGATTATTGGAATGCAAAGGATTCTAACAATGTTTAACTTAAATATTATCCCCAACAATTCAAAAGACACATTAATTAAAATCTTAAAAACTTAAGTACTGATTTTTGAAAATTGCTCTCAATAATGGAGAGTGTTAAGGAATTTACCCATTAATCTTGTTTATTTAATGTATTATTCTTATTTTTAGCCAATCCAGTAAATTATTATACTAACTTTTACAAAGCTATTGATGATGTCAACACGTATATCTCTAAATATTTATGAGATAATAATATTGCTATCTTATATTGTTAAACTCAATTTAATATTATCCATTTGTTAAATTTCTGGTTTTAAGAAAATATAAATTTAAACATCATCTCTTATAATAAAGTATTTCAAATCTGGTTTTAAGATCTGAATAAAATTATAAAATAAATAATTTTGATACATATTTAGGAATTCGACATTTTTATTGTCCTATAATAATAATAAAACCTATTTAAATAAATGACATGTATGAAAGAGCGAATCATCTAAAGAATTATTAAATATAACCACTAAAAACATATTTTTTATATATTTTATCCTCCAAATGAAAATTTAAATATATCTCAAGTTCATAATTGCTTAAGCAATTATGCAAAATCAGTTTTAAACTTTATTCCAATACAGAAGTATTTATTAAGGGAAATGTGTGTAGTTGAAAAAACAATTATAATCTTATTTATTTCCAAAATAAATTAACAATCAATTTTTATTATACTTTAAATAACAAAATCAATCAGAGAATATAAAGAAAGAAAGCATTATTACTTAGATGGTATTATTTTATAAAACATTATAAATAATAATTATATCTTGTGATAAGTTTTGAAGATCTACGAAAAAGCAACTAAAATTTAATTAGTCATAATTAATTAAATCTACTATTTTAACATTTAAATTTATTAGTGATCATATAGAACAACAAGTAGAAGTATGAGAAAGTAATGGTAAATGGATTATATAAGTAAAGTGAAAATTACAAAATTTGAGTGACTGAGGAATAATCAATTATATTATTAAAGGGAGTTAATAGTAATTAGATTAGAACTAACATCCTCATTAATCTAAAGTAGAAGAATTAGAATATTGAATTTATATTTCTAACAGTTTTTAAATTAACTGAAATAATAAATATTAAAAATGAATAACCCATCAATACCCCAACTTCCTTAAGCTTCTATCTATGAGCCAACAATATCGGTTTAGAAAATTTAGCCACATTATCGATTTGATTCCAATAATATGCCTAAGATTCAGTGTTATTACCATTAGGACAGTCCAAATAATTACATCAAATACTTTTGTAGACAACCAGAATGCTTAATGCCATTATGCGATAAGTGTGTTCAATAGCATTTGAATTAATACCACACATAAAGTTAAAGTAAATTTAAATTAAATATTCTTTAGGTAATATTGTACCATTTGAAACCATACTTTCAGAAATCTACTAGAATTTAGCAGCAGATTGCAATGAAATGTGTGATTAAATCAATAAAATTCAGTAGTTGTCAGAAAGAGCAACATCTGATAAATTAGTTGGAAAACAATCATTATAAACAAATCCAACCAAATTGATAGAATCTGCAAGGGATTAAGTTATTGCCATTGTCAATAATTATTTTGAGACTCTGAAGACTTATCTTCTCACTTAAATTGAAGAACCATTGCCTGAAATAAATGTCAAACCTGCCATAAAGGATATGAAGTTCAGATGGGAATAAAACATCAAAGATTTAGAGTCAATCAATAACCCAGCAGCAGCTATTGAAAAAGTTATTGAATACTGTGAAGAGGAATTAAGGAAAAAAAACGATACAATTTTGAATGAAGCTGAAAAATTGATCAAACTATTAGAAACTACAACACCTCAATATAGATAATATGGAGTTGATATTCCTCAACTGTTTGTTGATCCATCATTTCTCCCTAGATTTTTATGGGTTCTAGAAAGATATGCATTTTTTAATCATCCACCTATGGAACCAGAAGTCTTTCCTCCTCCAAGAATAGTTGAACAAATCCCTGTTTATGATCTCCCACCTCCACCCAGATATTATGATCCATATCCCCCAATGGAATAAGTTATTTATAGAGATCCCATTGTTATCAGGGAGCCTGTATTTAGGGATAGTTTAATTAGAGAAAATGAATATCCAGATGATTATGATGATGCTTATTGGCAGCGAAGAAATAGAGGAAGACAATAATAATATGATTACTATCCTGATAATGATAATGAAGCCTATTAGATGAAAAGTGTATCTAAAGAAAAAAAGAGGAAATCAAAAGTCTAAGACACTTCTCCATAGCCATTATACAAAATTACTGAGCAGTATGAATCACAAAAAAAAAAAAAAGCAAACAAATCAAAAGGTCCAAAAGAAATAGTCATTAGTCATGCATAACCTTCATATATCAATCTGACAACAACCTAATTACCATAATAACAAATTTATTAGCCTTAACAAACAACAACATACTAGGTTCAACCTACTTATTAAGCTTTGTAAACAGCCAATATCTTATTACCTACAAACACTCAATTAGATTAGTCTCAAAAAGCACCTTCCGGTATGACAAAATCAAAAATTACAAACTAAGCTTATAAAAATTTATGATAATTTCTGATATAATAATTATTCAATACAATTATTTATTTATTGTTTTAATAGTATAATCATAAAAAAGCAAGATTTAAGTAGATTTTACAATTTGTCTATTTTTTAATTTCTTTATAAGTTTTCTTAAGATAGATGTTTATATCATACATCAAGGAAAACCAGAAATAGATAATGACCAATTAGTTTTGAACAAAAATATACAATTAATTTCTAGTTTCTTCATATTATTTAATAAATTAGGATTACAGTTATAAAAATATTAATTAATCAAATAAATCAAAATTTAAAAATATGAAAATAGCAATTATTAAACAATCCAATTAATCGTAGCTCCACATATTTATTCTCCATAGGATGCTTTTTGTTAATTTTATTAAATAAATTCCTTTTTAAATTATCCAAACATTTAGAAAATTAGAAAATATTCAAAATTTAGTTTTATAGTTTTAAATCTCTATGTATTATTATTTGATGGAGGAAATTATTTAATAATATATTATATAAACATTGTGAATGTTCAAATTGCAGTTGGTTATTATTTTTCTGGGTCATTTTCGTAAGCAATTCTAATTGTTTTATTTGTTCTAGAGAAACAATTTGCTATTCTTTTGAGGATGAAATCAATCTTTGCTTCCCAATAGCAAACCATATTGAAAAAGTAATGCGAAAAAATATACCCTCCTGGTACCTTTTTGATATAGATGATAAATTACATCAATAGTATAATGGATCGCGAAGGAAATTACAATAAAGGCCTAAAATATCGAACAAATGAAAAAAAAGAGTGCCATATAACTTTTTCCTACTTTTCTCATTTCAAGAGCACAAATAGTTAAAAAGCCAACATGTCCCTAAGATAATTTGAATGAATGTACTGAATAAAAAAAATCTGAATATTTTCCGTATTTTACAACTAAGCTTGGCACCAATGGGTCTTCCCAATAGTAGTTGGGTGAATACTCCAATTTGAATATATTCAAGTGAACCGCCCTTATTGCATAGAATAAGATAAGAACTGCAAACAATCTAAAATTTCTTTCGTATAAAACCCAATAGAGTGACACATAAAAGAATGCGAAATCTAAAATAAGGGCAGACGATATTTGCATCATTGCAGAGAACCTAAAATAATTCAAAGTTTAATACCATCTGTGTTCTTAATATAATTTATTGACTGGTGTTGTCATTAAGTGTCCCCAATCCCATACACCATTAATGTTATCACTTGGAGTACCAAAAATTTCCCCTAGCTGTGTAACAACAATGTAAGTAAAAAAAATAAAAATTCTGAATCTAAAGTTATAACAAGGATTTCCTGGAACAGCACTTTATCGATGATCAAATTTATTTGGGAAATAAAAAGATTTTAAATCTTCACCATTATATTGCACAGCATCATCAGTTTTCGTTGCCATATTAAATAAATTAAATAAATGTATTTATTTCAATTTTATTCCTTTTTCTTCTTAAGAATTTAAAAAAATAACTTGTTGAACTTTTAACTCTCAGATGAATATTGAATTTATAATAACTGACATACATTTAGGTTAAATTTGTTATAAATTGCCATATGCTTTGTTTCCTTCTTCCCTTAACACCATTTTATCGATCACTCTGATGTATTGAGATTTCTCTTAGAATTCTCGAATTCTTGGGTGTAATACTCTATTCATAGAAGTAGAAATTCTCCGATTACGTTTTTGATAAAAATGTCCTAAGTCCATTCTTTTTGTTTACACTTCTATGATAGACCATAACTGTACTGGAATTACTTTTCTACCTTAAATCTATTATACCCTTATTTTAACTTGTTGTTACTTTAATCTTTCAAGAAATTTATTAAATATTCATATTGAAAATTTGATGGCTCTTTAATTTGTAAGCTTAATAATTTTTTTTATATACATATAGGATCTATATTTATAATTTGAGTATTTAAAATATGTCTAAATAATAAATCATAAGATCTTTTAATTTTAGAAAATATATGCAAAAATATAATCTTATAGTACAATTCTTCATAGATCCTTTTCTTTTTAGGCATGTTGAATTGAAGTTGTGCTTCACTTTTTGACATATTATTTATCAAATTTATTAACACTTTTATTCAATATGTAAATCTATCTTTTGAATTTATTTTAAGCAAATTACTCTTCTTATGATAGACTATCTACTTTCCTATAATTTAGTAAGTAATTGTAAGACAAATTAACAAACAATAATTATAATACTAAGACTATGTTAAATACGATTGTTAGAAATTCTGATTTTCTTTAAAATAAGTTTCTGATCAAATTATTAATAATATAAATGAATATTTAATTGACTGATATATTGACAGCATATGAGGCTGAGCATTATATTGAAGGTCTTCAAATATTTGAGATTACTGAATTAGGATGCAAAAAGTAAGAATATCTTAATATATAGGTGGTTCGCATAAGATGAGGTTTTATAAAAACTTAATTTCTAAGCACACATAAATGCCATAACTAGATCTGACGAATTCATTATGGAAGCCTTCTGTACCTTTGATAAAATCAAACCATTAATCTATGATTTAATAATGACTGAGATGTGGAAGCAATATGTGTTCCCTTATTTGAAATCTCATTTTACTGAATTGTCATCAATTAGATCTTACACAGTACTTTAACACGAAGCTATTGTCTGCAATTTATTGTAAATTTGCTTATTTCACAGAACTTCGATAGAAGCATCAGAAGGTTATATTCTTGAGATAGTGGATTATTGCTATCGAAAATTAACAGCTTTACTATAGAAGTACTGAATTGTAAAAAAGATTTAGGCCACCTGCAAAAAAGATTGAGAAAAAAAGCATTGATTATTATAAGAATAGAACGAAAGAAGCTGAAATGGATGAGCAATTTTAGAATGTTGAGTTTTAAATTCAAATGATGTGTCTGAGCATTATAAGATTCATAACTGATCATATAAAGCATTTGCCAATTAATATCCTACACCAAATTATTGTTGAAAATGACTTTTTCTTTTTACTAATCCCCTTGATTGAAGAGAAGCCTTGGTTAAGAATTAATCCTAATAATGAAAGAGAAGTATTTGAATAATCAAAGTGGGTTACTTTAAATAAGGAAGATTATAGTAAACTACCTAAAATTGAAGCCTAATTGTGGATTACAATATATAATTTATTCATGGACCCAGAAAGCAGAAGGAAATATGAATTGAATGATTTTAAAAAGAGTAATTTATTAAGATTAAGGAAATTTATGAATGAATTGTTATTGGATTAGATCCCCCAACTTGTGGATATGTTGAGGTCTTTGGAAGAGTTATCCCTTATGTAAGTACAAACTTAGAGTAAAAATACTATTGTAGTTCAATAATTGCCAGAATTACGTTTAGCAATATGCAAAGATAAGAATTGGAGCTCTATTGCTTAAAAATAAAAAGAAGAGTATTTCCAAATTGATGATCCAAGTATAAAAGAAGGTATTCAATATTATTAATTTAATAGATATCAAAAGAATGGCTGAACTATATTCAAATACAGTGTTTGAAGGTATTATTGATGGATTTAAATGTGAGAAATGTACAAAGGAAGCTACAAAGAGATGTTCTCGTTGCAAATAAGTGTGGTATTGTAGCAAAGATTGCTAAGTTGGTGATTGGCCAAAACATAAGGTCAATTGTAAGGCAACTACGACATCAAAATAAGAAGACTCTAAGTAAGTAGAGAAGTAATCAGATAAATTATTGGATCAAATTGATTGAGTATATTAATTTAATAAATCAATAACACTTAAATAATAAAATATTAAAACTTGATAGATTTCTTACTTTAGAATGATCTGGACTAAAGGTTGAAGTATATAATAAGAGGATATAATAAGACTTATTTATTTTATATTTAGAAATCACTTATAATTGACTTCTAATTAGAATTTTAAAGGAAATCCAATTTAAAAGATTCAATAATGAAACTATCCACCCAATATCTCCCTTTAATACATGATTATCACTAGTAAAAATAAATATTACTAATTTTTGTATTAAAAAACATAATAAAATTTATTTAATATAGCTTATTGCAATGTGGAAAAACAAATTAGCTGAGAAAGGAAATCGAAACTATGGAGAAATCGATTTCTCTTAATTTTAATCAGTAGCAGAACGGGAAAAAAATAACAAAGCATTGGAACCTGCCTCAAGTGTTTACTCAATCAATATGAAGGGAAACACAAAAATTCCATTTCCAAATATTAAATCCAAATCTCCTGATGTTTTAAAGATTCATCAATATAATTAAGCAGTTATCGATGTAAAGTCAAAATCTCCAAAGGCAAAAGTTATGAATATTAATTCTTAAAACTTAAGCAAACAATTCGAAACTTTTATGAAATCAAAACGAGAGTATAAATTATAATAAAAATAATAATTATGATGCTCAACATTTATACGTATACTTAAAAACTCATTATTATTTATTAGTGTTATCATTTGGCTCTACAATTGCTTCTTGTTCTGCTTATTTCTTTTTATGTATTATTTTTGTTTTTTTCTCAACAGGTTTTTCCACCAATAATGGATCATCTATTAATTTTAGCATCGAAATAGAGGTTCTTGATCTTGAACTTCTCTTACGAATTGGATCATCCCTTCTTCTAACAGGTTTTCCTTTTTTCATGAGAGGAGTAATTAATTGCTGTTTAGACAACTTCTTTTTAAATATGGACATTTTATTTCTAATATTACCTGTGCCCTTCTTAAGAATAGTAACTTCTTTTAAATAAGGCGAATTTTGTTTGACATTCATGAAAACTTCCACACCACAATATCTGAAAATAAATTTGAATGAAGCATCTAATGAGTTTGATCTTCTTTTTCCAACGCATAAACCTTAGTAAGTATTCATAGTAGGTTCACTCATATTGTGAATCCATTTCACTTGAATTACATCTCCCACTCTAAAATCAGGGAATGTCATAGGCTTTAATTATTGAATGGAATTACTTTGATAATTTGTAGTCTTTCATATTCTTCATTTTCTAATTATTATAACAACTTTTTTCTTGGCAAAATGGGTGATGGAGGGATGACTGGCCAAATTGTTTATTCATCATCCCATTACGGTAATCTAGGTCTTCTTGATTTGGGGTAAGCAATTTATCTGGGTATGTAATTCTCAATGTAATGAGTCTTATCAAAGGGTGACCTCTTTGGTACATAGCCATAAACTATGTTGAATCTAGGAATGGTGTTTACTAATGATCTGTAAATTCCAATCATATATTTATATTAAATTATATTTATGCAAAAAATTCAAAACTTTATAGAAAACAATAAAGCAGCTGTTGCAATTGTAGCTGTTGCTGCTGCTATTGGTATTGTTGGTATAAAAGTATTGAATTCAGATAATAGAGGGAGTGGTAATAGTTTTTTGATTTATTAGCTAAGATCTTGGATGCAAGTATATAGAAAGTCCCCTTAATTGAGAGACTGGGAGGAGAGTAAGCAATTTAACCCATGATATCATTATTATTCGATCGTATTTCTAATAATAAGGATTTAAAGTCCCTTTTCTAGAATGTTGAAAAGAGTGTATATTATTTTAATATAATAATTTAGAAAGTTTCATAGCATTTTAATGCTATAGTTTTATATTTATTTGGAGGAAAACCGCCGGCATAATAAAATTTTTCAGATCATTGCAAACTAAATATAACAGAACTTCAATTTAGCGTAATTGTAAATCTTTTAGATCAAACTCTTAAAATGTTAGGAGTGGATGACAGAGAAATCTTTGATGCAAGAGAAGCATTTTAAAGCAAGAAATAATTAATTGTTAGTCCAAATCAAAGTGCTTGATACATTTAAAATCAATATATAATACATATAATTAAATAATTACAAAATTTAATCTTGAATTTCAATCCATCATTCATTCAGCTTGTGGTAAATTTATATTTTGGGGATTGTATCAAAAAATTTTGTGAGTTTTCCAAAAAATTTTGATTAATTTTTAGAATTTAATTAAATATATTTATATAATTATTAAAATCCTAATAATTATTGAAATTAGAAATCTTTATAATCATCAGCTGGATGTCTAATTAATCATTTTATATAGTGAGGAGATTGTTCAGAATATTATAGTAACTTAGTCTACACAATAAATAATAAGGATTTGGAAGATTTAGTGATTTATCAACATCTACACGTTAGCAATACTTGTAAAATTACATAGTTGTATTTGACGATTCAGCCTTATAGCAATTTGAGTGTAATCAAATAACTTTAATATTGAGAATTAAACTATCATTGACAAATTAATTAAAAATTAATAATTAAAACGATTGATAAATTGATAAAGATAAATAATCCTTGATTATAACAAAATATTCCATATTTTAGAAAGGAAATCTGAGCGCTACTTATAGAGTCAAAAATTTAAATCTTAATATCCTTAGTTTAATAGGGGGCTAAGAAGAATATAAGATTATTAATTTTAAATTAAATGAAATCTTTAAAATGGACTGAATTCCTGTAAGAAATAGGAGATTCTAAAGACGTAGACTTAAATGAGGAACAACTTAAGTAAATTGTCAAGTTCCCAAATCAGAAAATGACATATTAATAATTAGAACATTATTTAAGCAATGAATTTAAGGTGCATTTTAACCAATAAAGCAATCGAAGCAAATGGCATCAAAAGGATAAATACTTGTTTATATGGTGTGTTGCTAAATTAGCCGAGAAGAGGAACTTAAAATTCTATGAATTGGTATTTAAAAAGCTTATGTCTAGCATCATAAAGGAGTCTTCGAATATCTGGCAAAAGTATTAGATGTTCCAGAGTAATTTCTTTTAGTAAAATGGATGAGTCTATTAAAACAAAGCTTGAAATAACTGCCATGGACCCCAGAGGAAGACAAAATATTGATCCAATTAAGATAGTATTTATAAATATCAACGAAGGAAATATCCAAGCAACAATTGGACTGTAATAGCAGAGGAATTTATTTACTTAACAAAAAATTTAAGATATTAAAAGTAGATACGTGAACGGTATAATAATGTGATTAATTCCAAAATCAATAAGTAAATCTGATTAATATTCAATAGAAAGCCTTTCACCTATTAAGAAAAATATGCACTTATGCTTCACGCTAATGAATTGAACAAAAATTGGTCTGGTATTGCCAAAAAGATGCAAGGGCGGACTGATAATAAAATTAAGAACTGCTATAATTCGATTATGAAAAAAATTGCAAAAAAAATGCATTTAGTATATTTTTAAAATATCTTAGAATAAATTAAATTCTCAAACAGAGAAGAAAATCTTAAAGTTAATCAAAAAATATAATACTTGTGATCCTGACGAATTAGCAAGTCAGATAGAAAAAGTTTAAACAAATTTAAGTCCTTTAAATGAAAGCCTCAACACCTTTAACGAGCAGCATCTTATATCTCCAATTCTCCCAAGCGTTTAACCAATATAACTCTTCTATCCCTTCTACATGTTTTAACCAAATATAGGATTTCCATTGTAATATTTTCAATGAAGTGAACCCAAATACCAAATAAATCTGATCTATTAAATAAAGTTATTTATTTAAAACACTTCGTTAATTTTAACTGATTTCCAATTTATTTCTTAACTTTAGAATTTCTTATAATTACTTGTCTATGGTAAAATTATAATTAATATTTAAAGAGACAGTTTTATCCTCACCTTATTCATTGATATAACTAAATTTACATATATATGTATATATAGATTTAATAAAGAATCCTTCGAATTATAAGTGGTTATCTATTAATCCTTTGAATTATTTAAAAAGTATTTTTTGATTACCTTCTAATCCAAAGGAAGTGTAATCTAGAAGAATTTTAAAATTGATTCTTTACTGATTGTCTTAATTTTCCCCTTTATAATAAATCTCATATATTTTTATTTGATATTCTCTAATTCAAAATTTATAAAATTTTCATTCTATTTCTAATATCCTATAATAATGACACTATTCTCCGAAAATCTAATATTTCAACCTTTAAATCGAAGTATAACAATTTCAGGTAAACTTTTAGAGAAAATTCGTCCATAATTTTATATATCTCAATCCTTATATGTTGATTCATGAATCTAATGTATCCAATTTATCTGTATAGTCTTATATGATATCAACTTCGGCTGGGAATGATATTGGTAGTTAATAAACAATGACAAGTAAAAAATGAGATTAGCAAATTTTTAATAAATAATTACTAATATAATTCAACAAAATTTCTACAATAATATTTATCATAAATAATTTTCATTCAAACATTAATTTTTTCCATTCCTTTTTTTTCATGTACAGAGATGCTGCACCAACATGACCTCCTCCACCAAAGGATTCAGCTAAAACATCGCATCTAAATCTATTGAGCAGAACCCCATTTTCGTCATGATGAGCTGACCTCAAATGAATTTTATACTAAGTAGAATTGCTTTTATCATCATGGTAAACCGCACCTAAATTTTGATCACCTGACCTCATGGCCAAAATGCCTAAGGCGTTGCCTAAGGGATTCATAATGCTTAAGTCATCACAATAGAGTGCATAGCCTACTGCATCCTTCCCAAATACTACTGTTTTACGATTCTTAACTAAATTTTCAACTTTCTTATTTCTTTAGATGGCTAGTTGTTATCCTTCCTTAATTAAAAAATCGAAGTCGAATTCTAGTAATTTATAAAAGATTGCTGGATTCTACCGAACATCAAATTACAACCTTCTTCTCATTATAGCCATTTACAAAGGTTCTGTTTCAGGATATTATAACACAAATAAGTCATTATCTGAAATGTATTTGGTAAATAATGTAAATTTGGTTCCAATATTTGGAGGAAGCAATGAGGTATATTTAGTTTAAAAGATTTATTCTTGAAAGTCTTGCACTAAGAGACATGCAGCCTTGTCTATGCTTACTAGCATGAATAGATTGTCTACTCCTGACACTTTATTCAGGGCTTAATATTTCTCTCTTTTGAAATCTGGAATAGCATTTACACATGTTTAGTGGTGATCAACAACTATCACATATTGAAACCTCTTGGTTAGCAGTATCAAATTATCCCAAGTTCTTCCGAAATAGTCTACAATAATCAAAATTGAGGATTTAGAATCATCATTTAAAAATTTGATTATTTTCTAAACTTCATTATTATCTTCACTCAATCTAATGGGCATATAACACAGGTCCTATATAGTTGGATAGAAGAAGCCCATATTTTGATTTTCAATTGGCTCATCTTGATATATAATTTCTTGCTTATACTCTTGGGGTTTTTGGATTTCTTTGGATATTTTAGGGAGTTCTGACCTGAGTAATTCTAAGTATTATTGGATAGTCCAGTTATCCTTTCTGATTTTAACTAGAATGGGCAATATAAGTCCTGTCAAGGAGTAAATCCCATCCAAACAAGGGTCATGATATATGACATATAGTTTGCTTGAGGGTTCTTTCTTTTACATAATTAAATAATGAAATATTATTTGAAGGATTCCTCTTTGAAATTGATTTTGGCAAGGTATTATTTGTTAAATTATTAAATTAATGGAATCGAAACTTAATGAATTTGAAATTTTGAATAAGTTAGGTGAGGGTAGCTTCGGATAGGTGTACAAAGTGAGACGCAAAGCTGATAAGCAAACTTATGTGATGAAGCAAATCAACATTTCAAAAATGAATGCTAGAATGAAAAATGAAGCTTTAAACGAAGCAAGTATCTTAGCTAAATTGGATAGTTCATATATTGTGAAATATTATGAATCCTTTATAGATAAGTAATTGTTATGTATAGTAATGGAATTTTGTGAGGGGGGGGATTTGCACAAACTATTAAAAATGCAAATGGGGAGACCGTTGCCAGAAAACTAAGTGTGGAGATTCCTCATCCAAATAACATTAGGATTGGCATTCCTTCATAAGAATAAAGTTTTACATAGAGACATTAAGTCTATGAATATATTTCTCTCCAAAGATCAAGTTCGCATTGGAGACCTTGGAGTGGCTAAATTATTAAATGATCAAAACAACTTTGCAAGGACTATGGTAGGAACTCCTTATTACTTATCACCTGAAATGTGTGAGGAGAAACCCTACAACGAGAAAAGCGATATTTGGGCCTTAGGTTGTGTTATATATGAACTATGCACTTTTAAACATCCATTCGAAGCTAATAGTTAAGGAGCTCTGGTACTCAAAATAATAAGAGGAAGGTATGAACCAATTGGATAAATGTATTCCTCAGCTTTAGGATAATTGATTGATTAGTGTTTGTAAAAGGATTATCGACAAAGACCTGATGCATTCTAATTATTACAATAAGCAAGTAATTATAAATGTCACATTAGACAGGTCTGATTTAATAGGCATAGAACTTGAGAATGCAATTAAATTTAAATTAACCTCATCCTAATTCAAAACAGACCTCATAAATTTAACCCATTCAAACTCCAGTTATCAGCAAACCTAAAGAAATTCAGCAGTCCTTAGCCACCCCTGTTGCTGTTTCTGTCAAAAGTACTCCATAAGGAAAACCATTGAAAGCTAAAGTATCTACATCTTCCCAAAATTTGCAATTAGAAGTAAAAGGAAAGCAGGAACCTGTTAGAGATACTCCAATTGTTTAAAAGAAAATTGTGTAAGTTCCACCTACCTCTGCTCCGAATCAAGTTCAAAATTAAAATTAAAAAATGGATGATTTTTATAAGGATTGGAGAGATAAGGTTTCTGAATTGCAAAAGTAAAAATAAGACGATCGGATAATTGTGTCTAGACCTGAATTATTAAAGGCAGAATTTCAGCCAAATTAAATTCCTATTATTTCATCTTAATCAAATAATAATCAATCTAATTAATAATAAAACATTTTCTCAAGTTAACAGGTATAACCTACAAAAAAACCAGTTTTATAGGTAAAAGCGAAGGTTTCAAATCCTAATATAGAAGAAATTGATAAAAAGAGAATTCGAAAAGGTGCCCCGAAAGAACCTGCAAGGTAAGTTAAAGAACCTCTGAGAAAGGCTGATAAGATTGAATAAATTAAAGAAACACCTAAATAAAACAAAACTAAGAGCATAAAACAATAAACCTGCTCATAAGAGGAAGTGGATATGGTATTGAATTTACCTGACTTTGTTGCTAAAGAAGACAGTAACATTAAAGTGATAAAGCCAGAAAGAGAAATCATAGATATAAGTTCATTTGCTGATGAGATACCCACAACTATAGTTGAATCTCAAAGTGACATGGAATCTAATCATTATGTTTAAGTACAATTTAGATCTGAACCAAAAACAGCAGCTTAGTAGGATAGTTAAAATAATGGTGAATATTAATAAGATTCAGACAAAGGGGTATATTATGATTATTTACATTTGTAGGCTTACACAGATCCTGAGGATGGAGATGGTGAAAATGATGAGGAAGGTAGGGATGACACTGCTGATTATGGAGATGAACAGCCCATTTAAAATAGAGATATTCATACTATTCAAGAAGAAGCTTTTGAAGAAACAAATCAATGTCATCAGTTTATTGAATTATGCATTGACAATAAGAAGATGGATCTCAATAAGTAACTGTTGGAAGCTGAACAAAGAAAGATGGAGTTAGAGTAATTCTTGTTAATCAAACGAAAAGAATGCATTCAGGATCTAGGATAAAAGTTATTTGAAGAAGTCATCAATTTCTTAAGGACAAAATTAAATGTAAATTTACTATAATAATTCATTAGTCTTAAGAAGAATTGAATGATAAAGATTAAGAAGAGATAGACGATTTAATTTAAAATAAGTTACTTAATACAAAAAATCCGTAGATAATTTATGTAATCTACAAAATTCTACACTTCGAAATAGAAATCACTAAGAGTGTTGATAAAATTAAGGATTTGTCTGAATAATTAATTAACCTATGATAAAAAGGATAATAATTTTATTTATCATAAATAATCATGCATATGCTATCAAAATTAATTATTTTATTTATCCTAAGGGGACTCTTCGAAATAATTAAAATCAATAAATAAAGCAGCAGCTAACAACAAAGCTTTTTATCTACTAGACGCTTGCATCGGAAATAAAAGTCTAAAATTAGTAGCATCAACATCGCATAATGCATTACAAAATCCTGCAGATTCTTTCCACAATTCAGATATTTTCTAAATCATATTGATCTCTTCTTACTTATCCTTAAGAATCCATAATATCAAATCTAGCCCTTTAACATGTTTCACAAGGCAGATTGACTAAAAATGGCCATTAACAACAGCTTCCTCTTATAGTATAGACTATTTGATTGTTCTCATCCAAAATATCCACACCTTTATCACAAAACATAAATGGATAATTAATAGTTCCTATCTTTACTCCATTCGACAATTGAACTTCCATCTCAGGTCTAACAAATTATATTCTCAAAACTAATTACCTCTCAAAACAAAGACAGGTACATCTGAATTCTCTACTCATCCTAAATACTGTGTTAGTATCTTATCGTTCATTATATTATTTAACTTTCAAATCAAATGCTCTACATGCTCCAGGAAGGCAATTCCTTTGCCAACAGCTGCTCTCCTCCTTGCATTTAAAAATTGGAGCCTATTGCTTGAAATCTGGTTTATTTCCCATCGAGTCAGATTGATAAACGAAATAGGCATTTTTTTTTTCACAAACCCCTAATGTCTCTAAATAATCAGGACGTTATTTTATAAAGACACTTGGGCATCTTGATAATGCATCTAAGCCAGAATTAAAGCCAGCCTAAGTGTATTTATTATTATTACATCCATTTACATAGGGGATACATAATTTTGCTAAGGATAATATTGAGCTTAAGGGTAATGATATTACATTATTTCCTGGCTTAATAATAAAAATTAATAAATAATCAATTTAATTGAAATAAAACAAATATAAATAAATATATTTTAAATTTGTAACTTTTAAAATCAATCTTAAGATCCATTAATTAAACACAGTTTGTTCAAATTGGTATTTATATAATGAAGGTAGAGATTAATATTTATAATATGAAAAGATTAGAAATTATTGCTTTTCATCATAGAATTATAATGATAATGGCTTTTGATGTTTGAAAAATCGAAAATTAGATTTTTTTTACATTTAGAGTAACTAAAAGGTTAATTTATATAGATGAAAAACGCCTCCAAGAAAGAAATCAAATAATAAAATTAAAAATAGAAGGGTTAAAATGTGTTAATAAATTATGTAATTAAATTCTCAATTACTGAGTTATTCTGTTCTTAACTTTAGAGTTTTACAAACTCAAGTACATGAATACATTATAAATAAGAAAATTCTTAAGGTTTGATTAATTATGAAGTCTCTTTTCAGTTTGCTTATATTTTTATAATTTTACTGATATTTTTTGTTAAATTTATCAGCAAAATTCGCCAATTTCAGTAAGTTAGGATTATATCTACCTTAAATATTATCAACTGATTTATTCAGTGAGTATTAAGCAAACCTTCAATTTGATTCATTTTAATTTTTTGACACTATTTAAACTTTGATATTTAAATGGTAAAGCTTAGATCCATCCAGAGAATTTTGAATAATTTTAATCGAATGGTTAAACTCATTTTCTTTAAATGCTTAAAAAAAATAAAATTGTTTTCTTTTTTAATTTAGAAATCAATTTGGTATTATTCTACCAAATGTCAAGTCTAACATTTCTGAATTGCTCAATTCGTACCTTTTAAATCGAAAATACATTGAAGACAAATGTACTCAAGTTGCTCTACAAATCCTTGATGCACTCTATAAAAATATCAACAGGCTTAAAATTATCATCTTAATATCATAATCCAAAAATATAGAGTTACCTATTATGTCAATTATTATTTCAAATTTTCAAAAAAGAGCAATTTTATTACAATTCATATGTAAATCACTTTCTTCTTTTCATTATGCCATAATCTGCTTTAATAAAAAAATTATTCAAAACAGGTTTTAGTTTATATACTATCATCTCTAATATATTGTAGAATATCCCTATTATGGATATTTATCCGATTTCAATTACTATTATACAAGTAAAACTAGTCTCCACATAGATTGGTAAAGAGAGATTTGTAGAAGTTTATTGAGGCTTAGATGTAATCCACAGTGACAAAGCCTTGACCTCATGCAATAATCAAATTCTGTATTATATAATAATTCTTAGTCTTAACAAATTATTATTGTATTAATATAATATTAGCTTTAACATAAATTAAGTATAATTATTGTTCTTAAATGCATCAATTTCTTGTTTATATATTAGAAGTGTATCACATCTTAGTTACCTAATAAATACATTAGAACTATATATAATGGTAATAGATTAATGAATACTGATATTTTTAATTATATATTAATTTTTAGAGATTATTTGTTTGAGTCTTTTACATTATTTTATTGTTTACTTTAAAAGTTACGTACAAATTTATTAAAAATATATAAATATATTTATTATTAACGGATACTTTGGAAGCAGAAATGTTGAACCAAAAGACCATACAAATGATTCCACAAAATTGCAATATGTTAGTTAAAGTCCTATCATTTATTAATAATGAGGAGGGTATTATTTTAAACTAGTATAATAGAAGAATAATCTGAATAGGAAATGGAAAAGAAACAAAAAGGTAAATTATTGTCAATAATATTCAGTATTTGAAATCCTTAGAACTAGTATGCAATTACAAGAAGTTGAAGATGAAGAAAATGATTATGAATCTGATTATATTCCTGTTCCTTGTTAGGAAGCTTGTCTCTCCTAATAGAGTACTCAAAAATCTTAGCAATCTCAGTATTTAAGATCACCTTTGTAAACATTTACTCAGCATTTTTAAAATTAAAATAAAGGATTCGGAGGTAGATTATTTACTCTTACTGATGAAACAGAATATACAGTTGATGATCGCAAACCTACTCATACTAGAGGTCCAAGTAAAATACAAGAAATTTTGTAAGATTTATAGGCTAATGTTGCTGATGATATTATGAAAATGGCAAATGATATCATCAAATTTACTGAAAATAGTTCAAATACAAATGGAAGTGCCTAATTTATTCCCAGTGATTAAAAATAAAAACGACAGTTAAGCGAATAAAAAATTAATTAACAACCAAGAGATCCCAAAGCTGATAATCTAAAAGACGGATTCAAATTATTTCATAAGCAAAATAGTTAAAAATAACTTTAATCCTCCAACTATGTAAATAAATAAAGCTAGAAAGCTAATAATGAAAATGAACCACAGAAATATTAATAGTAAATACCTAAAGCAAACTATTAACCTAACATATAAAATTATAATTCAAACAATACTAATTATAATTCTAATTTCAATACTAATTCATCAATCTAAAAAAATTAATAAAAATCATAGAGGAATTCTGAAGAATACACTAAAAACAATACAAGACAGAATAGTTATAGTAATAGTAATACCAAATCATCCAAATAAATTTAAAATACAAGAACTAGTTAACAATAAATTAATTACAATGCCCAATAAAATCCAAATTAATAATAACATTCATCAAATAAAGATGAATATAGTAATTAATTGTAGCAGTTTTCTAGTCACCGAAACTCAAATAATAATAGTAACAGAGAATCTGTTTTTAGTAAAAAAAGCAAATAGCATGAAATAGATGAATTTGATGATAATTTCCATGTTGATTATGATAGTTTCCAAAATAATCCAAATTACAATCAAATTAGTTAAAATTTCTATGACATTGCTTAGAAATAGTTCAACTTCTCTCAAAATTCTGATGATGAATACTAAGAGTAATAATCAATAGAAAATTAAACACCTAATCTTAACATTAGTAAGAAACTAGAGAAAGACAATTTAAGTATAAATAATAGTGGTACAATTAATTAATAGAGCGATAAAAAATCATATCAAGAATTTTGTGAACCTTGTTAAAAAACATAGGAAAGTGAGAAAAAGCAAAGTAATTCAGTTTAGAAAAAGAAAATGAAAAGAAGAAAAAGATCTAGAATTCCAAAAAATATTAAATATTTTTTAGATATCATAGAGGAATAATCAAATGATTATTATACTCCAGATAAATCATTATTGGAATCTAGTGGATGTCTTGATACAATTTAATCAGTACCTAACTTTGGAGAGAGTGAACATCAAAATATGGACTACAGATCTGATCGAAAACACTTTACTATTAGTGAAGGGAACAAGATATCTATGAAAACTCCCAACACCTAACACATTAGGGAAGAATTATAATCCTCAGATTCCTATGATCGTCCAAATAGCACTTTAATTAATTAAACTTTGGTGAATTTCGAGGATATCGATTAAATCTTGAACTAAGTGCAAGGGTATAAGACTTTCCGATAGAAGAATTAAGAAGAAGAAGCAATAATGGCCTCTTGGAATAGAGTGTGCAATGAAATCATACGAAAAAATTTATTGCCAGTTACTTTGAATTTAGAGAGAGTATTTTATTTTTATAATATTTAGATACAAAATTAATTGGAAATTTAACAATAAAATTAGTATTGCTAGAAAAGATATCAACTTTTTAATGTTTTAAATAGAAATTATTTAAATCATACTCAAAAAACTGAATAGAATTCTTTTGCAGATAATTCTGGTTTCGTAGGAAGTGATTAATAACAGTTTGATAAGATAGAAGCTGAAATTCAAGTAGATGATAATGATGACACAGCAATTGGATTACTAAACAAATAATTCAGTCCCAACTTTAGTGATGTTTGCAAAAGGATCTAATTCTCTTCTGCTCCTGAGGAACCCAAAATACTTTAAGGAAAGGGTCTGAATAACAAAGATTTGCCAAATGTCTAATTGTACAATAATAATTATGAATAACAATTGAATTATTAATTTTGAGTAATTAACTTAAATAAAAATTTGATTTCTTAGAGTTGGATGCTTATGGAATGCAATGGAAATGCTTCTGCATATCCTAATAAGTTTAAAAAAGCAATGATTGAGCATAACATTAATTTTCTAGATATATAATATTGTCCTTATGATATTTATTATAATATTTCATAATTTATCAACCAATCAATCGAAAGTAGTTTCTCCATTAGCTGACTAATTGCATTAGAAAAGATAAGTACTTTCAATCTTAATGCATTGAAATAATATCTAGCAACTGCATAGACTCCAATCAATGTGTTTAATCCAACGTACTTCATTCTTACTCCAAATGAATGGCTGTAGTTTTGGTTGTTTTGGATCAAGAAATATGCTTAAGTGTAGACCTTCTTTCTCATTGAATATAAATTAATTAAATTATTAAAAATATTTAGAAGATAAAAATATTATGATATCACACTTTATACTAAATTAAAAGGATTCATTATTATCCATTTATGATTGGGTTGTCTACATTGTTTTCATTTATCTATTCCTAATCATTCTATTGATCATTCATCTAAAACTTAAAGGAAATGAAAGGTTTTTTCGGAGTCTACGTCAAATGCTTATAAGAAACGTCAGCATCCTTCGTTTCTTGAATCATCAATTCAATTAACTTTTGATTGATTTTCAACGAGCAATTACTCTATAATTCTGTTGGGATTTCATCCTTAACTAAAACATAAGCCTATTTAACTATAAATAGTACATTCAAAAGCATACAGGAAATTTGATCTTATTCTTTGATGTCTAAATTATTTAATCTCTTTAATCTACTGATTTTTGAATCATGTATCAACAAGCGAGAAGGTACTCTACTATTGCTATTTAGAGATATCAGTGGTTTTGGTGTAAAATTAAATAAGATCATTTGTTATTCATTGAACAGTAACTTCTTAATCTTGCTTATTTCTTGGATTCTATATAAGATACTATGCAGATCTAAATCCTAATTCATTCTATCGATCGCTTTTTCTAGAAGGATGGCATTCCTATCTTTGAACATGAAGCCACATGTAAGTTTGTTTAGAAACAATTTAAATGAAAATCTGATAGGATTAGATTCATCTAAGATTTTATCGATAGCATTTTTGATATTAGTTGTACTTGGACATAAGGATACATCATTTCTAACATCTAAAATAACATCTGGGTCTGGAGAATTCAATTAATCTTCAATATATTTAGACCTTGCAGTATCTTATGGTATACTCCCTGTGATTTAGGGAGGAGAGAGTTGTTCAGATCTTTTTTGTTTGATTTCTTTAAAATCATACAGTTTGTTAGACAGTTCAATTAACACTAAGTAAGATGAATACTATACTTAATTATCTATTGCAAAACACTATAACAATACCAAATAACAATCTCATTATCTATACTACTCCTCCAAGATAAGATAATAATTCTCCTAATTTTAGAAACTTCCTATATACTATTTGAGTGAATTAACTTCTTCTCATATATATAATTGCGTATTGATCATCTGCGTCTCTTCCTAATTCTGTTAAATCACGAAAATCCTCGTTCTTTCTAACAATAGCATTTGTTTCTGTTTAGTCTCTTGGTGATAATTATCATTGTTACTTGTAAGGTAAAAGACTATTATCATTGATAATTTTAGATTCCCTGAAGTAAATATTAGCTTATCTCGAAAGTTTTTTTGGAACGAAAGTAAAATACATGTCACTGTCTAAAAATTGGGTTAGGTAGTTTTGAGGTTTGTTCAAGTTGATTATTGTATTAATCTAGTAAAGTTAGAGTTTAAATTGTCCTTCTTTATTTAGATATTGCTGTTTAACTTATTCGTTAGCACAGATTGGATTCCAGGATTAATTTTGTGAATTTGAATTTTCACACTCTTTTACAACAAGTTTAATAAATGAAAATTAATCACTCGAATAAGTTCCTTTGAGCAGGATCTTGAAATCATCTCTAAAGTACAAATTTTCATTATTACTTAGGGCATAACCAATTTTTTAGTCCGAGAGTATTGAATTATTCCGTAAAATTAATTCCTTGTTTTGAGAACACTTTATCAAATTAATCAAATCTACATTCTTAAAGTTAAATATATGTTATTGTCTTCTTCAATTCTCCATTTGCATCTCTGTCATATTATCTTGAATAAATAAACCGGTTACCTTTACTCTATTGAAATATTAAAGAAAGGATTCTAAGAATAATTAGTCTACTCTATGGAGACAGCTAACATATAATTGTCTGAATTAAGTTCTAGCAATTGTGGATCACTTGAAATTAAGGTTTCATCATCTGTAAATACCTGAGACTTAGCAAAAAAGTCCAAAATGTTAGAAAAGAAGAACAAAATTACTATAACAATAATTAACAAAGATGAAATTCCTCCAAATTCTGTTGTGTACTAAGCTTCCTGATTCATATTTAATGTAATGTTTTATCCAAAAATATCTATTTTATGTAGACCTAAACCTTAATTTTTTCTTACTTCTTCTGAATATGTGCAACATAATAAATTAAATTAATAAAAATACAAAAACTACCAATCATAATATTATACTTATTTCTAATTTTTTTTTTATTTAATACTAGTTAAGCAGTAAGTTTTGAAGTCATTCATTCGATCATGAGGTAAAAATTAACTATATAAATATTAGAATAAAAAATAAACTTTTTATTATCAATAAGAATGATTAAACTAATAATTTTTGCCTTCTTAATGCATTAATGCTTGACTGTTGATATTGATCCCAATACATTCAGTAATTATTTGGATGTGAGAATGAATCATCTACATGTGGAGTGGCTGTTGGACCTTGACAAAAAAATTGTTAATGGCACAGCCTAAATTTCCTTCAAGTTTCTAAAACACACCAATTATGTATGATATAATTTAGAATCTAGATTGATTTGGATGTATATCAACTGAGCATCTTAAATGTGTACTTAGTCAATGGAAATACACTTAAACATGAAATCCAAGTCGTCAAAGAATAATCTTTAATTCAAGGCGATAGATTGCATATAGTGTTGGATAGAGATTACAACCCTTTAGAAAACATAATATTAAAAATTAAATATGCATATGATGAAAGAGCCAGAGCAGTTGGTTTCCTTACTAAAGAATAAACTCACAGCAAGAAAGTTCCATACATGTTTACTCAATGCGAAACCAACAATTGCCGTTCAATCATACCTCTACAAGATACTCCCAGTGTCAAATTTACTTTCACTGCAACGGTGATAAGCACCAATCCTTTAATCAAGGCATTTATGACAGGAGAATAAATTGCATCATTGCCTTTAATCGGACAATACGGATTGGAATCCACATTTTATACATATTCATTTTAATTGAATATTCCAATCCCAGCATATTTGATAGGTATAGTGGCAGGAGAGATCGAATAGAAACATATTGGAGCTAATTGCTATGTGATTTCAGAGCCTTTTTATTTGGATGATTATGCAAAAGAATTAGATGAATTGCCATTCTTTATTGAAAAAATGACAGATTACATAGGTCCTTATATTTGGGGAGATTATAAAATAGTCATATTGCCTTAATCATTTCCTTTTGGTGGAATGGAACACCCATTATTAACCTTCGCAAGTCCAGTCATTATTGTTGGTGATAAAAGTGGAGTTGGCACTGCTGTTCATGAGATAGCTCATTCTTGGATGGGTAATACAGTCACAGGAAACAATTGGTCCAATATGTGGATCATGGAAGGATTTTGTGTCTTTTTAGAAAGGAAAACATACAAGTATGTGAGACCCCAAGATTATGACATCATTGAAGCCATCAATGGAAACTTTAATTTAATATCAGCCATTCAAGGTTTAACTGATCCTGATGAAAAATCATATTAAACATTGCATCCCATCACAAGTTGGAAGAACCCTGATGATTCCACTTCCTCAGTCCCTTATGAAAGAGGATATCAACTATTGTATTACTTAGAATAATTGATTGGAGAAGAAAACTTTAAATTTATGTTAAGGCAATATTTAGATCATTTTAAGTTTTAGAGCATTGATGAAGATGATTTCTATAAATTCTTATTAGATTGGGTTAGGTCAAATGTGAAAGTCAATACTTAAAAAATAATAGATGATATCGTCGCTGTCTACAAACCTTGGGTTTATTAATAAGGTATTTTCTTATTTAAGTCTAAGGATTGCCTCCAAAAACTATCGAATTCAAAACTCCAAAGTATGATGAAGCTGTAGCTTTGGCCAATAAATGGATTAACCAAGGGAAACCAGCAAATGCAGATGACTACATCAATTATATGCCCAATCAAAAAATGATCTTCATGCAACAAATCTTAGATAACTACACTAAATTAAACCACCAAAGACTTAAAGAATTAGATGACTATTATAAGTTATCAGGAACCAAATCTGGTCCAAAAATAGCCTTTAAGTGGTATAAGACTGTCATTCTTTCCAAATATGATCCTGGACTTGAAGCAGTTCATGGATTTTTATAAAGTTTAGGAGTGAGATCCTATGTTGTTGGTACATATGAAGTACTGATCCCAAATTATCCGTAAATAATAAATTTATCATAGAAACGAAGCTGATGCCTGGTTTGCTTAAGATAAATGGTCATACCATCCATTGGTTGCCAATAGAGTTGAGGATATGTTGAAAAAAAAAATGAGGGGTGCTCACATAACATAATGATTCATATATCAATACAATATATATATATCTTCTTTAATTTTATTTTATAACTTAATTTAGGAAATAGGATAGATAACATTCTTTTAATTAAAACAACTAAAAATTTTGAAATAAAATTCTTAAAATTATCTTTTAAATAGAGATTTAGAATTTATTCCTGATAGAAAATGAAGTCCCAATTGTGATGTCGTATCATTTAAAAAATATTGAAATGGATTTACCATCTCATTTATTTATATGCTATTTAATTAGTATTTATTTAAACAAAGAATTCGATTTAATGTATATATATAAATTCAACTCTGTTGTCTTTGAGGATGGCAAAAGAAGCATTAAACATTTTCATTTATACCATCATCAAAATCTACCCCTGGAAATTGTCGTTTTTTCTCTAACATATCTGTTTTCATCAACTCAAAAAATTGATCAAATGTTAATGTTTCTCTATCCCCAATCTTGTTATTTAACTATGGTGCATCATATGAGTCTCTGTAAAGTTTTCGAAGGGTTCCTGTCTGTATTAAGCCATCCTAACATTTTGAATTTTTGATAAATACTTTTGGATCCAAAGAATCAAAAACATTTTTAATTCCTTCGACTTCTTTTAGAGATAAACCTGAATTTTGTTAATAGTGTTGAGCATTGAATTCATTTTATGATGTGCTGTTACCCATTCAAATTATTAATATTAAAAATAATATAATACTTGTTATTGCATTTTTAAATGTTAGAAACATAAGAATCACTGTATTATGATAATATTGTATATAATTAAATTAACCAACCAAAATGTATGTTTAATCACTTAGTATTTTTGATATTTGTTCTTTTATTTATCAAATTTGTAATTTTTTTTTGAATTCACAGGGCTTTTTAAATTTTTACACTTATATTTTTAATGTTTTGTATTTTAATAATATAATCATATTTCATTAATAAAATTAAGAACAAATGGAAATGTAGGGGAGTTTATTTACTATTTTGCAGATCTAAAATATTCTTTTTATTAAATATCTGCAAATCATAACTACTTATATTAAATTTATTTAAATAAATTTATATTCATATTTGATAAAAATTTATAAATTTAATTTTTGCTTTTGCTCTTATTTCTTTATACTCAATAGGATGTTGAATTAAAAAATATTTCTTGATTCAAATCATAATCTACAGAGTTGGAATCACTAATGTATGATTCAGATTAACAATTGTCATACATAATATTTCTTATGCTTCCTATACTTTAAAAAAGAAGATGTCTATTTTATTATATCGAAATCAAGAATGTACTCTTTAATTATTCTAAGAATTTTGCAGTTATTTATGATTATTAGATGGATATTTTATTTTGTTTAATCAATAAAATGAAGCAATTCTAAACCAATTATGGAACTTCAGATAATTATCCAATTAATGATTTAGAAATCAAAAAATCTCCAATCTCCTCATCTGTGACGTTATTTTCAAATTATTCTAAAATCATATGCAATTCCTCATAAAATTTCTCATTTAGTAAAAATTTAATATGCTTTAACAATTTAGTCCATTATTCATTTTTAAGAGTTGATTTTTTATACTTAATTTTGAAGTGATTATCATTCCTAAAGAAATACACAACATTCCTTTTCGAGCAATTCCACTCAAATAAAAATTTAGCTGCAACCTCGATTTTATCATACAATTCCTTTTCATCTATTGAGAAGTGAGCATTACTGTCTTTTTCAATAGAATTTACTTTTTTTTTATTTAAGTCCTTGTTTAATACTGCTGAGTGTAGGCAAACATGCCTTCCTTAATTGACTAAAAAGGTAATTAATTGAACCTCTTTATTTGAAACAGACCAAATATCTGGAAGTTTTATATTAATTTTCAACAACCCAATTGGTTTTCCAACATCCTTCTTGATTTTTTTTTGAATAACAGTCTATTCTAATTAGTCGACCTTCTGCTTCCTTTTCATAGTTGCTTTTTAAAAATTATACTATTATTCCAGTTAACAAAACTATATGTAAATCTAAAATTCTATTATTTAGAATTTCTATTATTTAATTTATTAATTAAAAATTTATTTACAAATTTTTGCCAAGCTTCTAGTTTGATGCTTAAATTTAGTGTCTTAAATCCTAATTATATTTTTATTTTATTTTTTATGGAAGATTTTAATGATGATGATATCCGTATATTTGTAGGGAAATTTCAGGATGAAAACTAGACATCTATTCTAGATTAGATTATGAATCAAAAAGAATCATAAGGATAAAACTGTAATTCTATATTGAAAAAATTTAGAGTTGATTATATTATAATAAGCAATCAGAGCAAAGGAATAATTAAATAAGCAAATAATTCCAATATTAAGTAAGCACATTCAAAATCATTGTAGAATTTCTGTATAATAAAAATTTGCGATATGGAGATTTAGAAAAATAAAATCGACAGCTAATGTCACAATAAGAATAATTTAAGTTGGATATCTCACAATTATAAGTAAAATTGATAGATCTAGATTAGGATTAAACGAAATCGAGAAATTAGAAAAAATATGATCTAATGGATTAGATGTAATAGTTAAAAAGTTAGATTTAAGTCGAGTAAGTAATGTCTGACCAAACAGAGAAAACAAATATTCAAGAGGTAATAGATAAACAATCAAAAATATTTTAGAAATAAGATAGCTTGTCATCATAAAATCGAATTGTAAATGCTTAGATTGTTATGGAATAAGAATAAAAAATAGTAGATTTAGAAAAATTAAAAATAGAGCTCGAACAGAAAATATCAGAACTGGAGTATTAAATCAATGGAATGAAGTCTGTAGATAAAAAAATCTCATTGCAAATTTCTAAACTAGAAAAGGCAATTGAATTTGAAAAATAATGTATAAATATAACTTATACATTGTAAAGAAAATGCAACTCTGTAGGAGGAATTGAGAGCTGCGAAAGAAAATATAGGAGTTGAAAGCGGGGTTAATTAAATGAATATAGATGAATTGAGTTTAAGAGAAAAAAACCTTTAATTGACAAGAGGTAATTTCAAGCATATATATAGATTAAATTAGATTTGTAAGCAGCTAAGCAATAACTTGACATTGCCAAAAACACATATGAAAAATAAATTACTCAATAAAGAATTTAAATTGAAAATTATGCAAAGACAAACTTAGTGAAGGAAGATTAGGTTCTTTAATTATAAAAAACGTTATAATCAACGCTTGAAGAAAAGGAAAACTATAAAAAACAATTAGAAAAAATGGCTGATAGTAAGAATTTGGATGGAGAGTCCACATTAAAAGAGTGTAAAATAAAATTAAGAAAATATGAAGGTTTGTTATAATAGGCTAATGCAGAAATAGAAATAAAAGCCATATAAATTCAAGAATAACATTCTAATTAGCTGATAGATATCATTAATATCATTGAAAGTTATAATAAAGAGAATCTTTAAATAAATCAATAACTAGAATAATAAATTTAATTGGTTGAACAATTAAAAAATTAAAAAGAAAATTAGCTCGGGATTTCTGATTAAAATAAATGTAAAGAATTGGAAGAGTAAATTAATAAATAGAAAATGACAATTTAGAGACAAAAAAAATAAATTGAATAACTTGAAAAGTAGAAGTAAGAATATTTAGTAATTTAGTAATTCAAAAGTTGAATCTGAATAGCAGACATAAAATGAGAAGAAGACTCAAAATTTAGAAGACTAAAATGTTATTGATAACCTAAAGAACATGCTTCAATAGCTATACACAAAGATAAAATATTAGGATTAAATTTCATAAAAAGATGACATTCAAATCAGAGAATAGCAATAATAGATTTTGGAGAGAGATGAATGGAGAAAACATTTTGAAGAGTCAAATAGTATGATATAAAACACATCCTCAAAGATACTTTTCTATAAATAAGAGATTGCTCAATTAAATATGTAATTAGATAAATTAAAACTAGAAGATAATTAAAATAAATAATTATTATCTTAATATTAAGCTTAAATATAAAATGAATAATTAAGTGTGGCTAATTTAAAAGAAGAAAAATAGAAATTATAAATATAAAGTGATGATCTCTAAAATATAATTATCAATCCTACATCATAATACTAATACTAATCATAATAATAATAAATAAGAATTATAATAATAACTATTAGTATAATAGCTGCAATAAAAATTTGAAATAGAAAGAAATGATTTTAATAAATAAAAAAAATAATCATAATAGGAATTAGATAGTCAAAAATCATTCTACCTCATGGTATTAGCATAAAATCATAAGGACTATTAGGATTAATAAATTAAATTAAACGATAAATAAAAGTTAGAAATTAAAAATTTGATAAATCTTAATGATTAGTTAAATATGTAAAAATAAGATTAAGACAAAGAAATATATTAATTGAAATAAAATTTAAACTAGCTCAAAACTGAACTTGACAAACTGTAAAAAGAAAATCAATCTTTGAAATAAGGAAAAGTAGACAATGAGGCTAGGAAACTTGAATATATGAATCGTCTTAAATCTCTATAAAATCAAAATGAGTAAGCCGAAAGCGATTAATAATAAATGGGTAAAGCTTAAAAGGTTGCTTAATTTGAATAAAAAGACTCATAAATTGCATCACTTTAAGAGAAAATAGAATAGTAAAATCGTAAAATTCGCTAATTAGAGGTGGATGAAAAGAATTATCAATAACAAATAAAAGAACTTAAAGAACAAATTTAAAATCTTGGGCATTCAATTCCAGAGAGTCAAATATCTGAAAAGGAAAAAGCTGAGATCAAGAACTTGCACCTAGAGATAAAAAAGTATTAAGAAAAGGAGAATCAAAACAGAATTTAAAAAGAAAGATTAGAAAAGAAATATTTAGAATAAGTGACTGAATTATCGAATAATTAGGATGAAATGTATCTATAAATACAGGAGTTGAGATCAAAAGCTTAAATGAGCGATGATAACTTCAAAAGGAATAAAGACCTTGAAATTATACTTAAAGTTAAATAGGATTAATTAACAAGCTTGTCTTAGAAAATACAGGAATAAACAGCTTATATAGAGAAACTTGAACGTAAAATTTAAGAACTAAGATGAGGAAGTGAGTTTATCTTAATAATATGATATTTATTGAAATCAAGCATTCATATAATATTTCTTGTTCTTTTAATTTTCAGTTTACATTTTTATAATAATATTGATTGCCATTATTGGCTAAATTTACATCAATTATTCAATATATTAAAAACCAAATATTTATTTTATTGTAAAAAATATGAATACAAAGTCTTTTGAAGTATTGATTCACTCATAGTTTGCTTTCCATAAATGCAGATCAGAAGTACATAAATATGAAGATTGCAGACAAACCACATCACCTATTCCAAAAGATCCAAGGTTGTGTAAAGAAAAGGCGAAAGAATTGGTGGGATGTTACAAAGAGGCGTAAAAATTGGTAAAATAAAATTAGCGAAAGGATGCATCCTCTATGCTTGGCACCATTTAATGATGTAAGGGAATGTGTTTTTAAGGCAGATGGCAATATCTTTAATTGTAAAAAGGAAGCACAGTAATTTGTTGATTGTTAAATGGATTAAGAAAAATATTAAGATTTCTTATCTGTAATTAAAATAATCAATCAAACTAGCTTTCAACTGATAAATAGAAAGAAGCCTTATAATTTGATTTCTTTAACTACAGAGGACATTTTGACAAATATAGTTGAAGATGCATTGATTATTAAATAAAATACATAATACCTAATATAATTAAAAAGATAACAAATTTTAAAGCAGAAGATCATAGGTAATATTCTAGTTTTTAAATATACTATTAATTGTCTTAAAAATCATATTTTCATAAGTTTTGAACCAAACTATTAAGGTTTATAATTGTTAATTAGAGAGAAGTTAAAAGATAATTTAGATAAACCATTGAGATAGAATTATTATTACTATTTTTTAATGAAATATTTACTTTATAATTAAGAAAATTGTGATTTCAAGAATATTTGATAATTTTTTAATTATTATGTACATAAGAAAAATTCTAATAGTTACTTGTTATTGAATTATATCTTAAAATTGAATAAGTACAATAATTTAATTTTAAATCTAATGAATTTAATTGTTTGAATTTAGAAATCTATCTCAATAATTTAATAAAATATTTTAATGAGCTTTTTATTATTTGTTAATTTACTTTGATGTTTTGCAGTTATGAGAAATGAGTGAATGTATCAAAAAGTGAAGTAACTATAAAGTTTGGCTTAATATTTTGTTGAGTTTTTTATATATGTTATTTGGAATTAATTATTCTAATAAATTTATATTATATTATTACTGTTATGAAAAGTTTAAATTACCGATTTCCTCATTCAAGGCAAGATTCTGGATAAATGAATATAGCTAGATCATAATTACCTTAAGGCTAATAAGTGATTAATGTGTTGAATAAGTAATGAAGTATGTAAATCAAAAGCCGCTCAAATGAATAGAATTGTGATAGATCACCTGCTCCAATGGTACATGGTTTGCAAAAATTTGCAGTACCATCTAGCTAATAATCATCAGCAAATCATTCGAAGAAGTCTTCGATTTCAAAATAATAGTAACCAAAATAAATTGGTTTTCTTAACTACTTGATTCTTAAGGATAAATCCTAAATAATACAAGATGAAGAAAAAGAAAGTTAAGCTCTATTGTTTATATTTAGATATTAATGAGCCTTTAGTATAAAAGAACATGTTTAATTTTTAATTTGTAATTGGGATTGGTGGATTTGGCAAGGTTTGGAAGGTGGAGTATAAGAAGACTGGTTAGATCTATGCGATGAAGGAAATGTCAAAAGCTTTGTATGTTATGTGTTTATATTGTAGGATTATAGCGAAAAAAAGTGTTAATTCAGTTATGAATGAAAGAAACATTCTAAGTAATCTAAAGCATCCGTAATTATTTAATCAAATATAGATTTTTAGTTAATATATATTATGCATTTTAAGACCGGGAAAACCTTTTCTTGGTGTTGGATTATATGCAGGGGGGAGATCTGAGATATCATATTGGAAAAATGAGAAGATTCTCGGAGGATCAAACAAGTAAGAATCTATTTGAATGCGTAGGATTTTTTATGGCTTGCATATTTTTAGGATTAGAATACATGCATTCTAAGAATAGTCTTCATAGGGATATCAAGCCTGAAAACTTGGTGCTTGATAAAAATGGTAATACATCAAAATATCATTTAGGTTATATTAGAATAACTGATCTTGGGATAGCCAGAATTTTAAGGCCTGATAATTCATAAGACACTTCAGGAACTCCAGGATACATGGGTATATTTTTAGTTGAATTCGTTAGCACCTGAAGTCATGTGTAGATAGAACCATTCTTTTGCTGTAGATTACTTTGCTTTGGGAGTCATTGGTTATGAGTTTATGTTAGGAAGAGTAATTATTATGTCATTATCAAACTTAGAGACCTTACACTGGAAGATCACGAAAGGAAATTAGAGATTAGATTCTGGCCAAATAGGTCCAAATAAAAAGATCTGAGATTCCTGATAATTGGTCATTAGAATCTGCAGATTTTATAAATAGAGTATAATTCATGATACATTTAATAGCTAATATAACGAAAGCCTGCAAATCGATTAGGATTTAATGGTCCTCATGAACTGAGACAACACTCCTGGTTTAAGAATTTTCCATGGTAGAAATTAATGAATAAGGAATTGAAATCTCCTTATATCCCCAATGTATTATGCTTAAAATAATTTAGTAAAATGAGGATAATTTTGATGCTAGATAAATTTCGATTGAGGATGATGAAAACAATGAGCTTATTCAATAGCATTCAATAATGCTAAGGAGAAATTCGATATAATGTATATCTTTGAGTCTAAAATAGCTTAATTTTCTGGATATGAAATGGATAATTTTAGTGATAAACAGAACACATAGTTTAATAATTTTTGATAATCATTACATTATAAATCTTATTGTAAAAAATTCAATCGAAATCATCATGAGGGAGTAATTAATAATATAAAATTATAAATTTTATTTATATAATGTCATTAAGTTTAAGTGATTTGATCAATCAGTCATTAGACAAGATCAAAAAGGGCATCACAAAAAAATAGTTTGAATTGAAATAGCTTATAGATGAAACTCTATGTAATTATATTTACAATTTAGAAAGAGATCAAGGATTTCTATGATGCAAATCACTTGCTCAAGGTGTATTAATAGTGTATTGAATCGAAATAAGCTAAATTGATAGAGTTGGCTTTATTTGATATCAAAGTAAATCTCTATAATATTTTAGAATATTGTAGATTAGGGTTATCTGGCAGGAGAGCAAATCATAGGAGAAAAGAGAGCAATTGAGATAGCCTTGGACTTGGTGATGTAAACTCAATTGGAGAAGGAGGAGACAGTTTAAATACACATGATAAAAGCAATTTAAGCGATAATGACTAATAAGAAGCATCACATTTATGGTGAGTCTGTGACCAGAGTATTTTCACTTTTAATAAATCTGCATTCAGGTAATTGTTATGATTAGATTAATTAGTATCTAAGATTGTTGCAATAATAAATGCTAGCAAGGAGGCCTGCCAAAAGATCGTTAGTACTTATTTTGCAAGACTTGAAGATTATGGCATACTTGCTGAAGATGAATATCAATTAGCCATTTAATAATAAGGTAATTCTGGATAATTAGTTTTGGGAAAATGCAAAGCTTTAGTTAATGCAGAATAGTATATGAAATCATTAATGACATCTATGGTTGATGAGGTTTAAATTTATTATGAAAGATGCTAAATTTATGAGAAGCAATTAGAAGATTCAAATAAATCAAAGGTGATTGATATCACTTTACATGAACCTAGTTTACGAAATGTAACCATGGATAACAATTAAATATAAATTAACATTATCAATGAATTGAATATCAAAAATGGTAAGTTTGGTTGGTGTACTGTTTGTAGAAGATAAGCATCGTAATATTGTAAAGATACGAAGGTACCAATCTGTAGTAAGGAATGCAAATTTATTCATTTAAATCAGATGTTTAACTTCTCTTAATCTCATTCACATTCTACTTTTAGTGAATAGTATGTAAAGGATGCATATGAAATTTTAGAAATGCTTTGTTAATTGAGTTAGAGAGATCCTTAGAATCCTTAATTAGCCTAAATGATTATCAAGTGTAAGGTTCTCTCCTTGGAATTAATCTATGAGGCTTTGGCTCAAAGTGACACAACTATATTGTAACATAAACCTAAATTAATATCAATATTGAAAGAATAGTTGTTAGAATCATTGCTTAAGAATTCTCTTTCAGCTGAGAAACAATTATTGATATTGACATTAAATATTTTCATTTAATTGATCTGGAGAGTAAGAAGTCATCTCAAAAAGGAATTGGAAGCTCTGATAGAAAATGTGTATTTTAAATTTCTAGAGAGCAGCAACAGTTCCTTTGATCATAAGCAATACACTTTGAAGGTTTTCAATAAAATTCTTACTCGTCCAAAAGTTGTAATTGAAATATTTGTAAATTATGATTGCTCAGTTGGATAGAATAATTTACTTAAGAAAATCCTAGATATGCAGTGTCGGATTATTTAAGGAAGATATAGCAAATAAGAATTTTAGGCTTCGATATCTTAGAATCAAGAGATATATCTAAAATCTTTATGCTTGGATAATTATTGTGGATATGTTAGAAGTTTAAAGGAATATTGTGAGTAATACGAAGATTCTCAGACTGTAGTTTAAATCTAATCTTTTGATGAATAGGAAGATGCTATTATATAGTAACAGTAATTGTCATAGGATCCACTTGAGAAATAGAAACAGATGAAATTAGAAATGAATAAGGCTGTTTAGAAATTTAATTTTAAACCTGAGCATTGTGTAAAGCATTTAATTGCTGTTTAATATATGGAGAATAGAGATCCCAAGTTATTTGCTTAATTTCTTTGGGAAAATAGAGATTTAAATAAAGATAAATTAGGAGAATTGTTTGGTGGTTCCAACGAATTCGATTAGAAAGTATTTTCATTGTATGTAGATTTCATGAATTTCAAAGGATTGTAAGTAGACGAGGGATTGAGATATATGTTAGAATTCTTTACTTTGCCAGGAGAATCCTAACAAATAGATAGGATAATGGAAAAATTTGCATCAAAGTTTTGCATCGACAACCCTGGAATTTATTAATCAGCATCAGCTGCATATACACTATCATACTTGCTGATGATGTTACAAACTGATTTACACAATGAGAAAAACTTAGATAAAATGACTCTAGCTTAGTTCACCAATTTGGCTAAGGGAATCAATGATGGAGAAAATCTTCCTTAAGAAATGTTGTAAGGATTCTATTTAAGAATTTAAAAAACACCTTTGGCTTTGCATGCAAAAGAATAGGCTAGACGAGCATTGGAATAAGCAAATTAAGTTGATTAAAGAAAGAGACATGCGATGTTGGCTAAAGAGGCAGAAGATTCACTAAAAAAGTGGTTTAAAGAACATCCAAATTCAGATGCATTCTGTTATGTCAATTCGATAGAACATATGAAGTCTTTATTACAATAAACCTGGAGTGTGATATTTGCATCAATAAGTGTATTTCTGGAATAGAGTGAAGATTAATAATAGATACTATTGTGTTTTGAAACAATTCAAGCATTTATTTAATTGATGGGCAGATTCGATTTAGATGAAGAGAAGGATACATTTATCAGTTTTCTATATAGATATTGTACAAATATACCGAGCAATTATAAATAAATATTGGGAGTACAAACTTTGATTAAGGTTATTCTATAATCTGGGTAATATTTGCGTAAAAGTTGGAAGGTAGCTTTGCAATTAATATCAAGATTGGAATAATTACATCAGGTAGTTAAGAAAATCAAAGTAGACTCACCCTACAAAGAGAATTATAATTAAGAAGACATCATTAGTATTGAGAGATTGTTTTAATAAATACAATACGATCAGATTGATAAAATATTTAATAGTTCAATCAATCTGGATTCCAACTCTATTTTGGAATTTATAAGGGCCTTATGTGAGTTGTCGAAGGAGGAGATTAAATACAATAGACTATTCTTATTGAGTAGAGTGATTGACGTTGCTGAATTTAATATGAATAGAATTAAAATTATTTGGTCTAGAATGTGGGAAATAATGAGGGAACACTTCCTTGAAGTTGGATGTCTCAAGAATGTAGATGTTGCAATCTATGCTATTGATTAACTAAAATAATTAAGTTGCAAATTCTTGTAGTAACCTGAATTGACAAATTATTATTTTCAGAAGGAATTCCTACTGCCATTTGAACAAATATTCAGTCACACTCAAGCTTAATAGTAAAATAAGATATAATTGAGGGAATTCTTATTATCTTGCATGTGTATGATTACAAATATTTGTTTCAACTCAATTAAAAGTGGATGGAAGATCATTATGAGTATTGTCAACCAAGCTCTGTAGGATGACTAGTAGTAATTGGTTAGATTATGTGTTTAGATAACCGACAAAATAATGGAAGATGTGAGTAATCAACAAGTCTATTCTGAAATATACATGGAGCTTACTTAAGCTTTAATTAAATTGACCAAGAATAAGGATGTCAACATAGTTTCTAATTCAATAAAATAATTGAAAATTTTGGTTGATCATATAGTTTAGATCAAAAGAGATGACAACAAATATTTAGATTAGTTATGGATTCCTGTCTTGTCAGCTCTATCAGTTTTATATAGTGATGAAAGAGGAGTTGTACAACAATAAAGTGTCAACACCTTATTTGAATTATTAAAAGTGCATGGGGAATAATAATCTAATGAATTTTGGAAGATAATTTTGAGAGGAGTGATAAGACCATTATTTGATGAGATTTAGATCTCTAAATTGCAATTTGCAAAGTAGTCACAGAGTAAGTAATAGGTAATCCAAAATTGTAAGATGACCTTTTATCTATTCACAGATCTAGTGGTTCTCTATATCTAACAAATGCAACCATGCTTAAATGATTTAATTGATATATACATTTAGCTGGTGTTGTAAACTTAAGATGTAATACATTTAATTTTTATTTTAGTTTCTTTCAACTTTATGCCTAGACTCACTTAAAACTATAGTTAAACAAGGCGGGTAATCATTTACAGAAGAAAACTGGACTGTTGTGATTCAATAAATATAACATCTTTTGTAGTAATGCTCTCCTAATGAATTATTTGAGGCTTATAACTTGGATGAGGATTTTCAGAAGCCTTTGAATGAACTTTTGAAGGAGGAAATACGACCAAAAAAGTTTAGTTTTAAGATTAATGCTTATGAATGCACTTCAAAATAATCCATACAATAGAAATGTTTGGAGATTCTAGAGGTGTAGGCTATTCAATTTAATAAATAAATATCTGAATAACATCGACTATAAATTTTAGCAATTTTCAGTGAGTAATATTAAAAATGCAAGATATTTAACACTCATTTATACATGCGATATTTTTTAGAATAGTGGGCTATGTAATGGAATAAAGTAAACAATGGGCCAGAAGATTTCGATGATCTATCTGATAATTAGAATGCTACTAAACAATTGAGTTTTATCAATCAAGAATTTATTTCAGCAACAGTTATAATTCAACTAACAGCCAATCCCCTAGAATTTATTGAACAGTTAATTCAAAGATTCAGTGATGCTTACAATGGATTTTAGTAACCTGTACATAAACCTGAAACTTTGAATGGCAGTTTAGAACAACGAAGATATTCTGAATCCTAAACTATAATAAGCATGTCTTAAATTTTATTTATGGAAAGTGTATTTCCTATCTTGAAGGCCAATTTACAATGGAAGATAGTTAGCAAATGGCTTATTTAATTATTAAAATTGGGATTGAATGCTTAAAATGTAGAGAATAGAGAATATAACAAAATTTTAGTAAATTTATTAGAAGAAATAATAAATTGTGAGAATAATTAATATTGAATCTATTAATTAAAATGGTATATATGTTTTCAATGTAAATCTACCTGTTTAATAAGGAAATGACAAATTAATATGTAATCTCCTATTATACAGCAGGATAGTAACTTAAAAATTCGAGTCTTTTAACAATTATTTATATTTAATATTAAAATCAATGAATGTTTACGTAGTTGGTGTTGGAATGACGAAGTTTATAAAACCTGGTCGAGATGGAAACCCTGATTATCCAGAAATGGCAGCCTAAGCTACTAGAAGAGCTCTAAGAGATGCCAATATTCCTTACTCCTCCGTCTAAGTAGCTTCAATAGGCTACGTATATGGCGACTCAACATGTGGACAGAGAGCATTATATGAAGTGGGAATGAGTGGAATTCCCGTATACAATGTCAATAACAATTGTTCAACAGGGTCCAGTGCCTTACATATGGTGTCTTAACTACTAAAGGGCGGACTTTATGATTGTGCATTGGCACTTGGATTTGAAAAGATGGAGAAAGGATCATTGAATATGAAATTCCCAGATAGAACTTAACCACTCGATAAGATAGTTCTGAAGACAATGGAAGTGGGAGAACAAAGCTCAGCCCCGTTTGCACCCTAAATCTTTGGAAATGCAGGAATTGAACACATGAAAAAATATGGTACAAAACCAGAACATTTTGCCCTGATTGCTTATAAAAACCATCTTCATTCAACTCGAAACCCATATAGTTAATTCAGAGACAAATACACTCTCTAAGAAATCATTACATCACCGAAGATACATGGTCCCTTAACTAAACTTCAATGTTGTCCAACATCTGATGGAGCAGCTGCAGCTATTGTTTGTACCGAAAAGTTCGTGCTTCAACATAATTTACAAGATTAAGCTGTATAAATCTTAGGAATTACTATGACTACAGATAGTGAAAAGACATTCACTGATTAAAGTTTGATGAATTTGGCTGGATATGAAATGAGCAAAAGAGCTGCCCAACAAATCTATCAATAAACTGGAGTTAAGCCATCTTAGGTTGGAGTTTGTGAATTGCATGATTGTTTCTCTGCAAATGAGTTGATTACATATGAAGCCTTAGGTCTATGTGAGGAAGGGAAGGCTGGAGATTTTATAGATAAAGGATACAACACTTATGGTGGACGTGTAGTTGTGAATGTAAATATGTAATCTAATTGTTTAAGCCTTCTGGGGGACTGATATCGAAAGGACATCCACTAGGTGCAACTGGGTTAGCTTAATGTGCAGAGTTATGCTGGCAATTAAGAGGAATGGCTGAGGAAAGATAGGTTCCTGGATTGTAATATGCTTTATAACATAACATTGGCTTGGGAGGGGCTTGCATTGTTGCTCTCTATAAGAAATACAATACAAAATCAGGAAGACCCAGGAAGGATCAAACATCTAATCCTGACATCCTTGAAAAATTAGAAAAGGAATAACCAAAATTGTGATGTTATACATTAAAAACACAAAACAATTAAATTAAATTAGTAATTTTCAGCTTGAATTGATTTCTTAGAAAGTTGACAATGTGATTTTCTTCACTTAAATTAGTTATTTGATCACCTTTTGATCTGGATTGCTTTTTAATTGTTATGAAAGTTCTAAGTCCTTAAATCATTTATATTATCATACCAATAAATTAGATCTAGTAATAATATTTCTCAGATTCAGTTAATCAAACTCTTTTTACTTTTTCTGATATTCAGAAATCATCTCAAATCTTAATCTTACTAATTCCTTGTTCTCTTGTCTCCCTTGATTTTATTGATTCAATAAACTCTAAAATGCCAGATTCAGTCTCCCAATAGTGTTTGAATCTGAGAAGTTTATCTTCTTCTGCTTTATGCTTTTAGTATTTTTTTGAAGTAAATTTGTGTGATAAAGTAAATTTTATAAAGGCTGCTGTAGTATTAAAGTATTAATCAAAAAGGATACAAAAAATAATGAAATTGAAAATCCAATCACACCAAAAAATATAACAAGTGATAATCTCTTCTTATTCTCTATTTCAAGCACCAAAATGTTGATGTCTTCTATATATAAATCTGGGTCAAATTCTGAAATTAACACATAACTCAATTTTGTTAAGCTAAATAAACTTATAAATTTTATTTTTTATTCCTATTTATTAAACAAACAAAATGTATTATCAATACTTATTGGACATTAATCTTCATAGATCTCTCCATTCAGAAAATGCAAAAGGTTTTCAAAGTCACTCTCATTGAAACCTGTTTTAGATACATTTTAAAAATAATATATCTCCTTTTACTCCTCCAAATAAATGTGATTCAATAGAATCTGTCCTGTCAAATCGATTAGCATGAACTTAACAGGAAGTATTTGATCATATTGTGTGAACTAATTCATCGTCAAGTCATTTGCCATTATTGCAATTGGATGATTCTCCTTATTGAAGAGACTCTTCGTTTAGGTAAAGCAAACTCCAATATCTATTTCCAAATACATATCAGTTATTTAAAGGCTTCGTGAGGATTGGTTATGAGATGTATACCATGGTCGCTCTTTTGGTATCCACTCTTTTGGTATAGGTTGACAAGGGTCAATTGAGTAGAATTAATCGTCACTTGTTGCTGCATAATACAGTTGATAATGGGATCTTTGCATCGAAGCAGTTTAACTAAGAAAATTAGATAAAACTAATTTATCATGATATTATTCCTACTGTGCAGATTAAATTGGTTCTCCAAAACAAAAACAAAAGGAGTTTCCAATTTATTACAAAGTCTCAGACCCATTTTCATCAAAAACAGAACAATCATCCAAATTTTCTTAAAAACTTACATCCAATTCAACAGCATATTAGTATAAATCATTTATCGAATTAATAGACTACTCTCCTGAGAAGAACCCATTTTTTAACTGTTCTATAAACAATGATTAATAAATTGAAGATTGTCGACTCATGATCTTTTGTTGTAAAACATCAATTGAATCATTTGCTATAGCATAAATAATTTTATATTATATGGCCAATATGCTACACCCTACTATCGTAGTAATCAAAATTAAAAAGCAAATCTATACCATAAATATTTATGATCGTAATCTCCAATCACAAATTTTCCAAATATTTGTGTTAATGCAGCAATCTCTTTTAATTTTCATTTCAATAATATATTTATCAATAATTCATTTGTAACATTTAAACAAATTCATAAGGTGGACTCAAAGATAAATGTACTTCGTAAAATTTTATTATATGATTGAATATAAATCAATGTATAAATTGAGCATCATTATTATGAATGTGTGAAATAATACTTAATATTAAGTATTGCTTTGAATATCAAAACAATCTTTTTAAGAAACTAATATTTATTATGGAATTTATTTATTAATAAAAGTGTTCATTTTATTAATTAAGAGTTTAATTTTAAGTTTTATACTCTGTAAATGAATTGAATTCAATAAGCTCAAATTTACAAATTAGGATCTTACTTCTATTTTGAAACAACGAAAGTATTTTAGTATCATGAACTTCTTGAATCATCATCTCATGTACCTACCTAAACTCTCATATCACATTCAATAATTACAGAATGCTTGTGTTATTTCTTGTATTATTATCATTATCATCAATAAAATTGATCTAATATTGCTTTTAAGATGTACTTATAGATTCCTTAGATTTTTCATTTAAACATATACTAAGAACCTATACTTCCAAACCTCTATTAATTCTATACTGGATTTACACTCTTAAATTGAACTAGTATAAATGTTTTACAAATTCTTTACGTATTTTGAATCGACTACTATTAGATTTTTTATAATCAATAAAATTAAGTATTTTTACTTTTTAAATAAATAATATATTAATCGGGATTTTCATCAATTTAACCACAAATTTTATAAACAAAATTCCATTCTGCTGGAACTGCTAATCTATATGAGAAACTTTGAAACTCTAAAATTGGAAATGTGAAAATTCATAAATAAGTTCAAGTTTAATTTTAAATCCCAACCTGAAATAAAATATGTTTTTGTTGAATACTAATAAGCCTAATACACTAAATTTATTATTTTCTGATTGATATACTAATGAAAAGTTATCTTATTTGAATTAAATTAGTAAAATTTTAATATATAAGAATTCAGAATTACTCTAAATATATGTTAAATATATTTAGCAACCAGAAATAAATAATCATAATTAAAGATGTAATAAAGTTATATAGTTTATTGAAAAATTAGAAAATATGAAAACCTGTTTTTATATTGCATTTTTTTCAAATGTTACATAATATCATCTTAAGAAAACTGTCGGATTTAATCATATTTAAATTAATACCACCTAAAGAAATTAAAATACATTTAAAATCAATTTATTATTGGGAATCTTTATGGAAGGTCAGTTAGATGAATGTCTAAAATCTCAAAATTACAATTTGAAATCTCCTGCAGATTTCGAACAAGCCTAAAAGCATGGGGTATTTTAATAAGTGTTATAATGATAAGAAATCATAAACAATTTATCAAAGCATTGTTTAAGACACTGAAAGATGTGTTTGTTGCAATAATCCAATCCAAACTGTTCCATACTCAGTTACATGCAGCTTAAAAGTATTTAATCAACATGGCTATTCATACAAATATTTTAACTATATCAAATTAAACTTTATATTATTGGTCCTAGGATTGTATGATATTACTTATAAATAGCCTTATTTTTGGAATATATAATGTTCAAGAGAATATCAAAGGAGATTAATGTTAGCAACATCAAGATTGCAAGAAGAATTTAAATAATTATTTTTCTCTTCTAAATAGAATGGATGGTGATGAGTATATAATTATATAAGATTTATCAGGTTTCAAGATATCTATCTAGATGTCTTGTATTTTATAGCAGTATTAGTTTAAATTTGTTTTATTGGATACATTACTTATTATAAAAACCATTGTCTAAATGTGGATAATGAATAAGATTTAGAGAAAGTCATAAAGTATTGTTCGGTTAAAGTGTCCCAAATACCAATCAATTGGAATAGGGAAAAGATTCAAGAGTTTTTTAGTAAAGGAATGTGGGAAAAAAAACCAATAACATATAATATTTTGGATATATGTTTGATATATGATCAATACTAATTAGAATATTAATTAAAAGATAAGATCAGATAATAATTCACAATATAAAATTAAAGCACGTATATTTCTAATTAGAAATAGATCCCTAAAAGAGGTAATATGCAAAACAGTTAACATTCAAAGTGTTATTTTAGATCAAAAATTATTAAAGTTTGACGGTTCAGCATTTATTACATTTTCTAATCAAGTACTTATTTACTTTTACATTAAAATAGGCTGATTTAATAAAATTTGTAAGATATTTTAGATGGGTCTTTATACCTAATACATTCAAATTTGAATCTCCTCCTAGACCATCAGATGTAATTTGGCATAATGAATCCACATTTTCAAATTTAGAATATATAAAATTATTGTTCATATGTTTTGGTTGGCTTCCTATAATCGGAATTTAAGTGGCAAAATAAAATTATCTTGCAGAAAATGGTAATACATCATATCAAAACACCTTACTAAGTTTTACTGTTTCTTTGCTATTATACCTTTTAACTAAATTTTGTGAAAAGTCAATACAATAATTCTTTAATTTAAAAGACTTTAATTCTAATCGACAGAAGAGGAGAGTCTTTGTACTGTTTTATGAAACAATTGTAATTTAATATTTTTATTTAATTCCTCCAATCTTTGTTGGAGTGTATTCAGGAAGTGGAACTCGGCAACAAAAACTTTGGAGAGCAGGAGGATTAAGTGAAGATTTATTATTCATCTAATTATTAAATGCAATCTTTCCAATCATCTTCAGCATAATAGATGAGACTTATGCATTGTAATTAATAAAAAGATACTGGTTTAGAAGAATTAATAAGGATTCAGATTTAACTTAAATAGAGGCAGATTAATTATATGAACGTCAACTTGATTATTAGAAAAAGAGACTATCAATAACTTAACTGGTTTCTATATGTTGTTATTATGGGTATATTTATCCAATCTGCTATTTTATCACCATCATCGCTCTCATTGTTATCTATTGGATGGAGAAATATAATTTCGTAAGGAATGGAGTAAGCTCTAAAGCTTCAGTTAAATTTCACATCTCAAGATACAATTTATTAGCATTTTTATTATTTGAATTACTTTCAAAATAGATTTTTCACATAGCATTTTGGCAATTTGATTATAAAAGTGCTACCAACTACATATATGCTTTATAATATATGTTCCTAACTTATGTAATTATAACAAAAAAAGAATGTATTATTAAAAAAAGAATCCATAGAAATTATGATGAAAAGTTACTTTAAGAATCACTCAAATACTATGAAAATTATTCAAGACATAATCCAATTATGAACCATCAGTTTGAATAAAATTAGGAAGAAATCTAATAATTTTACAGATATTCAAGATAAGAGAAGTTCTATGCACAACTTCAATTAAAATTGTATAGGGAATTAAAATAAGAATATGTATTGATAGTTATATTATTAAGAGTTCTAAAGGTACAGTCAGAATACACCCAACGGAGATCGTTTCCCTTAGGTTTTAGGAATAATGATATTTTAATTAATAGTTCTTATAAACAATTTTATAATTTGATGCAATGTAATTGTTTTAAATTGAATAATAGTTTATTGTGATTCTATTAGATGAATTAATAAAACAATTAATATAAATATGAAAACTCTTTAGATATACTAATGTATTTCAATCAGAGGCGTTTTTTAGTAATTTGATAAAAACTTCAAGTATCGGATCAATAGGACCTGATTCATTATTGGAGATTATTTTTTTTATTTAATTACTAACATCTTCTATTTCTTTTTATTCAAATAAAGGTTTTTTATATGAAAGCACCGATTATAAATGATCTTAGTCCTTTGTCAATAACAATTGATCTAACCATACTTAAGTTTTGTTACATAAAAAATCGTCCTCATCTCCTCTTGTGGCTCTTATAAAATGCTCTTTAGTTAAAAATCCATAATTTCTGCATTCTATGCATTTGCATTAATCTGAGCAAGGTACTTTGGCTTGGAAGCATTCGCAGTATTTCTTCATACAGCCACTCTTTTTACATTGACAACCTTTGTTGTGCTTTCCAAAATTTAATGGATCTGGTTTTGAATCAGAAGTAGTTATCTTAGGCTGAAAGGCACTAGGGTTTTTTTCTAACGTGTATTACATGGCCTTTTATCTTTATTTCTATTTTATAATTTGAATGATACAGCATTGGAGGAATTATTGAAGCAATTATGGCAATGACAATTATTATCACAAAATACTTTGTTCTGATAGCATTCACAATAGAGTTTTATACATTTCGAGTTTTTACAATTGCATTTCTTTGATGGTCCCTCCTCAAAAACTTAATCAGATTCCTCCTCTAACATTCTACTTAATAAATTATATGTATAAAATTGATATTTAAGACACAATAATTTGAAAATGGTTAGAACTTAATAATATAAGCTCTGTCAATCTGTTAATTGATCAGTGACACCTAAGAACCCTCAATTCAATCAATTATGTTTCTATAAATAAGAATCAAACTCTTATATTTTATTTTGTATATTCTTTCTAGCCCTATTGGTTTCCTTCATCTTTTACTTCACCTATAGATGAAATTGCTAGATATAAGTGTCCTCAATAGGCTTGGCACTGAACTCCTCCAATGGATTCATCGATTGAGGGTTGGATATAAGGGACTAATTAACTTCCCTTGTAATTTGATTCTAGATGATACTATACATTTTCTCAAGAGTATTATCCTTCTTAGAAACTGTACTCTGAGCTTGTTTGCCTAAATCCTTGTCTAACTGATTTTTTCTTATGAATTCTTAGATTTGTTGAGAATAGGAAGGTTTCTCACTAGGTTTAATGAGAATTGATATCGATTTAGGGAGGATTGCTTAGTAATTAGGTTCATAATTAGGGAGAGAAGGCTGCAATTTCTAAACTTTGCGATTGTGCCTTCTTAATTTAGATTCATGAAACAAATAACCCAGGTTTTTACCCTTGTCTACATTGCTCATCTTCCAAATAAACTTGTCTTGAGTGATGCTTGAATTGAGTTTTTCAATCATCTATTCTAAGACAGGACTCATGACTTTAGTATCTTTTTTCCTTTCATACATTTCCAAAAGAGCTTTCTTTTCCATCATCTCCTTGTATTACTTAGCTTTGACCTGTTCTTCTGGAGACGGAGGCTATAAGTTCACAAGAACAGACAAGTCTAAATTATGAGTACTGCGTTCTTTTTTGTGTTTCTAGAGAGCATTCTATTTCATTGATTAAGATGGTTATTATTTGGTGATCGATGCCAAACTATAAACATGTTTGATTCGAGCTCCAGGTATCAATTAGTTAGTCGATTTAGATTTTCCCTTGGTATTCAATAGTAATCCAACATGATCCCTTTCTTATTTATACGGAAGAAATTTATCATCCTCTTCAGTCTGCAGTTCGTTTATATATCTGATTGCCTTTTGTCTTACTGACTCAGAATGCATATAATCAAATCACTATATTATATTAATATTATAACAAGAAAATGGATTAAATTCATTTTAGTTAAAATCAAGTTTATAGGCAGCAGCGTATACTATTCCCATTTCTTATCCCAGAATAGAATGATGAGTTAAATGCTGTTCCTAGATCCAATTTAATCAAATTATCAAAAAAACATATCAGTGTGCCAATCAATCTCAATATATTTAAGATTGTTTGGTATTCAATAATAAATTTTAATTGGGTTTTAAAATATAAATAATGTTTGAGAATCTTATAAAGAAATTAAATATTCTTTAACCAATTTTAAAGGTGTATTTAGATTAATTAATTTAGCCATTAGAAATTATATATATCCCACAATACTAGATTGATTTTCATTTGATTAACAGCTAGGATTACAAAAATAAGGACACTATTATAATAAAGTTGGTATAAGTATTTAATTGATTATTTCTAGAAGTAGGCTGATATATTTTAATTATTCAATATTTCTTATGTGTTCTATGATAATTTTGCTTTGTATCTTTTAAATATAAAAAAAATTAAATTTAAAAAATAAGAGTTGTAAAAATATTTATATGCAGAATTACTTTTTTGATTTCTTTAATTTGATAATTTATAAAAATCTTTAATCTTTTAGTAAAATCTTGAAAAAAGTATTATGGATGTAATACAATTTGAAAGTGTAATTTCCATATTTATACATTTAAAAATAATAAATAACATAGTCATCTCATTAAACATTATTGGTAAGTTCATAATTTGTTATACACAATTATTCTGGCTACTAGAATTCATCCTGTAGATAGAGTTTGTTATTGCTAGTTAGAACCTTCTAAAGAGTTTTGTTGTCTTTGATAACCTTATGATTTCTTTCCAGCAGTGAGGAGCATAGATTGTGTAAGTAATCACATTTTTGGAAGAGCTAGAATTTAATCATAAATTTATAGTTGTTACTTGATTTAGTTAATCTGAGGAATCTTGTTGTACAGGCTAATTTATAGGTACAAGTTCATTATGTGCTTTACGTTTAATTTAATGGAGCAGATCCCTAATTAATTATGTTAATACTTTCTGCCTTTTTGGAAATATTCATTTTTGAACTCATTGACACTTCCTCCTCTTGTTTTATGAAAATCGTACATGTTTAACTTAATGAATTAATAAGAACTACCTATCTAATAAAGGAAGAGAAATTTTAATGCTTGAAGTGGATGGGTAGAACAATCGATGAGAATTGACTTATATTTTTGACTGTGAAAGATAGCCCATCTTCATTCCAACTAACTATATCTTCATACATATTGTTCTATATTAGTGATCTGGGATACTTCTAAAATGTTGTAGGTCTTGAGTATAAAACTAGAAATTTAATTCTTCATTTATAATATATATATTAATCACATAATTCTTGCTGTTTTCAATTTATATTCCGCATACATAACAGGGGATTTACTTGGTTTCGACATGTGAGTTTTCCTTTAAGAATTTTCTTTTGTCTCATACTAAGTTTTGATACGTTCCCATCTGTCATTCTCTGTACATATCCTTCTTTCAGTAGACTTAGGCCTCTCTGAAATGCGATTATCATATCCTCTGTTCATAATCATAGCTGTAGTATAATTATTTTCATATGATTTAGTTTTGTTATGATAGACACTTGAATTAGGTCTACGATCATTTGAACTACTGGGTTTATCAACAACGGATTTAATACTCTAATGAGTTCTTACTCTTTAAGATGGCAAGGCTGGTTTTTGATATTTATTCAAAAGGTGATAAGTAGTAGTAATTGGATTGTGTTTGTTATTGATGATCATTTCTCTGCATTTTTAACTATCAATTCCAATTGCTTGTAACTATTTGACTATGTTTGAATTGATTGCCAAGGTGCGATGAATTTGTACTGAATAGGAGTATTTGCTTATAAAATTAAAGAGCTGATTACCTAACAAAGGGATGCATCTTAATTTTGGCTATGCTCAACCGACTTAAAGGATTCTTATTCAATAATCCTTATAATAAGTCGATCACTTGAGGACTCAAGTGGGAAGGTCTTTGGAAGTCAGAATACTTGATCTTCTCATACAGTTTTCGTGTATTTGAATCTTCAAAAGGTACGTACCCACAAAGCATGGCATATAGAATTATGCCACTAGCCCAGATGTCAGTCTTGATGCCTGAATATTGGATTCCTGAGACCATTTCTGGAGCTGCGTAACAGGGAGAGCCACAGGGTGTTGAAAGTAGATCGGTATAGATGTTGCTGAGACCAAAGTCAACTACTTTGAGGTTGTTATTTTCTAGGAGTAGGTTTTCAGGTTTAAGATCTCGATGTGCAATTTTGAGAGAGTGCAAATATTCTATGGCTTCAATGATTTAGGAAAAGAGGGCTGCGGCTTCATTTTCAGAGAGACGCTTGTTTTTTACGATGTGTTGGAATAGTTCACCTCCACTTACAAACTCCATGATGAGATAAATTTTAGTGTCTGATTCAAGGATTTCATATAATTAAACAATATTGGGATGGCGGAGTTTGCGAAGAATGTGGATTTCTCTTTAGATTCTAGTGAAATCTGCAGGCTGTTCGATTCTGCTCTTCTCGAGAATCTTGATGGCTACAAATTATTGAGTAGGTTTATGAAGACCTCTATAGACTTTGCCAAAGGTTCCCTTGCCAATGGACTGCTCTATATAGTTTAGTTTATGCACCTATGATGTAATTATCAAGTGGGTTGGAAGTGTTGTGATTTAGACATTGAAGATTATTCATGTTCGTTAATTAATTAATGGGAAATAATAATATGTGTTGTACTCAGGAGGAGTAATAGAAATAATAATAAACCATTGGTTCAGAATGTATAACAACAAATCCAGATATTAGTGAAGCTATTCCACTCCTGCAGTTGGTATCCTCGAGTTGAACGGATCATTAATAGTGATGGCTACAATCATATGCCATTATAAAACGAATTCAGAGTCTAACCCACTATTAAAACCATTCAGTAGCATCTGCGTATCAGATAACAAATGATAAGTGACATTTTCAATAGTTTTGTCCTGAATCACAAGGATTTGATGTTTCCCTCTCAAATGAAGATTTCCTTAGTTTAAAAATCCATCATTATTGCAGATAACAGTTAACAATCACAATTGGCTATGAGTTTCATCAAGGCAACTGATTTGTAAATTATCATCTCTATGATGTAGTCATATTGATTTGAAATTGGAGATCAATCAATTCATAAACTACTTTGCTAATCTGATCCAAAAATTTTACAAAGCATCTTTGTTGATTGATGAGATAAAGATGCTCGTTTTGGACGAATTGTTTGCAAATGAAGGGTTTTATAACTTTGTCAAACAATAATATGACAAGGGATTACACAGTAGGATAATTGCCTATAGAACCAATATACAAAAGATTGAAAGATCGCAAAAGAAATAGGATAAATTATTATCCATTCTATAGAATATGGTTAATAAACGATCTCCAAGAGAGAAACTACAAATCTTAGATGATGTGGCTCAAAAATTGACTTAGGAGTATAAGAATGCAGATGCCGATAAATTTAATGAACTCATCTATGATTTGATTGTCTAAGCCAATATACCTTCGTTTGTGACTGAAATTAAATTGATTAACGATTTTGCTGGAGAGATGTACATAATTATATTTGAGTTTTGCTAGAGATTCCTTGGGAAGATATGGCTACGTTCTTACTGCTTTTATGGGGATCTTAATGCTAATAATTTAAAACTATTGAAATGATAAATAATAGTTTTGGATAGATTCTTAATTTCTTCATTAGATATATAAGATTTTTATATATATGATATGCCTCAACCATAAGTTCAAACTCTTAGTATCATGATGATGATTACTTCAGTAACCATTATTCCCAACAAGAGTGAGTAATAAATCCGAATCAATAATCAGATATATATATGTGGCATCATACAATTTTAAAAAAACTTATATTATTTATATTAATGAAAATTAGTGGGGTCATACTTTTGGTTTTTATCTCCTTGGTTTCTGCTGGAACTCTAACAAAATCTGATGCATGCGTTTGCAAACAAATTTTGAGTTAATTGGATTGTGCAACGTAAGATGATTGTCAATGGAACAGCGTATCTGCTGCTTGTGAAGCACGTAAGTCAACTGATATTGAATCCTACTGTTCTCAGAGCACTACTTGTCCTATTGCAGGTTGTGCATTCTATAATAAAAAGTGTAAACCATTTAGTGGTTGTACAGTTTATATAGCTACAACACATGCCGATTGTCAGGCTATCTCGCCCTTATGTACAAGTAATGGAGAAAAATGCATCAATGTAAGCACAACTTGTGATGATTATCTTGTTTAAATAGCTTGTCAAATTAATACTTAACAGTATCCTTGTTTTTGGGATAGTTAGAATAGTAAATGCTAAGAGATAGCAGCATGTGATTAGTTCCCAACCACTTACGACTCCCATCAAAAATGTTAATCCATGGGATTACTTAAATCAATTAAGTGCACAGCAAAAGAAACAGGTGGTTGTATCAACATAGAAGATGATTGTACTAAACACACAGAAAAGGGTTGTGTTGTAAATTCTTTAGGTAATCAATGTTTTTGGGATAATGCTGCATGCAAAGAGAAAACATGTGTCAATGCTCCAACAACTTATACTACTTAAGCATAATGTCAACAATATATGAATACATGCTCAGTCAATGAGAATATGGCAGGTTGTATAGAGAGTCCTTCATCATGTGAGAATTACACCAAAGAAGGTTAATGTATTTCTGTGAATGGATAAATCTGTTTTTGGTTTTCAATAACTTGTACTGAAGGATAGTAAAATTGTACTGCAAGTTCAGGATGTAAGGGTTGGTCATGTGAAAATGCATTGAGCACGTCTAATACAGATTTATTATGCTCGTAATTTAAGAGTGAATGTACAGTGAATGAAACAAAAACTGGGTGTGTTAAAAGAGCAACCGCTTGTAATTTGTATAAAACATAACATTAATGTATAAAAACATTGGATGAATCTTAGAGATGCTATTGGAATGGTACAGGTTGTGTTAATATGAGTTGTGCCAATGCTGTTTTAACGACTTATAATGAATCTAATTGTAATAGATTTATGCCCACATGCACATTAATCAATGATAAATGTGGAGTCAGAACTTGTAACACATACCAAACAGAGAAGCTATGCAGTATAGATTATTAAAATCAATAATGTGTTTGGAGTGGATCTTGTGTTGTAAGGACATGTCAAAATGCAGGTGATGAATACAATACTCATAGTGAATGTCAGTCTTGGTTGAATATTTGCACAGTGTAGAAAGGTTTAATTGGTTGTTAGACCTAGGAATTAACATGTACTAATTATTTGAAACAAGAATAATGTTATATGGCTAATAATAATACCATTTAATGTTTGTGGATTGATGATAAATGTGTATAAAAGACATGTATTACTGCTAGTACATTAATATCAACTGATGAGGAATGCAATACTTATTTAGGAGGATGTATGATAAACAATAATCAAGCTGGTTGTGTTGCCAGAAAAACCAAGTGTAGTGATTTGCTATAATTTTAATGCACTTTCACAACTTCAGGTTAGTTATGTTATTGGGATGGAACCTAATGTTTAGATAGGATATGTACATAAGCCAAATATAATACTTATAGGGCTTGCACAACATTCTTATCATCATGTACAGTTAGTTACACAGGTACAAACTTTGATGGATGTACTAGTAAATAATAATAGTGTTCTGATTATCAATATGAATAGAATTGTATAGATAGTTTAGCAGAAGGCAGATGCATTTGGAATAAAAAGGCATCTCCTAATGCATGTTAAGTGAGAAGTTGTGCTAATTCAGATTAAACATCAACTGATGTAGCTTGTAATAGTCATCTTAATACTTGCACAGTAAATGTTGCTAAGACTGGTTGCATAGAGAGATACGATAAATGTTCCTCATTTACAAGTTAAATTAATTGTATCAAAAATTTAACAGGAGCAGAATGTTTATGGTACAATAATGCATGTACAGATAAAACTTGTGATAAAGCAGATAAAACATTCACAACTCATGAGGATTGTTAATCATACAGCAATAAATGCACAACTAATGGAAAAGGTTGCATAAACACTGATATATGTACTTCTTATACTTTAAAATCTGGATGTGTAATAGATAAGAATAATAACAATTGTGCATTTCAACCTAGTTGCAATGTATTATAGTGTTCAGATGCTCCCTAATCATATTCAACAGACTAAGATTGCAGAAATTTCAAAAAGGAATGCACTACAAATGGAAGTGGCTGTGTTCTTAGAACAACTTGTACAGATGCATACATCGAAGAGGCTTGTATTACAGATTCAACAAATAATTAGTGTGCATGGATCAATAATAAATGTGTAAATTATGGATGCAGCAGTGCTCCAAGTAAATATGTTACAGAGAAGGAATGCAAACTGTATAAGTTAGGTTGTACAGTAAACCAATCAGGTGGATGCATTGAAAAGGGAACTTGCAAAGATGCTAAAATATAGGCAGCATGTACAACTGATAAGGATGGCAATGAATGTGAATTTTCTACTGCTGGATGTAGAGATAAGGTTTGCAGTGATTACACTTTTACAACTCATAAAGAATGTTAAGCAGCCAAAAGTACATGTACTACAGAATGGAACCAAATGTGTCAATTAATAAAATTGCAGTCTAAAAATCAAAGAATGGATGTTTCTATGGAAGTGATGGACCATGTTTATGGATTAACAATGCATGTTAGACTTATACATCATGTTAATCACTTGCATTTAGTGATCACACTTCCTGTTATTCTTTCAGTAATGAATGCACAACTGATGGAGTATCATGCATTGCTATTGACAAATGTGCCAATCTAACTGAGTAAAGTTGTCATCAAGGCACAGATGGAAGGTGTGTCTATTCTCCTGATGCTTTGAATGGGTAGAGTAAATGCAAAGTGTATGATGGATGCAAATCTGCCTTTTTCAATACTCATGTATAATGTTAACTTGTTGATCCTACATGCACAACTGATGAAGCCAGTTGTATTGAATTATAAGATTGCACTTCTTATACAAAATAAAGTACTTGTAACATAGATTAAAAGAAGAATAAATGCTTTTATGATGATAAAGAAAAGAAATGTGTTCTATTAGAATGCAAGTATTTAACTTATACAACTCATGAAGAATGCAATAATCAATTATCCACTTGCACTTCAGATAGTACCAAATGTGTTAGTATGGATAAGTGTGAAACATATTCTACAGAATAATGCAAAACCTCATTAGGAACTGATGGCAAATGTTTGTTTGATCCAAGTCTTAAAAAATGTCGTCTAGCATCCTGCACAGAATTGAAGAGTAACTGCTCTTAAATTACAAATTGTATTGACAATGGTGGTCTAGGCTGTGTCAATAAAGCAAATTGCAGTAAATATGAAACTGAAATTGCATGTAAGCAAGGAGGAACTGATGGATTCTGTGTATGGTATTTAAACAACGGAGAAGGAGCTTGTAAATTAATGACATCCTGTTCTGATGGCTCATCCCAGCCAAAGAAGTTCCGTTTGTGCATACAAATCATGGAATTGTTAATGGACTGAAACATCAACTCAAACTGCTTGTGCTTAACACACTTGCTCAATGTACCAAATATAAAGAAACAGGAGTATGTCAACCTATATTAGATTTCGATGAAAAGAACTACGAATTGTGTGCCTTAACAAGTTCCATAATGTATTTCCATGGAATTTCCGTCATTAATAGAACCCAATTGCTTTTCAGCCACAGCCTATACCTATACCTGGGATTCTGCTAATTCTAAATGCTTAAAATGCGGATCAACTTTTACAAACAATTCTAATAATCATACTAACAATTCTGACAACTAAACTAATTAAACCGATGTAAGCGACAAATCGCTTACATTATTTACATCCATCATAATGATTATTAGTATATATATATGAATTTCATAAATCTTCCAAATTGAGTACATCGAAGTTCTCCTTTTACACTTCCTATTAATTATCATACCATTTCATTAGTTTCCCTTCCTGCCATTCACCGAACCTTGTTTATCCATTTTTCTAAAAATAACCTTCCCTTTCCCATTAGGCTTGGATAACTTAAAACTACCCTCGTAGCTCCTTTCCATCTAATATATCTTGAATCTAATACTTCCCCACTTGAAATATTCCATACCCATTTGGAGCATCTTTATTGAACAACCCTATATAGATACATCCATTAAGCCCATTTCATTGATCCTTATCCACACATAAAATCCTCAAACCACTCTCCCTGATACTCCTTCCCATTCTTCCAAACTTATACTCCCTAACCATGTCGCTTGTTATCTATCCATAATCCAGTATACTGAGAGCCATCATTCCATATGTAAGTACCCTATCCTTATTTTATACCCTCATAGAAATATCCCTCATATCGACTCCCATCCTCCCATGTCTCGATTCCGAGTCCTTATTATAGATCATCTTTCCATTAACCCTCGTACTTCCCCCCATTTTGAGATTAGAATATCCCCTAGCCATTTTATTTATCATTCTCCCATTGTCCTTCATAAAAATCGCCATCAGCATATATAAATTTGCCCTATCCGTTTGCTTTGTTATTTTTCCACTCACCCTAATATTCAGAACCATCAGGCCATTTCAAAATTCCATAGCCTTCCCTCTTATTCCCTATCCAATCACCTTAGTACACCCCTCCGCTCTTGAGAGTCACAGCCGACTGCTTAGTTCTCTCTTGAGTTTTTGTAGTTTGACTGGAATTCATGACTTTTTACTTCTTCTTGTAATTGTACTTTATATTGATTTATCGAGGGTCGAGACGTTTCATTTCTGCATCTTCACACGGTTCCATATCTTCTGGGTATTAGTAATTATTACAGCATTAAGCTCCCATTAATATATTAAAAATTAAATGAATAAGGATGGATTTGATAAATTTGATGAAGGTACGAGAATAAATATTTTATTTTAGATATTTCAACGAGTAGACCATTGGAACATTTTCACCAATAGAATGAAGCACCTCAATCTAAGAATTATAATTTTCTTGTCGTTTAAAAATTGAATGTAGAAGGACCAAGTGTCTTACAAAAATGCATTGTCAAGCCACTTCAACAAGTAGGCTAGACAGCAGTTGAAGTTTAATTTCATAAAAATACTCTAGAACACAAAGAACGCCGTCTTGTAAATCCCATCATTTTTTAAATGGGGAGCTAAGGAATTGCTCAATAAATTACACTCTACATTTCATAATTCTCCTGAAGAATAACAACCTCAAATTGAGTAGCAATAGCAATTAGAGCAAAACATACCTGAAGACACCAGCATAGATGATATTCCTGTTGTGTTTGTTGTGCCAAAGGAGATTATGGAAGGACCAATTAAAGAAAGAATATTGTGGATTGAGAAACATAGAAATGATTGCGAAGTTTTCATTCCACTAGAAAAACCATTAAAGTACCCACATTATAATAAATAAGATTGAATAATTTTAATGGTGTTGGCAGCTCATCATCTTCTTCAAATGGACCTGATGATTTTGATTACGAAGTCAGAAGAATTTCATAAGAATTTTAAGGATAAGACACTTAATCTGAATTATTCCCATCTACATAAGTGATGAAAACAAAGTTAATGGAATCCAAAAAAAGATTTATGATGTCTGAAGAGGATTATAAGCAAATAAATTAATAGAATAACGAAAATAAAAATCTCAATGAACCTTAAAATATTATTCTTTATCCATTTTTAGGTGAACTCATCCCAAAAGAGACTATTTTAGAACAGATTAAAAAATACTAATTGGAATAATCATCATTTACAGTGATTTAACCTAATATGGAATAAATGTAAACCTAATAAATTCCATAATAAAATCAAAATCAATTTCTTCCTCTTTAATTGAATGGAGAACTATTTGAAAATAATTAATAATAGTAATAACAATAATAATAGTAATAATAATAACAATAGTAACAATAGTAACAATAATAACAATAATAACAATAATAATAACAAGCAGTTTACGAATAATAATTAGAAGCACTTTTAGAAGTTTGATCAATCATATATGTAACTCTAAATCATTTAAAATTTATTAACTATATTCAATTTGTTGTAAAAAATCAATTCGTATTATCATTAAGGTAATAGAATTTTTATTTATAATATAATAAAGATCAATCAATTTAAATTCAGAGTGCCCTTTTGTTTTATTAAAGATCATAATATAAATTATATCGATTATATATTTCATTCATTTTCCACATCCATTTCCTACTCAATCAAATTTAGGGCAAATTTTTAGGCATCAATTACTTCTTAAAATGACCATGGGATTTTGCATTTGGAATTTTTGACTATTGACTACTCCATTTTCAATCTTATATAATTTCTAAAATATTCTTCATCATCGTTTTTAGCGCTATACATATAAAATTCTCTTAGAGCCTCTTCATACATTCTAGAACAATATTTTATAAATTTTTGTAACTTTAAACCCATTTCTTCTTGAACTTCTTAGATGAAATGATTGAGAATGTAGTCTTTGATCTCTTAGCGAAATGATTTAGATTTCAATAAAGTTCTGATATAAGGTTAGTTGAATGATTTAAAACCAGATTAATAATTCAACTTCCCTATTTACATTTTTCTCTATTAATAATTGAAACTTACTTTTGAGGATGGATAAAATAGGTTAAATGCTTATTCATTTTCAAAGAGAGCTCTTTGAAATGGATCTCATAGAAATCAATTTATTACTGATTTTACTTCATTTTTTTGTGTGTCTTCATTTAATTTTAATAGAACCTGTGCTCGACAAACTTGAAGCCCTTCTTGAAAATGAATTTTTGTTTCTCTTCCACCCTTTTGTGGTTTTAGATTGATTTCTTGATGCACATCTCAAAAGTCAATCTTTCTTCGTCGTTCAACTTTTATATTTCTTAATCTGTAGAGGGAAGTCCCTGGAGAGAGTTATTGAGTTGTTAAAAGAGAGGATCATTTTTTATTTATTCAAAGACATCTGGATTCAGGCCGTCGTTCTACAGTTACGATAAGATTTCTTGAGATTGTTCATCTGGTGTATCTTAAAATTAAGGAGTTATTCTTGATTTGTCATCCATCTTTATTAAATATAATAATATGTTTAAATTTAGCAGGCTTAAGTTTTTAAAGAGCCTTGATATTCTTTAAGAAGACAATCCAATACTAAAGAAACATTACCCAGTTATGCACAAGGAAATATTAGAAAGGGTTTTGGCTTTTTAAAAAAAGACGCTTAAAAATAATATCGATATGGTGGATTGCACAATAGGGACAGGGGCACATAGTCAGATTTTATTAGAACATGTTAAAAATCTAAAAATGTAAGAAATAATCATATCTAGATTAGGATTGGACATTGATGAAAGGATGATAAAAAATTTACCACAGAATATCACTGCTAAATAGGATAATTTTATTAATTTTTATAAGCACAAAACATTGAGTGATACCAAAAATTTTGATATAATTTTTGCTGATCTTGGCTATAACATGTAAGATACTTGAATTTATATGGCAGAAATTAGGTTTACGATGAATCATATGGTCTTAGTTACAAAAAGAATTCTCTACTTGACATGCGATATTCACAATCCATTTAACATACTGCTGCTGATCTACTTAATAATCGATCACAATAAGAGTTAAGAGAAATCTTTTATCATTATGGTAATATACACAAGGCGAATCAATTGGCCAAGATTATTATTGATAATAGATAAGTAAAATTATATCAATAAAAAAGAAAGAAAAATTTGAAAGGGCTAATCAAGTTGTTGATATTTTGAATGAATTATCTATGGGCGATTAGATTATGAAGACTTTTCAAGCATTAAGAATAGCTGTCAATCAAGAAATTAATAATCTTAATTTATTTCTAGAAAAAGTATAGAGCTAACAAATAGTTGATAAATAATTAATTTTAATAATCACTTTCCATTCATTAGAAGCTGAATCTGTCCAAAAATTTATCATGAAATTTAAAAAGTAATTTTCCATGAAAACTATCAAACCTTCAGAAGATGAAATAAAAGAAAACCCTCGTTCCAGATCTGCTTTGTTGTTTGAAATAATTAATAAGAGTATTTGATTTGTATTTAATTGAAATGAATATGAATAACTTGCATTCAATATGATTATTGCTGAATATATTTATACCTTTCAATATCTGTTAATTTACGTTCTATTGGTCTTTGTATTTGTAGTTCCTTTGTTAATGCTAATTATATATTATTGGAATCCATCAAATTAACAATCTTCGAAGTTATTTTCTTAAAGAGAACACATGAATCAACGGGATTGTTTTCTAATCTGGGTTGACTGAGATATTGGTTAAGTTAAACATTTTCAAATTTATGATTAAATTATTATTCAAAAGGTCTATTATGATCTCTTAGAGGTGAAACATAAGTCATATAATTCTCCATCTTAATCGGATCTATACGTAAGGTTGGCTTTTATTGATCAGCACTATTTTTTAATACTTTGAGGTAACTTTGTATTCTATTTAAATCAATGCTAGATGATGACAATAGAGATTTGAAATAATTCCATTCTCTCTTAGGATTTGCAAAATTAGTTATATATTTCTCAATTACTAAGTCGAAAAACTCAATTATTGCATTGCTTAATTCTTGCATTATTAATATTATTTAACAGTTAATATATATAAAATCATAGCATTTATCTAATTTCACAAAGTTGTCCCCTAAAATCTTCACCCATTTTATCAAGTGCATTTTTGATAGTTTAATTGACTACAATTAACAATTAGTCATTAAATTCTGCATTTGGATCAGTTCCCAATCTATCATCAATGCTACGAACTATTTATTAAGATCCTTCTCTTAACTTTGCTTCATACCACCTACATTTACAATTTAATTTTACCTGTATAAACAATTAATCGAAGATTCCAAATCCTTGATTCTCTAATCTACCTATTAAACTTCTAATTAGGGTTTTTGGGGCATTGATTCTATTTCTCTTAATTTTCTTTCAGCACATCTTTCCTATATAATTTTAATTAATAAGATACGAGTCTTCCTTATTTCTATTCATTAACTTCTTCTTTTTTCTAAACTTATTTGACATTGGCTTCGGTTCTTTGAATTGATGGGATGTATTCAATCATCTACAATAATGGGAGAAGAGCATCCTATTATAAACTCACTCTATTTAAATCGGCTATTAAATATGATGAGAATGAATACATTCAAATTTATCTATTCTTGCTTCTATTGATTAGTCTAGATCAGTCATTTTAACGGATTAATTGATATTTTTATTTTTTTATATAAATATATAAAATCACTTGAATTTGAGAACGCCTATTAATAATAATAACACTATTATGATGACTACTCCTATTTTAATGAATCTGTCATTCTTTTCTTCTAAAATTGGAGCAAAATTCTAAACATTATTTTATTCCTATATTTTAGGTTTGGATTCTATTGCAACAGGTCTTTAGATTAATTGATCTGTTTAAAAGTGTAATGGTTTATCGAATTCTGAGACTCCGATTGTGGAATGCAGATTTGAATTTGACAACTTTGATGATTTAAGGTCAAACAATGAGTTTTTTTGAATGTTGACAGGGATTTTTTTTTATTAAAATATTCTCTCCTTTTATCTGCTCTAGGTTCTAGATGCTCACTATTAATACGTACAATGAATTGTAAGTAGAGTATTGCAATGAACTTGAATGAAAATTTGTCTAAGTATTGGTTATTGGACTCACTGATTTGGATAGCTATGGCATATAATTATTTGACTGAGGGTAGTAATCATCAAACTATTCATTGTAATACTTACAATTGGTTTTTTCATTTGCACTCTTTGTGAGTAATTCATTGGAAATTTAATAAAATTTATTAATATTTTATATACTAATAACCCCTGAATTTACATAACTATTTGAATAAATTTTATATATATTCGGGTGATTTAATATTAATTTTTAGCATTACTAAATAAAGAAGATAATTACGATGAACAAATAAGACAAACCAGAATCCAGAGCTCAGCGCAACATTCGTATTGTTATGGGTAATATAAAGGAAGATCTAAAATATAAAGGTATTTCGACTTCTAAATCACTCCTTAGTTGTCAAATATTTTGGACACCAAAAGGAAGAATAGGAATTAGCTAAACCAAGATATGCCCATTCATAATTTCCTAAATAACAGCTTTTTAGTTAAGAAGCCGAGTCTAATCTAATCGACTTTTGTCTAGACAATCAAGGTTTAAAAGTCAGCAAAGTAGGGACTCTTGTAGAACCAATGATAACCACAGAAGAAATACCTTAAAGACCTTCTATAAGGAAGATGAAGGCCATTAAATAGCCTGTTTTTTTTACGGAAGTCACTACTACCCATTTTCAACCTAGCGAAAGACCAAAGGAATTACCTGCTTCGCTTAAAAGAAGCACTAAATAATAAATGATGAATAAGGAAATTTTAAGAAGATTGGGCTTATTAAGTATTTAAGCAAAGAGGGAACTTGAAATTGAGAAGCTCTGCAACAGAGCCTTAAAAGTGGCAAGAATTAAGGACTCTCCTGAATTAAATAAAAGATAATTGGAAGTTATCCAAAAATAAATGAGAGATGCTGAAAAATAGTCGTAAGAATTGGAAATTCAAAGATGCACTACTTCTGCTTCGGCTGCATCGAGAAAAGCCTTCGATTATTAAGATGACTATCTTCTAGAATGTCTATCTGAAAGACCTTAACTAGTTTACAGTGTCTAATCTTTTCGAAATAGACCTTAAACTTAGTAAACTAAATCTAGAATTCACAACTTCTTTAAAACTGTTACTTTGGCTCACTTAGATAATAAAGATGAAATTAAAAAAGATGATCTTAGCATGCAATAATAAATGCAATCCATAAAGGAGAGTTTGCAATTATGCAAAAAAAAACTCTTAGACTACAATGACGAAATAGAAATAGCATTGACAGAAGATATAAAAGGACAAGTGATAGAATATAAAAATATTATTAAAAATAATAACATAAAATGAATGAAATAAAAAAACTTTATTGCCGATTTGTTACAGGAATGACTGTAGAAGTGGACCTAAAACAAGAAACAAGAACTGTGTTTCAATTAAAACAACAACTTTCCGACATTATTAATTTAACTTCAGATAGATTATATATCGGGTTTGAAACGTCGCTTTTGGATGACAATGATTACTTGATATAGAAAGGAATATCTGATTGCGATACTGTCCATGTGATTACATCCTAATTGACTGAGAAAATTTGTTATAGAAATAAAAAGTGAAAAATATAAGTCATATTGAAAACTAATAAAAATTATTTCACAAATTAATGTCTAAATTGAAGATCTCAGGCATCAAAATTTTTAAATTATAATTCTTGCATTAGCAGTATGTATCAGATTCGGATTTCTAAATGTCTATTAAAAAAATTATCGTTGATTAATAATTACATAAATATATAATATATATATATATATGGATCTAAAGGCATTAAAATTTCAAATTGAAACTAGTTAAGAAATATCTACAAATAATCTCTATAATTATGAAATATTTAAAAGAACTTCATGGTTTTTGAGTTTAGAAGATGTATTAATATTAGGAGCCACCTGCCGCATTTTAAATGAATATGTCTAAGTTTCAAATTATTTCTATATAGACAGAAACATTATTAATTCTTTGCCGAGAAATACTATAAATAATTTCTAAATGATTAACTTGAAATAACACTTGAATTTAATTATCCAGATATAACTTAAAGAGATCAGACTCGTTTGGCAAATTTCGATATTAACCCTTTAGATTGGTAAATTCAATATAAAAGGATGAAATAATTGAAGTAAAATTAGTAAATATGAATGGTAGAAAAACAATAAAAATTCCATTTTCTCTTTGTGAATCAGTGTTTCCGAAACCTATTTTAAAAAGAGAAACCATAGGTTTATATTGTGAATCAGAATTCTAAATTATGCTTGCTCAACGTTTGGAATTAGAATAAAAAGGGTTCGATAGATTGTTCGACTTTTAATTGATATCAAATGAGGTATTTAAAACATGATTTAAATTAAAGCTAATGAATAATTTAAAACAAAATAAGCAATTTGTAATAAATTAAATGTGCGAAAAATTAGAGAATAGTGAAGCATTTAAATCAAAATTTTTAATATATAGATGGAATTTATAGGATGAATCCTCTGGATTACAATAATTTCCTCATTCTTAGGTCGAATCATAAAGCATTCAGATAGAGGAGTAAGAAGAAGAAGAAGCATTTACTGATGAATTTTGTATAATGAATCTCTTTGAATAATTGTATAGTTCTATTGAATGTTATCTACAAGGTTTGTCAATGTACTTTTCTACATTCATAACTACAAATTCAACAAATAGTATTGATTTATTAAGTGAATACAATATGTATTGGGAAGCATATAGTAATTCTATGGTAGAATTAAATGGAGTAATATATCCCTTCGAAAATATTGTCAATGAAATACATTAGAAAGTCTTTCCTTAATATCCTCAATATCCTCGTTTCTCAGTTTGGAGAATAATGTGCAAATTGTGGATCAAACATGTATTAATTTTTTTAACTCAAGATAATTAGGAATGATTAATTTTAATAACTGCTTATAGAATGCTTCATCAAAACTTTGTAGGCAGAAAGATAAGCTAAGTTTCTCAAGGAATTTGATCAGGGTGTTAATAATAACTTGGGTTTTACTCCTTCATTTTAAATTACTTATGAGATTTATGATAATTTCTTACTAAAATAAAAAAATAGTATAAAGGATTAATTTTAAATTGAATATAGTCATAAATATTATACAGAAATAGTGGAGTTAATGAGAAATTTTAATAAATCTATATAGGATCTTTCAATCAATGAAGTATTCTTATTATTAAATATTAGGTGTCTGTTCATTGGATTGGACATGTGGATTGTTGTTATGAAGAGTTCTATGATTTGTTAAGTGAGAGAGTTCAACATGAAACAAGTTTGTACTATGATGAAACTAAATAGGTTTTTGGTTCAAATGTAGCTTCTTTTATAGAGTTTATGAAATTTGATAAGGAGTAAAATCGAGTTATTATATTATTTAGGTTTATTTCTCAATTCTTACCAGAACCTCTTATATTTAAAATTGACAATCTGTAACGCGAACACATCTTCACATACTTATTTTATTATTTAGAACATTCATATCTTTAGAAATTTATTTAAATTCATAAGGATATGATTGCTTTAGCCTATAATACAAAAACTCCAAAACAAGAAAGAACTTCGGTTACGTCATCAAACAATAATGAATATTTGGATACATAAGGGGATGCTACTTTAAACGATGCTTAAAGATTTCTTAATTTTGCCTTAGAGAATAGTAATTTTGATTTAGATGAACTTTTGATTAATAAAAAAAATTAAAATCAATAGGAACCCTTGTTAGAGATTATTAAAGTTGCTCTTTCTTAAAAAAATCTGGAATAATTAGTGGGAACTAATGACTAGGAAGATTAATAACAATCTCAATTTTAATTTGAATAGAACAGGCAGTAAAAATTTCCAAGAACATATTCAAATAATAAATGTAAAATTAGTTTATATTATTATAGTAAACTCTGATTCAACAGAAGTTCCAGAAGAAATAATCAAATCTGCCAAGTAATTCCTGTTAAATGATCCAGAATTTACTAAACTTTATCAAATTTTCATTGATTATACAAAAAATTTTGACAGAAGTTGGGTTTAAGTGGGTTAAAAAAACCAAGATATTGAAATATTAAATAATGATCGAGAGATTCCAAGAGTATTGTTTACATGTATATTAAAATTAGGTCCTATAAGATTATCTTTAATATTTTTATTTTGTATCTAAACATTTAACATTAACAATTTTAGAGGACAATAAAATTGTGAATGAAGAAGATCTAGATGATCTTGAAATGCCTCCAAGCCTCTCAAAAAATTCATCAAAATTTAAAAGTAGTGTATATCATTTAATATTTAGAAAACTCTGTATGCATGGAAGTTTATTACTCTGAAGAAGAAGATGAGAATTAAGGATGAATTCTAATAGCAATGAATTTAATAATTTAATTTTACCCAATCATATTCTCCTTTTAAATATAGGCAATCTTTTAAATTCTTTAATGAATTTAAAGATTAAGAATTAAGAAACTTAAATTATTTTAATAAAGAGTTTATTTATCTAACAGAAAATATTCAAATTAGTAAATAAAAAGGATTTAAATATATCATGAATCTAAAGAGAATTAATTATTCAAAGATATTAGTAGATTTAAGAACTTTCTAAATAATATAATATCTTGTTAAAGTAATAACTAATTTATTTCATGATATTGAATTTTAAATGCCTGTCATATTAATTGCTAATTGGGAAATCATTTCATTTTTTGACTCTGATAACATTTCTAATAAAACCTTTTGTTTCCTACTTAATTTATAAATATTTTAATCAAGTAAATTCCAAATATTTGTTAAAATCTCTATAATTTCATCAGTTAAATGCTGTTCATTTAAATGTAACAGAATTTCAAATTGTAATGATATAATATGACCTGATTCTTCTTAATCTAGTTACTCACATAGAATGACAAGTATAAAACTACACAAAACCAGCAAAGAATTTTGAACCTTAAATTCAATTAAGTCTTAAATCTCTTTCAAGTATTTTAAGAAACAGAATCTAATCTCTACTCCTGAGAACTGCAGAGATTTATAAATAAACTAGATTATTATACAATTAATACTTCTAAACTAACTTCAAGTAAAAATATTTATTATTCTTAAATTCTTTCAAAAATCATTTTTAGCAATGATGTAACTTTTGAATTTTTCGCTATTCCTAAAATCTTTTAATCACAGTATGAAAAAGCAACAAGTGTATTTAATGCTGTTAAAATCCAATATGTAGTATCATATTATCTATTTTATAATGAATATATTGCACAATCGACTATTGAATTTAATTTTTAATCATCTATCAAATCAACCAACCCTTCTATGTCTGAACATATCAATATAATATTTTCACAAGATACTTAAATATTTCTTTCGAACCAATTTATATTCATAATAAATAAGTCTATGAGTTATGGTTTTGATACATAATTTTAGAGTTGATAAGTTTAAATTTTAATCAAAATACTAAGGCATAAATAAAGCATACTATCTTTATCTATTAATTAATTTTCATCTATTTATTCTCTTAACTTTATAATCGAAGTAATTAGGTCCTAATTAAGCAAATCTATCAATTCTGATTATATATTAATTTTGGAATTCAACAGATTTGTTAAACCTTCACAAGCATATTGTAGTTAATAGATATTACTCTACTTTGATTAGATAATTTCAAGAAATTTCAAATGCAAGTATTATTCTTTTATCAATCTATCTACACTATTTGATGATTCTGAAGCTGAAATATTCGACAAAAGTAATAAAGCATGTTTGTTTTATTAATTCTTATAAACTTTCATCATTAATTCATCATTGTTCAATATCATTTTACTTGATTATTCTATTGAAGTGTGAAAACTCAATAAAATTGATGAAATTTTTCCTTTTTAACAAAAATTTGGTAAGAAACGACTTATTCTAAATTCATTCTCATTTCTTTATTTTCTTAGAGCTTCTCTTTATTTTTCTTTTTTAAATAAAAAAATACTTTAATTCATAAATATATTATTTATAGTCATTTAATTCCTTATTTTATAATTTTTAACATTTTCGGTTCGAATTCTTGCATTCCATTTTATAACTATTAAATTTGTTTCTTAACCTGATCAAGATTTAATTGAGCATCATTTTCATTATAAGCAAAGGCTTCCCAAATTTTGCACATTTCACACTTCTTTCCTTATCTTTCTGATAGGATTTAAGAGAAATTGAGGATTTTATTTTATAGAGTGGTTAAGGCATCTGACTTATTTGTATGGTTATGAATCATCTTAAATATTTCACTATTAACATTATTACCCTAATATAATTTATATTTTTTAATAATTGAATTAAATTATCTTAAAGGCTTAAATACTATTAATAATACAAAGATTTAAAGTATTATAGCTATAAATCCTAAAAATATTTATGCGAAAAATGAGATTGTAAAATTAAAGAATGATGTTTCTCTTATTGCTGTAGATTTGTTCTACTAATCTACTTTTGTAGTGATATTAGTGTAACTTACATAAATAATAATAATACACAATAAGCGTGAAATTATTCTTTAACACCTCAAGAGAATAAACATTGACTTTTTCTTATTATAATTTATTCTCTAAAACCAATATTACTTTTTCCCTTTAATTTGAAAACTGAATCATTTCTTCCCAATCAGTAGTATTAAAACCAGTAACATTTTAATCATATATGTAAAAATAATCTGTCTTATTTCTGAGTTATTCAATGTTAAAATATACGACTAAACCTTCTTAATCTAATAATAAAACATTATATGGCACATAAGGTATCAAATATTCACTAATTATTAAGCCTTCCCTAATAATTCCTATCATTTGACCATCATGATAAAGCGAACTTGTAATTGACATTTCCTTAATCTTGGTTATGAAAAAATCGTTTAAAGGCGAGAAAATAAAGCCCTCTTATTAATTTTCTTATGTTATTTACAAATGATTTTAATACCTATTATAACTATTATTATACCATGGCAATGAAGTAATATCAAACCAGGGTAGTAAAAGACAGATAGGAAATTGACTAAAATATTTTGTTTTTGATACTGACGATATTTGTATCATCCCACTATAAGAAACATCCAAAGCCAAACTATAATGATTTAAAAGAGAGATAAAATCATGCAGAATTAAAACTCCTGTTTCATTTTAAGGTAGAGTAACATAATCAGGAACTCCTATTGCTTAATAGCAAAATTTAGGCGTGTAGAGGGTCAAATTGTTTTTAAAAAAATCCTCCATTGTTACGCAAGGATCCATTTTTTAATTATTTACTATATTATTTTTTTCTTTTTCAAAAAAAATATAAAATTGCTTCATTTATTCCATTTATGAAAGAACTAATTAATTAGATTAAATTGAAACTTGACATAAATTTCAGTTCGATGATTAATGCTACATTTTACGCAATAAAGCCAATCTTATCTTTATCCTATTCCTAAAGTATATGATATATTGAACTAAGGGATATTGAAGAAAAAATTTATGTTTAAATATAGTAATTTATCCATACAACTGAAAGGACTACCACAAGAGTAAGCACATTGAATAAAATGATTTTACTTTTCATAGTTAATTAGCGAATTTAAGCAATTTTGCCAATCATTACAATTCCCTGATATTAAATATTTTAATTAATATCTAACAATGAATTTTAATCAAAATAATTAATTTTCATAATTTATATATATAATTAATTAATATCATAGTAAATATTTGAGTAAAAATTATCAATATTATTTGGAAAGATTGATTTCATTATGAATATTGGTGATGAAAAGTAGATTCGTTCATTAATATTTAATCAGTTATGTTTAAGTAAGATCGTTTATAAATGTGACTTTAAAAATATGAAAGGGAAGGCTTTGAAAAGCAATTAAACTATTTAATATAAGCAAAGCTGATATAAAATGTTGAATTTAAATTAATTAACTTTTTGATTCAAATTTGTGTTGTTCAAATTAAAATATGTCAGATTATACTTCGTCAATACTTCCAATTAAAATGATATTTTAATTCATAATTTATGAGTTGTAATATTCCTAATCCATTTAATTTTATTAATTTTTGTAAATGATTATCTTAAAGATTAAAATAAATTCATTTAAAAAATTTGGAAACAATAATGTTTCTAAATTTTTATCAATATAGGAAGTTTTGATTGATAGTAATTGCTTTATAAACATGTTGATTGTGTAAACTTTTATTTTCATCATGGTCATAATAATATTTCATATTAACTCTCTATAATATTGTCATTATTAAATTTCAAAGAGTTCTAATTTTATTTGATATTTTTTTATAACAAAATTATTAGAGTTAACAATGCTATTTTGCTTTTAAATTTTTTCTCTTTCGTAACTATTGAGTTTAAACTATTAAAGAGGAAGAAAATTGTAAACCGAATTTGTTAATATATTATTTTTTTTACTTATTACCTGATATTTATCTTAATCCTTTATCGAAGCATGCAAATCCTTAAATCTAGTTTTTCTGATCCCAATCCCTTTAGTAGTCTTTTTGTGTTTTCATAAACATGATTCTATTGAAATAAAAACAACTTTTTATAACAAATTTATCTTCAATTAGGCCTGATTAAAAATTTTTAGATGAAATCATGCCCAAATATTTAGGAAAAATGGTTTCAATAATAAAATTAAAAATCAAATCATTAAACATGAAGTAAAGTAATTTCATTTGAGAGAAGTTATTAAACAAATGTTCAAGATAAATTACATAATATTATTTTTTTTGAATAATTTAATCATAAAGAAACCAACTGCAAGCCAACTTAAGAAATGTATTAATTAGAGAATTTTTCAACTTACATTTTAGTCTCTTTTAATATTTAATTTAAGTTTACTAATGTTTCTATTTGTAATGAGAAGACCTAAGCAAAGATCAGTTTCAAAGAACTTCCTTTTGGGAGTGGTATAGGATCAACTTTTTATTATTTTTGTAATTGATTAATCTAAACAAAGAATTCTAATGGAAGTGCTTACTTGTTAATTAAATGTTAGTTGACTTCAGAGAGTTTTTAAATGAAATATTTTGTGTCCTCTATTTTATATTTAGTTTCTTGGCTTTTTGAATAAAATATTTCAAATTATTCCTACAATTCTCTTAACCATTTAGAATCATCTTTTTTCTGTTGTTTTAATTATTCATTTTCTAAAATAAGGACCTACATAGTGGATTCCATTTCCTTTATTCTAAAATCGTTATTCTAATTTTTTTCTAAGTTTGATTCTAAAAATTTGATTTATTCCGAAAGTGCTTACTCAACATTGCCTGCATTTTTCTTACCAATTTCTACATCTTTAGTTATACGATTGATGATATTTTAATATTATTAGATCATGAGATTCTTCTCTTTTTTTAACGCAATTATTGTTTTGTCCAATTAATCAATATACTTCTCTTTAGAATTCATTTACTCCTTTAAAGCAGCATTCTCCATTCTAATTCTAGTCAAATCATCCCTATTTGGACTGAGTGAGGCAACATGATCTAAATGTGACTATTTTATAGAGATTGGAGAGGACTTGAAGGTCAAATAGTATTCTTACCGAATCGATAAGACGAGAGAGTTCAGATTTATTGGGAACTACAGAATTTTATTTTGTTGATTTTTTTGTACTTACATAACTTCTTTCCATACTACTGTTCTTAAAATGACCATGCCCGTAAATTATAGTCTATTAATTTTTAATCCAATACTAATGCACAAGCATCTTTTGCTTAGGCAGACAGCTTTTGGTTATGTTATTCCAGTTTTTGTTAATTTTTCTCAATAACTTTAATTAGATCAATATTCATTAATATTATAATAAAATAGTCATAAAATTAAAGAATAGAAATAGCGTTTTAAGGGAATTCTTGCATGTATTTTGATTAAGAATGAAAATTATACTTTTATAAAAGGCTAAGATCTAAACTTATTTTATTAATTTTTTTTTGCCCATCCAAATGTAAATAAACACTACTGAAAAAATAAAATACTCATATGGATTTTGTGAAATTGTAGATTATTAAGAGATAAAATCAAAAAAAGATGAAACTTAGATTTTGAATGAATTTATTTATTATTTATAATGGAATTATATGTGTAATTCATTCAAAGTTAGAAGAAAGATGTCTTAACAAAAAGATAATATAAATTCTTAGCGGATGATGCAATTACTAGTGGATCTGATTATGATTAAGATGCTAATCCATTAGAAGGTTATAAAATTAAAGAGAGACGACTCTAAGGTCAAAATCGTTATAAAAGAAGATTGTTGTCGGCAAAGCATACTATGAGGAGAAAATTTAATTTCAATTGGGATCGCATGGTCATTCGATTTCGTAGATTTTACAACAAAATAAAATAATTAGTAACACTCAAATAACCTTACACTTTTAGTCCAGATGGGTCAATGAAAATGTTATGGGACCTCTTATGCTTATTATTAGTGATTTATGAGATGATAACAATTCCTTTATTGATTAGTTTTGAAATAGAGTTGAGTTAGGCATTTTCACGAGTAAGTACAGCTATGTTTGTATTTGATATTCTACTCAATTTTAACACAGGTGTCTATTTAGAGGGTAAACTAAATATGGAAAGGAAGGAAATATTTAAAGACTATATAAGTTTTTGGTTTTGGATAGATTTCATTTCTACATTTCCTTATGATATAATAATGGATGAATCGTCTTCGTTAGTCTAAAGTGCTAAATTAATTAGGTTACTGAAATTTTTGAGGTTTGTGAAAGTGTTAAAATTAGTAAGATTGGCAAAGCTAAAAAAGATAATAGATAAATTTGATGAAGTATTGTCAATGAGGCCTGGAGTGGCTGCAATAGTCAATTTTTGTAAGTTATTTTTTTTTGTGTTGTTTTTTGCTCATATTCTTGGTTGCATCTTTCATTATCTTGCATAATAAGAGCCAAGTGATGACTCATGGCTTGGAGATATCTATTTTGCTGATTGGTCAATTCGATATGTTAATTCTTTGTATTGGGGAATAGCCACAATGACTACAGTGGGTTATGGAGACATAAGTCCCTAAACTCCGCAAGAGAGATTCATTGGAATCGTGCTTTTACTGATTGCCTGTGGTGGCTTTGCTTTTACTATGAATTCTATAGGATTTGCTCTACAAGAAATTGATGGACAGAATAAGTTGAAAAAAGAAAAGATTAATGGCATAAATAGGTTTATGAAAAAGGCAGGCATATCTAATCAATTATAGAATAGAATTAGACGATATATTGAATTTGTTATGGAATCGAAATCTTTAGTATTATAAGATTTAACTAATTAAGTTTAAATTGAATTAGCTAATGATTTAAGGAAATAAGTAAATGGAAAATTGCTTGGGTATTGCGATATCTTGTTGAAGAACCATTCTTAATAATTTCTAATTGAGGTTGTCTTGCCAAGTATGAAAGAAAGAGTATACAATCCAGAAGAAGTTATTTTCGATGAATTTGATTTCTAATAAAATTATGATATGTTCATTATCAAAACAGGATTAGTTGATATTTTTTATAAAAAAACTGGTATCGTTGTTGATCAAAAAAGGAGGAATGAATATTTTGGTGAAATAAGTTTTTATTCAAATATGCCAAGATCTGCAAGTTCAAGGAGTATTAATTTCTCAAGCATATTTTAAATTTATTAAGACTAATTTTAAAAAAGTCTAAAGGAATTTTAAGATTCTTCATAAAACTCATAAGGACGAATTTACGATCTACAATAGTATTATCTGATTAGAAAT